TATTCTATCATATAATGGGTTATCCTTCATTTAGCAATTTAAAAATTATTTCACATGATTTCCTACAAAAAGTTTCTTTAGACACCCTTAAATGTGATGTGTGTGAATTTCTTAAACCCACTCATGTTTCTTTTCAACTCTAAGGAGAGGAGAGATATATTCATTTCTCTAATATTTAGAGTGACACTTCAGTATTGACCTGACCTAGTCATTAATATGAAATTATGTAAATCTTAAATTTATAAAACTAGAAAATACTATTTTTTAGAGTTTTAGAATTATTCTCATAAAATATATCAATTTTAAATTACTAAGGAGCTCCAAAGATAGTGAAATTTTTTCAAATCAAGCATAGTGATGTATAATAATATTAAGTAAATTTTTAGAATTTTTCCCAAAAGCATATTATTTTATATGAGTTTTAGACTAAAAGATGATAAAAAAATTATTTTAAAATTAGAGAAAAATTTGAATGCTGACATCAAGTAGACATCAGCACCCAAAGAACAATAATTTGAGTGAAAACTAAGTTTCACTTGGTGATTATTGTGAAAATAGTTTCATAAGCTTTAAGATCGATATCTATAACTACCAAATGAATTGTAATAGACTAAATATGAGTTTTGAAATTAAAGTTCAAGTAAAACTTTACTAATTTAAATATTAAACAAGAAAAATAGAGTTCCAACATTGAGACAGCAATAATACACAACGTGGGCACTCTCTGAATTCCCATGTGAAGTCTAGAGGACAAAGAATGATGTTAGTGAAGTCTTTATGATGGTTATTACTTGGCATAATTGAGATTGATTGAGGTGAAGTGCATCTCAATTAGCTTTATCCTTAAGTCCATGCAGTAATAAGAGGCTTTTATCACAAATGAAATACTCAAAATAGATTACAATATGTTTTTTTACTAGATCTTTCTGTCTTCGATGACAACGTGTTCATCAACTAACACAAAATGCGATTTTGTACTCAACTTCTCATTTTTCTATCTAAAATCCTTGGTTAGTTTCTAATGAAGATCTTTGATTATCGTTGATAAAGATTTCACTAGCAATCAACCATCTCGAGTGACTATTTCTATTTACTATTTCTTTGTAGAAAAATTATGAAGTCAAAATATGAAGAAAAAAGATTATTTTGGCATCAATGATCTTGGACCCTTTGTCAGCCACTTAGCTATATATAAGTGAGATTAATAAAATTCTACTTATATCCTTGAAATAGTAAAAATACATGAATTTTACATTCTCTTTAACTAGGAGTAATTTTGACATTATTTTGACTGAAAAAAGTAGTTGGTGGTTCAATCTCACATTGGTTGTTTCAAGGAGTTTAAAAATGTATATAAATATGGGTCATCTGATGTATTTGGTGGCTTCTCCCAAAAATAAAATGACCACGACCACTTAAGGAGAAGAGATACCATGTGATATGCTCCCATGCACACACGTGTGGCAAGTCATACCTTGCTCCACACATCCATTCAACCTTAGTGATGTGGAAGAAGAGTGATACACGCGTGCTCTATGTGGGTTTCTTAAACCACTTGAGCCTAGCTCATGGTTACCTCAAGTCTAGCTCCACCCACATAAACATAACACCCTCAAGATCAACTATTGAGTACCAATTGGTCAATGGGTCCCATCTTTTTAATATTTTTTATTTTTTTATTTTAAATTAAAAATATGAATATAAAATCATAGAAAATAACATAATTAATCATAAATTCACATTAGTCACATAAAAACTATTTTTTTCAATTTAAGGTAATATAAGCTTACTTATCATGAGTATAAAATATGTCATTAAATTAGTTATTAACTCATGGTAATAAAGACCATTTCTCATTAATAAAATTAGAGAAAATAAGTTCTATGTGGGTCTTTCTTTTAAAGCAAAAGTTTGATATTTGTGATACCTTAAATTTTTCTATGATAACTAATAATTATTTTGACACATATAAAGAAATTAAAATCCAATAATACTAAATAATACTTTAGCCAGAGTTTGAATTCTTATTTCCAATCCAATGGTGTAATATATGAATCATGTTCTATATATATTTCACATCAAAATATTTTAGTAGAGAGTAAAAATTAACATCTTTTAGAATTAACTCAATCAAATTTTATTCGAGTAATTTACCAAAATTTTCCAGAGTAAGCCTATCTTAACAGCCCCATATCTTATCAATCACTTTTCTATTAGAACCTTAAGCTTTCAAAGTCCTTTGGACTCATTGGCAATACACTTTTCAAATAATCAAATTAAAACTATTTAGTTGTGTTTCCTTTGTTGATCATCACAATTAGACTAAGGAAAAATTAGAGTCATAATTACTCAAATACATATTCCTTGGATATTCTCATAATAAAAAGGGGACAAATGTTATCATCCTCTTACTTGAAATTTTTTTACATCAATGGATGTTTCATTTCATGAATCAAAACCTCACTTTTAAAAAAAAAACTTTTTTTATTGATTATAGTCATCATCATGTAGATAATTAAGCTCCTTCATCTTCTAGTAATTTGTTTGTTCCCATTTTAATCCCTCAAAAAAAATAATTCTATTCCATAACTACTTCTTGAAACTCTCAGATCTGGCAAAGCCTACACATGGAGAGGAGAAATTCAAAACTCCACTCAAATTCATACCTTTGATTTGCCCTTGGAGAATATCCAAAACTCCATCCCTATACCATCAGATGATCATGACACTTCTCATTGCCTAAAGAACAACACCACTAAAATGCACAAAGAAGTCTTTTTACCCATCAGCTAATTTTTTATCCTAACAAAGGCTCTCTCTACCCTCTTAGTCTTTCCTCATCTCTTAGATGGCACTACTATTCCAACAAATGTCTCAAAAGCTCTATCCAAGACAGAGTGAAAGCCTATGGATGATGAAATAAGAGCCCTACAACAAAAATTAAACTTGGGATTTGGTGAAATTACCAAAGAGAAAGAAAGTGGTTGATTGTAATGAGTGTATATTGTGAATTGTATTCAGATGGTTTGATGGAGTGACATAAAGTTAGGCTAGTGGCAAAGAATATACACAAGTTATGGAATCAATTATCAAGAAAACTTGGCACATGTGGAAAAAATGAATACAATCATATTTTTGGTATCTTTAAGTTATAATTTTCAGCTGGGACATACATCAATATGATATAAAAATTACTTTCATACATGGTGATTTTATTGAGAAAATTTATGACTCTTCCACCATAATATTGGGTCAACATTCATCAAATATTATTTTTAAACTAAAGAAGCCTCTCTATAGACTCAAATATTCACCTAGAGCCTAGTTTGGACAATTTGCAGAGATAATGAAAAAAGTGAATTATTACCAAAATAATGGTGACCCTACCTTATTTTTTAAACACCTTCTTTAGGTAGAGATACAATTCTTTTGGTTTATGTCAATGATATCATCATCTAAGGAAATGATAGAATTAAAATGCATAACTTAAGCCATTGTTTGGCTAAAGAATTTGACATCAAAATATTGAGATGACTCAAAAAAAAATTGAGGATCAAAGGGGCTCACTCTTCTAAAATTATTTTTATCTCTTAATCTAAGTACCTAACATATATGTTGAAGGATACATGGAAATCTGCATGTTAACCAACCAATACATTGATTAATCTGAATCACAAATTCTACCTAATGAAGGAAGAAACTTCTACTGAGTGTGAGATGTATCAACATCTTATTAATTAGTTACTTAATTTGACACATGTATCAATGTCTCATTGGTTGATTACTTTATCTAACACACACTCAACTATGTATCAAATGCAGTAGGCATATTAAGCCAATTTATGCATCAGCCAAAAGAGCCTCGTCTACATGTAACCTATCATGTATTACATTACTTGAAAAGCACACAAGGTAGAGAAGTCATTTTCAAATGAAGTGGGAAGGTAGAAGTTGAAATGTTTATAATGCTGATGATGCATAGTCAATGTCTAATCAAAGATTAACTTCTGGATATCTCACAATTAGAAGAGGCAACGTTGTTACATGGACAAGTAAAAAAAAAAAAAGTGGTTGCTCATTCAAGTGCCAAAGCTAAATTAGGGCACTTGAGGTGTATGTGAGTTACTTTGGGTGAAAAATTTACTTAATGAACCAAAGATCTCTCTTACTAGTCATATGAAGCTCTATTGTAACAATAAGTCAGTAATTGATTATACATAATCTATTATAGCATGATCATACCAAACATGTGAAAGTTGATCATCATTACATCAAAGAAAAATTGAAAGCAAATTTGATTTATATGTCATAATATACTTATTAAAGGCCTCTTAGGAGTTCAACTATAGAAGATCATTCCCAAGTTCAGAATGAACATCATCTACTCTCCAACTTCAGGGAGAGTGTTGGCAAGATGTATCTTGTATAATTTGAGTTATGTGACTATGTCTAGAACTTTGGGAGGTTTATTATAAATAACATACCCCATGCTCTTTGAAATGAAATTTTAGTGTATTACCCTTTGAAATAAGAGAATATTTTTCTCCACAAGCTCTGATGTCACTATTTATCTTCAATAGATGTGGTGGGATTTACTATGTCGCCAATTACAGTCTCACTATGCAAAGATGATCTGACTAACCTCTTCATGCATTTGATGTTACTCTTTACCATATCAAGTTTATTCCATTATTATGCTTACACAGTATATCTCAATTGTATTGAACATAGAGGTTGATCTGTTCTTGAATTGGAGGACCATCACAAAATGCTGTCATATATTCACGTCTGTGAAATATGTCGGGATTATCTCCTTATGCCACTAAAGTCATCCGATTGATTTTATTCACAAAGCTCATAACATCATGATCTGCAAGAAAATCAGATTTCCATGCCTAGCCATAGAGTTCCATGTGATGATGGCGCTACGAATCAACAACAGAGTTTGGCACAAAAACCCATTCGTCACAATAATTTTTTTACAGTACAATAAATAGCCTTCATAATTTCGACGCGGAGCCGGAGAGAGCATGAGTGATGAGCTCTCTCCTCAGTATCTTACCAGCTGCCGATTTAGGTATCGATTCTATGAATGCCACTCGCCTAACCTTCTTGTACGGCGCGACCTGCAAGAACAAGAAAAGGGTCTCTCAGCTCGCCAACCAGAGGAAACAAAATCCACTAGAACTGAAGCAGGTTATTTAGAATTTCAAAGAAACAACGAGCTCGGACTACTACTGTACATCACAACAGAGGGCGACGGTTTCGATTGATTTCAGAGCCCTTGTAATCTTCCATCCGTTAGGTTTCCTCTCTCCCTCAGGTGATCAAAGGTAACTGGAGTGCCGAGTTTTCATTTATTTACCGTTTTTGCAACGAATTCCATTACTTGTTCCGCACTGAGAGTACCACCAGGTCTTCTCACGACATAAGCCATTGGAATTTCTCCTGCTTCTTCACTGGGATACCTGTAATTTCACAACATTTCTTCAGAAGATAACAACAAGAAGAAAAAAAAAAAAGCATGAAACTGCCATGATATACCTACCAATCATCACACCACGACCCCAATGAAGATAATACCTATTACCTACATCTCCCCAGCTTGGTTGCATGCCAACTCATCATCTCATTAGATTATGTCGCTGTAATCTCGCAAAATTAATAATTTCCTATAAAAATATATCATCTTAAAATCAGAAAAGTTGAAACCGGATAATCATCCCCCTTTCACTTCCGGTAAAATACATTCTTTACGTTTCAGTTTAAAAATCTCATCTTTCTCGAACAGCTCCTGGAAAAAGTTGGTGAAGGGCAATCAAATAACCTTTTTATCTTTGATAATCTCTATCCCCGTAGCCAATACCTTGATCAGTATAATCGTTTTCTGAGCACTAGCCATCGCATGAAACGCGAAATCTACTTCTCCACACTCCACCTTTCTGGCCGTCTATTCTTTATAAACTCTACTAGTAAGCTGTTGCCCCCCAAATAAGCCCAGCATCTTCTTTCGACGATATTAGCATTGGCCATATTGGATGTCAGTGTCTCTACCACCACCCACTCACGAAGTCCTTTAGGCCCTGGGCTTTGGACCATATCATTGTCGTCATCCCCCTGAAACCATATCCCCCTTCGGCTGAATGTCATGTCGCTGGAAGTTGTGTCCAGGTAAATTTTCCACTAGCTACGTTCAGCACAACCACCCAGCTCCTAGTCCACAGCCAAAAAGCTCCATTTCAACACCCCCTCTCCCCCTTACAATGCATTTTACTAATTCTATACAATCAGCTCAACAACATCGTTCGTCAGACAGTAGGCCGTTGGATGATGATCTCGTCTACAAATTCGTGAATTGGATAGAGGTAAATAAATAGGCACAGATTCAGAAATGATTGAACATATTCCAGGTCCTTCCTAACGTAGCCTGATTGGTGACAGTTCCCAAGAGCGTTATCTCGTATGCTACACTTGGCAGATTCAACCAGTCTCCCGCACTGCTCAAGTTTGCGACTCTGTATGAGGACCTTCCCTTCTGCTCTGCCCACTCTGCTATATTTTGCTCATGATTGTGCTGGCACTCGCACCTGAGGACTTCATCAAGCTTTTCGGTCTTCTTTGAATGACGAATGAAGGAAGGTTTTTAAGCCATTCGTGCATTCAGGGAAGATGAGCTGATGGGATTTCTCAAATGGTAGTGAAGTTCGCCATTCAAGTCAGGATTGACATCACCCTCAATGTCCTGTCGGACTCTGGACAGCACTTAGATCTGAAAATGTATCGACACAACTGTAGTCTAGTGTAGAACTAGGCACTTCTAGGCCCCTTCCTGGATCAGACCAGTACTTTGAATACCACGGACCCTCTGTAATCTATTGCAGCCGAGCCATTTCATGAATGCGGTGTGGGGAGTCGCTTAGCATAGTCCGTTGATTCCATATATTGTCGGGCAAGCAGGGATAAATTTAGGCCACCCTGGAATAGTGGGTTTGGCGCTACTCTATATTTTTTTTCCCAGAGGAGGATTAGAAACTTTTTATGTCTCTGTTGCATTATGTTTATGTGTCCAAAAAGATATGGTGACTCCAAATCTAAAACAAATAACACAAACCAGAGTTCCTAGCCAGAAGGACATGTTCATCCACATAAATAAATAAAAAGAGACAGAGGCAAGACTGAAAGTTAAATGAATCGAATGGTTTCACACTTACGGAACCACAGCTGCATCAGATATCTCTGAGTGTGAGAGAAGTACACGCTCCAATTCAGCGGGAGGAACCTGCAATGCAGCTAGGGATGAATCCTTAGAAACACAAAAGGCAGCCTACTCTGTCAACGAACTAACTACTCATCGTTACGGCATAATATATCCACCGTTAAAAGAGCTTACGATACCTGATATGCTTTGTATTTTATGAGCTCCTTTAACCGATCAACAATAAAGAGAAACCCATCTTCATTAAAGTAACAAAGATCACCGGTCTTCAACCAACCCTCTGAATCCAACGTGGATGCAGTAGCCCCATCATCACCGAGATAACCTGTAAAGAACATCTTGAAAAAGTAAGCATCAAAATCAATGTCCGCGATCATCAAAAGAATATAATACTTTTCATCTAAAACCCACCACCCACAAAAAACTTTCGAAAAACTGTTTAGAACTTCAAATAAACAGTCACTTAAATTATAATGATTTGAAACGTGGGCAGGACGTAAGGGATAATAGACCAGATTGTAGTCACCGCTTTAATGGGAGGACAGAGAGGGTCTATATTTCTACCTATACTTCAAGTAGAGGAAATCCCGGTTAGAGCATAAATCGGAAATTGTGTCTTGCATTTCTAAGTTTTTTAATCGTATTGATCCTTTTATACTTGCCATTTTCATATTACCCCAGCTAGTCCAGAAAACTCTATTCGTGGGCTCCATTTGGTGCAGTGATTCGAATACCGCGATGGATTATTCGGGCACTATCAAGCATTACACCCCACAGAGCACAGATTGATCTCGAGCAATACCTTTCATGATGGTTGGCCCCCGCAACCATAACTCCCCACGCTGGCCTGGAGGAAGAGACTGGCCGGTGACGGGATCCACGATTCTGGCCTCCACGTTGGATCCCAAACGGCCGACAGACCCGTGCACGAGGGTCTCCTCCGGCCCTTCAGTCGCCGCTCCTTGTCCTCCTGATTCAGTCAAGCCATATCCCTGCACACGAGATCCATAAGCACATCAACTCCCAAGTAACCACAAGAGACCGGGGCAGTCCGAATAAGGGAAAAGAAAAACTATGTATCTTCCTGCTCCTCTCGAAACCACAGATCACCTGAACTATCTGGATGTGGGGGAAACGCTTGGTGAATCGTTCCGCCACCTCCTTGCCAAGCGGAGCCCCACCACAGCCCACCACTTCGAGCGAAGACAGATCGAACTTATCCACGGCGTCGGACTTCACCATCGCCACGATTAACGGCGGTGACACGGGCATGAACTTTACACGATGCCTCTCCACGGCCCGTAACAAGGAAACGAAGTCTAACCGCTCCAGGAACACCATCGTATGGCCTAATACTATTACCCGCAGTAGCATCATCAAGCCGAAGACATGAAACAGGGGCACCGTCAAAAAGGTCACCGCCTGACTATCCCTCTCACCGGTCTTCTCGCATTCGGCCATAAGGGCGATGAAGTTGCCATGAGACAGCACCGCCGCTTTGACCTGGCCAGTAGTACCCGAGGTTAAGAGTGCAGCGGCGGGGTCGGACTGGAGGATCTCCGGTGCAGGCAGAGGGACGCCGACATTGTCGTTCCAGAGGAGGCAGTAGAACTGATCCTGGTCAAGAAGGACGATCCTGACGCCCCGGGGGAGCTTGTGAGCTTCGGCAGAGGTTGCAAATGCAATGGAGGGACGGATGAGGTCGAACTGGCGGGAGATCTCCACCGCAGTCGACGCTGGGTTGGAGGGGGATACAACGACGCCGATGGAAAGGAGCGCGAAGTAGAGAACCGGGATGTCTAGGCGGGCGGGCGAGAGAACGAAGGCCGCCTCGCCCTTGGACAAGCCGAGACGAGACCGGAGGTTCCATGCGAGGCTGCGCACCTGAGAGAAAAACTCCCCGTAGGTTATCGAGGCACCTTCCCTGGAGGAGTTGATGACGGCAGGCGTCTCCGCCACGGACTTCCCCGCCGGAGAGGAAGAGAGGCGGGCAAATATGTAGGATGTGACGGACAGAGGTTGCGATGAAGGCGGGAGAGCATTCGGCGGGCGCAGGCTGTAGAAGGTCCTCGTCGCCGAGCAGAATCCGTTCCTCGGATCGACAGAAGACGGAGGCGGTGGCGGAGGAGAGGTAGCGCTGCCGCCGGCACCGTCCATCGACCAGAGCCTGCGTCGTCTCCGGCTCCGGGAAGGGGCGATGGGAAGGAGGGAAAAGGGAAGCGAGTTAAGTGGATCCCAACGTCGTCGTTGCCTGTCAAACTTGGTCACAATATGTTATCAATAAACCCTTACAATATATCGTGTATACTATTATAGCCTTTTAGGTTTTAAAATACGCTCGTATCCATTTACTCTCTTGACGGAGCCGCGGCCTGCCCTGCCGTGGAAGTACAGACGTCGACATAACTAACTGACTTTGGAGTACATTTCGGTTCCTTCTAGAGAGATGACGGCGACGCCGTTTGCCGTCCGGCTGACTCGAACTTCTTCGGCTCAGTGACGTTACTAGATACCACGTGCCAGACTTTGGGCCTCAAAATATACTCCATGGTGGAAAGCTACGTGGCGCACTCACACACACATACATATTACAATTATTGTACTTTTTTCTTCTGATTAAGTATTAAAGATATTAAGTAATATAAAATTTAATCGGGTTAAAGTTTATCAGTAATCCACTCATTTTGCATTTTTGTTTTAATTGAATGTCTCCCTAATATTAGCATCAAGCTCAATGTAGGTTATTCTATAAAATTATTATCCATTCCAACTCTTTATAAACTAAAATAAATAATAGGTAGGTCCTATTTTCTCTTGGCCCTTCTGTCCCCACAACTGTGCATGCATTACTAGGCACTTTGGTTAAGTTTACTATTTTATTCGAAGAATTATCATTATTTTATCAAAGATACAATGATAATTTTAGTTTTGATGGAGAGAGAGAGAGGAGCGGAGGGGGTAATTAGTCTTGAGTCGGATGACTAACAATATTAACAAGGTCAACGAGGCGTTGAGACATGGGATACACTCGAGACTTTGTGAAAAGACCTTCCGACAGTCGGCTTTCTTGGAAAGTCCCTCGCACTCGGCATGCCACAAACCAGATCAAGAACCGTCGTGTGATGTAGAATTAAGGGGTGTTTTTGGTTTATACAGAGTGGAATTTGTCTCTACATATGCATCCTTGGGAAGTGTTTATCGTCAGCTCCAAAAGCTCTGGCCTACAAAGTCTTCAGGCGCCTCCCGCTGGCCGAATTGGCTGCCTGCACCGGCCAGGACCTCACTCAGATAACTAGTGTTCATGGGGAGGAAGGAGTCGTCCCCGAGCAACAGATCCACGGGGAAATTATCGCAGCCAGGAGAGGTTTGATCGAACGTGGAGCCGCCGCTGCCGGCGTTTGAGCTCTGAAGATGCGACCGGTGATCGGCGCCGTCGTCGCCGGCGGATGGAAGGGAGGGGAGGGATGAAGGAGGAGGGAGAGGGAAGTCGCCAAGAGGGGAGCCGCTGTGGTGGGCATCGCCGTCGCCGCCGGCGAGCGGCGGCGGACCCACAAACCGGGAGATGAGCATGTGTTCTATGGATCTGAGGCACTGCTTGACGTAGTCGGAGAGGAGAGGATTGCACAGGGGCTGGTGGGTCATCGGATTGATCCCCTTGAGCACCAGCATCTTCCTCAGCTTCGTGTTCCACAAGTTCTTGATCTCATTGTCTGTTCTACCTGGCAGCTGGGACGCGATAACCGACCACCTGAGATCACGTAGAGGAATGGTCACGATGCAAACCTACCGAGAACTCGACATAACTTCATACATCAAATACCACGAACACCCATTCGTGTTCTAGATTTAATTCGAAATAAGTTCCCTATCCTCTAATCTTTAAGCCTTTGGCATTTCTGCATGTGGATATATCTATCTACATCGACATACGGAGAGAGAGAGAGAGAGAGAGAGAGAGAGAGAGGAAACCCAGCGGCAGAAGACAGAATGCTTCATCTGGGGGAGCTTGTTAGGTGGGGGGGAGGGCTCATCTTAGGTCAACTAACGCCTTGAGGCGATGGGTCGCAAGACGTCCGTGCGAGCCTTTCCCATCTTTGACTAGTCTGTATCTGGTGAACCGAGATGAAATTTGAACTCCATTCCATGATTGCTGTCGAGTAAAGCACGAAATTTTCAATCGTAGTAGTCTGAATATTGCAATCGAAGTTGGTTTTGGGCTCCAATTTCCGATTAAAAATCCGTGATGGAGAAAAAAAATACTAAAGGTCAACCTCCTCTGGCGTAAAAGTCAGTGATGAAGGAGAAGTAGACAGAGATGATAACAGACTGATGGGGAACCGATGATGTCTAAGTCACATCATCCTTCACTTTAGTCCAGCTGTAAACTGACGAAAACAATGAAGGAAACCTTTCGTATAATCGCAATCATGTTCTACGAAGCGTCATGTTTGAACGTGTTTTCATGGTAGTTCATCTACCCACTGACTCCTGGTGACAGCCCTACCACGGATGGCAGCTCGCATCCAATTTTTTTTACAAAGGGTAAGAGTAAGTTCTGCAGTTCATACAGGATGACTCCTTCTGCCCTAATCACTATCTGGGTTTCCTTCTGGACTCAATTTACATGAGAGGAATGGAGAAGACGAATGCCCATGGGTACTCTACTCGTTCTATTTCTGTTTCTATCAAAAATTTCAGCGTGGGAAGAGATGAGTTAATTACTTGTTGCCGACTGCAGAATGGAGCTGGATGATCAGCTCCTCCTCCTCCGGGCTGAAGTTACCTCTCCTTATATCCGGCCGGAGATAGTTCATCCAGCGCAGCCTGCATGATTTTCCGCATCTGATCAACCCTGCAAGAACAGTCGATCACCCTCTTCATACCAAGACGGATCCACAGGTGCGCTTCCAACGGGGAAAATAGAGATCTGAAAGCTGCAGAACAAGACATTTCCGATGGATCCTAAGATTTCCAGCGGCGAGAATACGAACCAGCTTTCTGGGGAACCAAGCGCCAGCTTGTACTGGGGTGGGCGAGGACAAAGGCTTTGAGCTTCTCATCCTCTTCGTGAGTCCAGGGCCCCTTCTTCAGGCCGGCATGCTCCCCGTTGCAGCACGGGGCTCGACCCATGGCTGAGATGAAATGGGGATACCGTAGGCTGCCAGGGACTCACCCCATCGTACTATATATATCCCGGGCTCGTTCTCTCTCTCTCTCTCTCTCTCTCTCTCTCTCTCTCTCTCCCTCCCTCTCTCTCTATCTTTCTCTGTCTCCATCCATCTAAATGCATAAATATTTATAGTATGAAGATTCTTTGAATGCCGTTGGGACGACCGTGGCTTGCGGAGCTGTAAGACCTCCGGCACTTACGTAATCCGGCTATATGCCTCACTGTTTGAAGGTCAGAGAACAACCAATCGATATTCTGGAGCTCTATGGAAAAGATAAAGAAAGACAAAGGGGGAAGCATTTTTTCGATGCCGTCCAAAAATTAGTCCGAGCTCGTATCCGTGATCTGATAATGACGCGTCCCTCAGGATGTCAAACTCCCTCCGTTTCTTCCCGATTTATCTAATCCTCTAATAGAGTATTACTTTTACGGACGGAATCTGTCTCGCCATTGACGCAATACTATCTACGGCCGAAAGCCCTCGAGCAAACTCAAACCAGTCACATGGCTAATCTCAGGATATTTTCACGCGCAAACCTAACGGAAGTTTCAGATAACCTCGATCTTGAAGGACTAATCTTGATGTCCTCACATCTGTTACCAGTAGCTAATGAGAGATCACCCACAATCTGAGATCACCCACTTGGGTGCCCTTACGGCGGGCGGCGATCTCTCCACGCGACTCTCGCCCTCGCGGGAATAATGCAGTGCTCTCGTTCTTCATGCAGAGAACATCGCAGCCCAGAACCGGTCGGCTATTGCGATGAACACTATGATGGTCACACCGGGATTAGTTTCAGGCCGCTCTCCACTCTTTCTCTCTGAGTTCACGGCCTCAGATATCCAAGCACGTCGTAGGAAAACATCGCAGCCGTTGGCTGAGAATCTTATGAAATATCCCCTGGCGTCTGAGCCTAACATGCATACATTTAAAACCAAGGGATTGGAAAAGAATCTCGGGTGGATAGGATCCCGTTAAACTGCTGCGGCGTGGTAGATGATCGGCAGCAATGGCGCAGCTAATCCGATACCCTGGTTTTGAGTTCTGGGTAACGAACACTTTCACTCGACGTCGTATGCCGTCTTCGTTCGGACGATTTTCTATCTTCCCCTAGAGGAAGTTAGTCGCCGTGGATCTTCAAGATAGTTTCAGAGGAGCTCTGAGTGAAGGGGGGGAGGAGGATTGAGGATTACATTGATCGTCCGTAGATGACAAGGGCTTTACTGAACTGAAGTACATAAATGGCGCCCGCCCGCGGGCGTTGACATTTCTTCTGCAGAGATGAAGAGATCGAAGACCTTCCGAGGGGAATTCTACGATCCATAAACAAACCTACCGTGGAATCTGATGACGTCGGAAGGCGCGTCACCCTCTCCTCTCCCATTGGAACAGCTCGTCCATTTCAGATGGGCGGGTCGGCGATTAAGAGACGAAGGCCCGGTGTTTGACTTCTCTCTCCCTGAGATTCTCCCGAGGAAAAATTGTCCCGCGCTCTCTGTAGAGCCCCCCTCCACGGCATGGAAAACCCTCCGAGGCCTCGTACTATAACGTGTGGAAGTTCTCAATGTATTATGATATCATGAAAGGGTGGGGGATGAGCACGTTAAGGATTATGGTCCCCATTAAGCTGTCCATACGACGGCAGCTGTGCCGCCCGATACTTTCTATGACCCTTTGAAAACATCCCCACATACAAACAGGCGAAGATCGAAAGCTAAAGCCTGTGTGCTGTCGATTTCCTATGTTGACGGCACATTCCATTTATAGGAGGTACTGGCCGCCCCGGAAATTGCGAGAATGGTCAAGACTGTGTGCCTCATGCCGCACATGTACCAGTATGAGAGACATATAGAGACAGGAGAGAGAGAGAGAGAGAGAGAGAGAGAGAGAGAGAGAGAGAAAGAGAGAGAGAAAGAGAGAGAAAGAGAGAGACAGAGAGAGAGACAGAGACAGAGACAGACAGACAGAGACAGAGATGGGCTGTCTTGTGAGTAACACTTTTGTTGGGCCCGTTGACTCTCTAGTCCGTAAGCACAGCTGATACATGCCTTAGATGGAGGCAGACGAACATCATAAATCATGGATTAAGATGATGGGTCTTCTTGGGGCGTTGTTCCTCACAGACCCACCGAGCCCAATGAATCGTCCATAAATATGATTTTAGTTCCATCAAGGGCTAGATCCAAGATACCTCCTTGAAGGAGCTATTCTTTTTGGCCCCTTTTTAGTCAAATAATAGATAATTACTGTCTCTCTGTATATATATTCACGGCAAACCCCGCACGCGTGTGTTTGCTGTAACAAGAAGATATAACGGCCTTTGATAGAAAATGAAGCCGGGATTTCCTAAAATATCCCAGCCGTTCGAATCGACGAGCCTCGAGACATTCTGGAGGGACAGCGACAGGCGCCTCAGCTTCTGACACGCGTATCATGACGCGGTCTCTCCGGACTGTGGAATCCACGTTGATGCGTCGAAGGCGTCTCCGGTCCCGCACCGGTCTGATGTGACCCAGCAACGACTCTGGACCGGGTCCAACCTTGGTGACGTCGACCAAAGCACGGCTGGTATTGAGTTCCGGCGGGTAACCGAACCGCGGCCAACTCAACAGCGGCAAGAGTGTACGCCAACGCCGTCCTCCCGTCCTCCCACTTCGCCACGTGGCTTCCGCCGACGTGCTTGAATGTGGGCCGGGAAGGTTTATCTCGTCCTAGGAATAATGACGCAAATAATGGGGCGGGCGGACTCGGTGTTACCCATTTGTTATAGTGGGCCTGTGAGATTCAGGAGGAAGTCGGGATTAATGGGCCAAAGCGAGGCCCACTCAAGAAATCCACTTTGGGCCCTGACCAGTTCGTGAAAGATGGGCCTTAATGGCCTTTGAACGTCCGATTGAAGATCCAACGGCAGGAAATCCACGAGCGCGTCTTCTAGGGGTGAGATATGGAGAAAGCTCTAGACGTGGGCTTGGTCGACATGCTTATCGTGCCGTTCGGGCCAATTAACGTGGGCCAGGCAGATTTAGTATTATCCTTTCGTTATAGTGGGCCAAATCGAGGCCCACGTCAGGAAAATCCACTTTGGACCAAGGCCAGTTTGTGAAAGATGGACCCTAATGGCGTTTGAACGTCCGATGAAGATCCAAGGGTGTGAGAATCCTCGACAGCATCTTTCGGGGCGGGGGAAGCTATGGAGCTTCTCGGTTCTCCCCTTTCGGCGTCGAGAGAAGTGGAGATCGGGGAGACTGTCGTGCCCTAGCGAAGGGAGCGCCAGGAGCAGAGGAAGAGCGAGGGGGAGGAGATGGCGGACTACCACTTCGTGTACAAGGACGTGGAGGGGGCGTCTACACAGTGGGACGACATACAGCGGCGGCTGGGGAACCTCCCGCCGAAGCCGGAGCCCTTCAAGCCTCCGGTCTTCTCCCCGGGGCCCCTAGACGAAGGGAAACCTACGAAGTCCGCTTCGTGGATCGACGAGAGGACCGAGGAGGAGCTCGAGGACCTTGAGGATGACCGCGACCTCGACGATGACCGCTTCCTCGAGGAGTACAGGTCCGCGGACCGCTACACCGCCCTCGTCGAAACTTTGTAGCCCTAGATCTGACTTTGGCGCTAGGATTTAGGAAGAAGAGGTTGGCGGAGATGAGGGAGGCTACGCGGATCTCGAGGTTCGGATCGGTGCTCCCTATTGCGGGGTCGGACTTCGTCCGAGAGGTTTCGCAGGCATCCCCCGACGTCTGGGTTGTGGTGCTTCTCTATAAGGACGGGTACGTTCACACTCGCGTTCGATTTCTTTCAGAGAAGCAGATAGGCCTTCTCCCCAATCATCCGTCTGCATTTGCTCTACGACAGCAAGAACTGATTACCTAAGCCCGCCCCACATCCTACAGATCTTGCCGTCATAGACTGCCATTCTTGTTTTCCTGCAGGATAGCAGAATGCAAGGTGCTGCTGAATTGCCTCGAGGAGCTGGCCGCAAGGTACCCAGCGACAAAGTTTGTCAAGATCACATCAACAGACTGCATCCCGAACTACCCAGACCGCAATCTTCCTACAATCCTGGTTTACAACTCTGCCGCTGTGAAGGGTACTCATGTGGGTTTGCACCCTTACGGCGGCCGGAAATGCACTGCTGAAGGTATGCATGCTCTCCTTGTTGCTGTTTTTTTTTTTTTTTTTTTGTTTAAAAAAAGTTAAAAAACCCTGTTTTGGTGTCATTGTGTTTTGATAATATGCATTTCACACTAATTTTTTCATACCCATTTCAGTAAAATCGATGGAATTTCCCATTGATTATAACCAGTAGCTTTGCCGCCTCAGATCAGGCATCTTCTCAATGCCACACCCAATACAATGCACATGAGACGTCCGTTAGAGAAAACCTGAACGACTATTAGCTTGCAAGGTGTCTATGGGGATCAGTTTTATTTGAAGAAGTGCCGATGGGAGCTTTCTTTTCTAGAAGTTTCTTAGGTTCTGAATCTTGAGAAGAGCTGGACTTGCAGTCAGAGGCTGTGCTACTCAGCTCCATCTAGTTTGCGTAGTCATGCATCCATACCCTTCATTGGGATTTGTTTTCAGATCTTTCTATGTCCAGCAATAAAATGGACAATCGATGGAGATAGAGCTGATATGCTCCTGGTGGAGGTGTTTATGTTTGTGATGTGAAGAGTAATGTCTATGGTGGTCAAAGATCCGGCATGAACTCTCTTGATCATGAAAACGGGGAAAAGATTTTGTGTCTGAGTAATTATGCCTAGGAAATCATGGGGGCATGGACTGGGGTTCTCTCTCTTATGGGATTCAGTTGCAGCGCATCAAGTATTGGGAGGAATTCAGTGCAGAGAAAAACTGTTCTTTGTGGCGCATACGGTACAGGAATGAGATCTTACATCTAATTTTTCTTACTAAGTTGTGGAGACGTTGATCATTGTTATTCAAGTGGATAATCTTATTTGGAATGAGCCAGCTTTAATGGTAGAACATCTTCGAGACTTTTGTGGCTTCTATGCTCCTTTGGCTGTGACAATAGATGTCATGTCAACGCAAATCCACCGACAGTAGGTGTATAGTTGATCGCCCAGGTGTGACCCAAAAGTGCTGATTTCTCTTAGGGAATTCGTGATGTAGTTTTCCTTAATTTCTAGTAACATATGTTTATAAACCGAACTGTGAAAGTCAACATGAAGATGCAGTTTGTTTGGGTTTCCTCTCATTGATCACCCTCCTCAAACCCTCCCTGATCCTTCAGCGGTGGCGTTGGCCCTCTGCCAATCCGACCCAGTTCTTAACGACGGGCGCGCCCAAGGCGATTCATCAAGGCAAGCGGTCATTGATGGCGTCCGCAGGAAGTTCATAGAGAAGGTTGTGAAGCAGCGCGAGGACGACGATGAGGACTACAGTGACTAGTTATTTCATGAAGGAGTGCTCTTTCTTGCACGGCTTTTGTTTGGCCAGACAGACTGGTTTTTGTGGCATTCTCCCCACACGTGTTATTAAAGAAGGGATTTTTCGAACAGGTAAGCCATGCTCCATTGAAACAAACAACGTTTGGAAATCTAAAGCCAGGTAATGATGATACACAGAGATCATAATCATGGAAGACAGCAATATCTTTTCATTTATTATCATTTGGATCCACCGTAATCTAAAGCAAGATAATGATACACATTGAGATCATAATCATATATATATTCATTTATTATCATTCGGATCCATTAGGTGTGGATCCCCCAGGGGAAGCAGGCTAGAACAGGAAGTAATTTCTGGAGAGGGGGACGGAGCTCACCGGGGCGCAGCTCAGGACCTCGCCGTCGGCGGTCACGGTGTACGCCTCGGGGTCGACCTCAATCTTCGGCAGGGCGTCGTTCAGCTTCATGTCCAGCTTCGTGAGGCCCCGCACGCCGCCGACGGCCTCCACCCTCTTCTTCAGCCCGTACCTTGCCGCAACACCGGCCTCCTTCGCAGCCTGCCACAGAGCAGCAAAGGACACAGCTTTAGACGATCCCTCGCCCATAACCCAGATGAATGGAGTGGACGAAGGAGGAAAGAGGGCAGGAGATGAGACTTGCCTTGCTCACAAAGGCTATGGAGCTCGCGCTCGCCGCACTGCCGAACGCGCCAAACATGGGCCTCATTATCACCTGCGAGTTTGTGGAAGGATCAGGCTCTGAAGAACGGCTGGGGAAAGAGGAGGGAGGGAAGTTGATGATGGTGGCACCGGCTCGGGGGTGGGGATGCTGGCGTTGGGGTCTCCCATGTTTGCCCATGCAATGACGCCGCCCTTGATCACCATTTCCGGCTTGGCACCGAAGAAAGAAGGCTTCCACATGACGAGATCTGCGAATTTTCCGGCCTGGAGCAGGTGTTCGACGGACTGAGTGCGATGGAAGAGGCGTGATTTGATATCGTGGAAGAGAAAGAAGGGAGGGAGATTTGTGCACCTCGACCGAGCCGACGAGTTCGGAGAATCCGTTCGCTATTGCTGGGTTTATTGTGTACTTGGCGACGTACCTCCTGATCCTGAAGTTGTCATTGTCGGAGGATGGAGGTTCGACTGATCTCCCCCTCTGCAGCTTCATCTTATGAGCAGTTTGCCATGTCCTCGTTATAACCTGAGAAACAGATCATTTGGGCTGTGATTCCTGGATGTTGCCACCACATCAAATAAAAACCTTTCATCGTCACCAGTATCTGATAAATCCATGAGTAAAGATATAAAGCAAAGAATATCTGAAGGCATGCCAAGTGCTAAGAGGAGGAAACCTCTCCAATGCGGCCCATAGCTTGGGAATCAGATGAAATGATGCTGATTGCTCCCATATCGTGCAAGATATCTTCTGCCGCAATGGTTTCTGCTCGTATTCGTGATTCGGCAAATGCCACATCCTCGGGGATGTCTCGGTCAAGGTGGTGGCAGACCAGCTGCAAGCGATGTGAGTCAAAGTTTTATGCTAGAAGATTGACCTGGAAGAATTAAGGGGGGGGGCTCATTCTGCCTACCAGCATGTCGAGGTGCTCATCTACAGTATTCTTTGTAAAAGGCCGTGTTGGATTTGTCGATGAAGGTAAGACATTCTTCACCCCGCAGACTTTGATGATATCTGGAGCATGCCCGCCACCTGCACCTTCACTGTGAAGACACCCGGATGCAGCAATCCTCAGTAATATACGTGTGGGTATAAATTATATGTAGACGATCAGCATTGGTTCAGGCCTTCTGATTATATTATAAACTGAGGAATAACACCCATTTGGTCAACGCCACACACCGCAACATCTACTGTTAAATCGACTTTCATCTAATACTGTTGTATATGGTATATAGCCAATGATAAAATAATAAATCACCAATAAAATGGGAAATTCGATCAGCAATGATTGATAGCGCGTAGAGCTTGGTAAAAATATTCGAGAAAACTGGGATCGACAGGTGCCAACAACAGAAGCTGTAATAAGATGGAAGCATGAAAGCAGAAGCCATGAAATCGTGCTCTTGAGTTCATCCAGACCATGGTTGAACAATGTCAGGAGCTTTCTATCAATATTTTTGGGGGAAAAAGATGGGATGCAGGAATACCTGTGATAAGTATGTATTGTTCTTCCTTTGAATGCAGCAATTGTATGTTCCACACATCCAGATTCATTCAAAGTATCAGTATGAATATTCACCTGTGTTAGGTGAATTTTAGCATCGCAAAAGAGGATTAAAAACTATGTAATATGAATGAAGAACAAGGACGCCCAGGTATAGATCATTACCTGAATATCAAAAGTGTCTGCCACTTCCAAACATTTATCGATTGCAGAAGGGGTGCTCCCCCAATCTTCATGCAGTTTCAGGCCCATTGCCCCAGACTCTATGATTTCGGTTAAACCATCAGGTTTAGAACTGTTTCCCTGATTAGCCAGGGAAAATGGAAAATAATTACTACACAAGAAGACCGGAATCGTTAGATCCTCCAATCTTTCCCTCAGAAGAACCCCGGTAACAAGAAATGCGCTGCAGTTCGGAAATAACCACTCCATACACTGAACAGTAAGGTGCTTTTTCTTTCCTCTGATGAAGAAAGTTTCTCTTTTTTTCAGTAAGAATTAATTTTGATAAAAAACAAAGCCTCTTTCTTGGAAAAGGGCAAAATAGAGAACCAAAATGATGGCGAGCAATTCGATAATCGAACTACTTGCAAAATATGTGCGTTTAACATAATAATACCTTGCCCGTGAAGCCAATATTTATAGGCAGTTCATCGGTTGACTGCAGCATCATTTGCATGTGGAATGGTGCAGGTGTACAAGTTGTTGCACGAGTTCCATCTGCCGGTCCTGTCCCGCCTCCCACTAGTGTCGTGATACCTTCAAAGAGAATTTCATTGAGGATACCTTCAAGGAGAATTTAAGCTGCAGCCTAGATTTAAATAATATATACTTTTATCAACAGGAAAATGATACCCCTAAACATGACAGCCGACCAGCTAAGATGAACCACCATGTATGCATAAAAACACAAGACTTTGACGAAGATATGCATATGAATTGAGATACGAACAATATTTCAACTCTTCTGAGCTTTAACACTAAGAAAGAGCAAACTAATCAGTCTGTAATGTAAAACCGACAATAATTTAAAACATCAACATAATAATAAGCGCATATCACGTATAATAATGAGAACCAAATCTATTTCCATTTACCGACAGAAAATCAGACGAAAAAAATCTATGACGTGTTTCTCTAGAAACTAAATATGCTCGTAGCGATTTTGTGAATATCCCAAGTACATCCAAATGCCTGACATAGAATAATATATAGGACGAAAATATGGATTATATATTTGGCTAGAATTTTTTTAAGCAAAACATAGATAAACCTCAGGCAGGCATTTATCCTTTTATTTCATACCCCCAGAAAAGAACATTACGTGTCGACATACCCACTCACCATGAAAGAAATAAGGATGATACAAGGAACATAATCGAAAGAAGAAGCGAGACGTCTAGGCATGTTTACCGTATAATTCCTGGAATTCTGTGTAACACCTATCAATTTTGATCAACAGAGTCAGATTTCAGACCTGAATTAGTTGGAACCAATCTGATCTGGCTTAGATCAAAATCGTTCAGTAATTAGCAAGGGATCAAATTATTCTGGAATTAAAGCCCACTTTCATATGCACAGCATATTGGGATTGGATTTCTCCCCTGAAACTGGGTCAGATGGGATAAATTCTGATCCACGATGAAATTGGCCAATTCTATATGATATATCATCAATAACCGAAGCACACCAATTAATCCTACGAAGACTGATCGAAAATTCACTGTCAATAAAGTACAATAATCCGGAGAGGCAGTCAAGCAAGAATCGAGTTCCCTGGTGAAGTTTCTCATTGAGCCAGCTGAGACTTATGCATCAAGATTTTATTAAGAGCATCCTCCACGCAGATTTTGATCTAATTAGTGTGGATTAAAGAGTAGGGACAATACTTTGCCCCCTACAAAGGAATTCACCTCTACAGTCATTGTGAATTTTTAGTGTGTTGCCAAGGTCGTCAAAAAGTAGATAATCCTTGGAAATCTAGGAAAGTAAGAGTATCCAAAAAAATCCACAACGTTGCATGAGGAAGAATAAAATTTGAAAATTAGTATTTTACAATATTCTTACCGCTTGAAATTGCCTCCTGAGCCAGCTGAGGGCATATAAAGTGTACGTGACAATCAATGCCCCCTGCTGTGACAATCATGCCTTCGCCAGCAATGACTTCAGTATTGACCTGTGCTTGAAGATATAAAACGAGCATCAGATAGAAAGAACATTCAAGATGCAACTTGACAGTAACATCATTGAAGTATAATAACTCACTCCTATTATCATGCCATCATGAACGCCATCCATCACGTCAGGATTGCCTGCTTTACCAATGGCAAAGATGATTCCTCCTTTAATACCAATATCTGCTTTGTATATTCCTGTGTAGTCAATGATCACTGCATTTGTTATGACGGTATCTAAGCACAGGGAAGGATGATAACCAGTAGCCTGTCCCATTCCATCACGGAGAACTTTTCCGCCTCCAAATACGCATTCATCACCATAAATTGCAAAATCCCTTTCAATTTCAGCGTACAAGTCCGTATCACCAAGCCGTATCTTATCACCAACAGTAGGCCCATACATGTTGGCATATGACTCGTGAGAAACTTTCACGCTAAAAGGGGAGTTGTCTGCGACAATGCCTTCACTGGAACAAACAAACAAGAAATTTAGTACACAAAGAGCGTACACTGAACACTACAAGTGTCCTTTTTAAAATATTTTAAATTAAATGCATAGAAACTGGATATTTAGCGACACCCATGAAGAAATCAAACCTGGCTTCAGGGTATTCTTCATGTCCAAATCCGTTGGCACGCACAGCTTCCATAATACTTTCAATCTGAACTGCATTAACAGGACCATCCACAATGCTGTTTCCACCCCTAATCACCTTCTTCCCGCCAATGCTGACAAGAGTTACGTTTTTCGCTTCTCCAGGCTTTTAGTATCAATGGGAACATTCACCAGATATTAGCAAAAAAAATAACGTATGAATTAAAAAATTGAGAATACAGACTGAATAGTTTTCACCAAAAGAAAGTACTGCATAAAAACTTGAGAACAAGTCTGACAGATAGATCGTTAATCAGCTAAGAAAATCATGAAAAAAGGCGATTATATTATGGAAATATAAATTAAGAACATAAGAACAAAACACCAGCTAAGAAAAAAAGTATTAAAAAATAATCCTTCCCAAATATCAACGGTAATAGCATTGGCGTCCAGTCTTTATCCAATTATCCATCTCGCAGCTTATGCATCTGAGACAGGTTTTTATGGGCTCTTGTTCGAACTACCTGAATTCAGAGTTTCTAGTAGTGCACACGATTTACATAAGATAATGCTGATCGCGAAAATTATCTAATCAATTGTATCATTTAATTCATGAAACTATGGTAATCTTGTTTATGCCACTGAGGAAAACCAGCAGTAACTAAATGATTTACATCCTCTTGGGAGAAGAGAGGTGATATTAATAACTCCAATTACAACATCTCTAATTTTCTATTCAGAGGCAATTCATCAGGATCCAACACTAACACTATATGACAAGTCCAAAACTTGTTTTACAAAGTGAAAGTTTTCAACATTACTGTCATATTATGTACCAAGCATCCATCATCACATCTTGAGGTCTTTAAAATATGCTCATGGCATAGCATGACTTTCCCTTCTCTTCCTTCTTGATGAAAAATGGTTGATCAGTGGGGAAACGAATGTGTATATGAGAGGCTGTTTGTAGGACGCTATGAATTCAAAGCCTCAGAATCAAATCCTACTATGAAGTACAATCTGTCACGCACCATGGGCGATCATATGGGGAAAATATCAGATAAACTGACAATGTAATTGCAATCCTCTAATAGAAAGCATGTTGGCTTTCAAATCAAGGAAATATGACATACGTGAAGATCTTGGAGGGGAATATTCTTCATTGGGTATAAAATAACCAACACCGAATCAAAATGGAGTACACAGTCCTTAACAAGTCGCTATGATGTCAGCCTTAACAAATCGTTATGATTGATCACAGCATCTTTTTAACATATCCGAGCTACATGGACCTTGTTTTCCTAATTTCAGCAGAAGTGACAGATTCTGATCTACAAAAATGTGAAATAAAGAGAAGAAAAATATTATGGTTGTGTCTACGTCATTATCTACGGGATGTACTCCTCATCCAAATTTCCTCGTTTTAAATCATGAGAAATTGTGAATCCTTTCTCAAAAAATTTCAGACCTTTGATGGTTCTCATCTCAACCCGAGATCTTAGACAGGCCGAGGAGCTGCCTTAATGATTCTCCAATTTTTATGTTCAGAATATAAGACATCAGTTACGTAAAATTACTTCATAACTCTCACGGATTATAATGGCTTTTAATGCACCACATTTTGCAATCGGTCAACATACGCAGATCCACAAAAAAAAATGCCATGTTGTGATTCTGGTAGTAGGATTTTACAGAAAGGATATAAATCCACGAAAGAATGTTCTAATCAGAGAAACAAAAAGGAACCCAAAAATGGAATGTGCTAAAAAATCCATTGATAGGAATAACCAAGTAGCTGTTCCTACCTCGAACCGAGTAGCTGTTCCTGCTGGTATATTTAACCTCATGCCACAGGCTCTCTTTCTATCAAAAACCAAGTAAGGGTTCACCTCAACAAAGTGATAGTGGCTCCCTATCTGAAAAAAAAAAGAATATGATAATTGATATATGGATATGGACGAAAAATAAACATTATTAACAAAATAATAAATGAAACCTGTTTCAGAATTTTACTCCGAATGGAGTTCCGTCATACAGCATTTACAAATTTTCTTTGGCAATACAATATTCATCATCGATATCTCTAACTTGGCATTCTTAGAGGGAATTCAATTCTATATTATGTACATAAGAACATGCCTGAAGCATGATCATGATGTAGGAATCTACCATAAGATGTAAGCAAATAGGAGAGATGGAAATATAAAATAAGCAGTATACCTGAACGGGCCTGTCTGCCATGTTAACAACTCTAAGTACAACGGCTTTTCTTCCCAAATTAAGCGTGATATTTCCATCCCCACAAATCAATTCACCAGGAAAATCATCGGGATCATTTCCCAAAAACTTCTCAAGTGCTGGAACTGCATAATTGAAGCAACAATACTTCAGCAGACTGAAATTAAACTACGATATGGTCACAACATATTTTATAGAGAAGGAAACGCAATAGAGAATTCACTATATCGCAGGACCTTCCAAATGATAAAATACAGATGTATAACAGTGTAATTAATGTGAGAACAGGCCTTGCATATGCATTAAAGTCGATAGTGCCATAACATATGACACAGTTTAGTCTCACGTGAATGGACTCTGCCCTTTCTCACGGTTGAATGCCTTTTTTCCTTGGTAAGTGTTAAAATGTGGAATTCGAAAGAAAATTTGGGACTACGGTATGCCTAGATTCGGATCAAGCCAAGTCAATTCTGAGGAACTATAACAAAGGTATAGAACAGATGACAGATGGAAAAAAACCGAGCCAAGTCCAGAAAATACACAATCAAATAATCGGAATGTTCGTAGTGGCGCTATACCAAGTACAGCTTGCGTCAAAAATTGGGAAAATTCCCATGTTGTCGATTATGTTCAAACGGTGTGCTAATTTGTGGGGAATTCCCTTTAATCATTCTGATGATCGAATTAATTTCTCGTAATTAGTATTAAAATGGTGGACACTACTGTGTCACATTGAGATGGACCAAATCTAGAGAGCCATAGCACAGATGGTAAAAAAACTGCTCAAAGGGCTAATCCATAATCAAGTGGTCTGATCCTTGATGAGAAGTATAGAGAAGAAATGTGTAGCATTCTCTTTTCTTCTTTTCACAGTTTCTTTTTTTTCTCTATAGGAGTGTGAATGGGGATATCCCCGGTATGACACAGGTTTTTTGCTAGTCAGAGCAATATCTGACCCGACTCCAATTTGCTAGTCAAACATTCAGTGGGCCATACGACGCCACTTGAGGAGAAGACCTATCTAATAACCAATAATGACAAGAAACGGAATACATAAAGATGCATTTACACTTTCCTCTTCCTCCTTTCAAAGATAATACTTTAGGAATCACGAAAAAAAAATTTACAATTCATTGTCACTATTTATGCAACTTATGACAGAATAAATAATATTTTCCTACTGTGCTCCCATAAGTTTCCAAGGCACAGATCATGGTTCTCCCAATGAAACTAAACGTTTGCAGGCGAACTACAAGCAGACCTTGCACTGCAGTTGCAGCGAAAAGTCGCTAGAATTAAGCATTCTTCCTAGTAGGCATTTCCCACCTGGAAGAAAGGAACCATGCAAAGCTAGCTCCAGCTGACCATCGTCACTCGCAATTGCATTGTGGACGGTGATTAACTTCGTGCCATCACGGAAGGTTCCCTCAACCTGATTCTCAAATGGAAAATAAATACAGGTCGTGACAAGGTTAAAAGAAAATGCGTGAAAAAAAATATATAGTTAGGTCAGAAAAGACGTTATAAAGTGCACGAAAAGGGTAAATATACTCTTCGTTGTACAAATCTTCTCTCCACTATCATCAATTTTAGAGGACCCAAAAATAGACGAAAGAGAAACATTGGCAAGTTATGGACGATAATAAAAAAAAGTCATAGATCCGGATGTGAGGTGCACATGAGAAAGACTATTACGCATCAAGTAATATGCTGTTCTATGTTCCGAGGTATACCCACATAAAAAGAACACAGAATCAAACTGAGGTCAAAGTATGATGGAAATACTTGTCATTCCCCTCATTCAGTCACATTATCGTTTGCTTGTTGCAGTCGATAGATCAGTTTCCTTCGCCGTGTTTTCATTGAAAGTGTTTAAAACTGGGACAGCAGAAAATAAAAAATAAAAAAATTACCTGAACCATGTCCAGAAGGTATGGGACTGCCCGAAGAACTTGCCGCCTGGCATTAACAAGAAAATATGGGTAGGAATTACGAGAAATAAAGAAAGAGATAACTTATCATCAATTTTATAACACTAATAAATAGAGTCCAAAAAATCATAATAAAAAGTTTAAGCTGAGTATTAAAAACCGGGCAAGGTTGAAATTATTCGGGTTTAATATAGGTGTTGATCTTGCTCAATACAGCTCGCATAGAGTGAGTTACATGATTTTCAATATTAATAATTTTTCCCAAAACTACAACACATTCATTCCCTGTGACCAGGTGCCGACCTGGGGCTCAAATCCCAAGATTTACCTAAGAAAGATATGGAAGAATAATAGATCTTTTTCCAGTCGTCTTCCTCAGTCTATTCCATTAGTTGTAGGCTAATAGCGGAAGAGTTGACCCAGAGATAGGCGTTGACTAGGAATAGGAACACTGAAATGAGGCCTATGCGAGTTATGTTGATCGAGACATTTCAATGGTGATACACGGAATAAATAAAAAAAAATAAAAAAAATCAATAATTCACTCAGGCGGAAGTATATCATCTATGACTATTGTAGATGTTTATGGGTCTACGGATGGAGGCTATCAGTAGTTATTTCAAAACAACTGTAGATGTACAATAGTTGGTTATTTTCAACCACCTCCCTCATTCCCTTCCATATTACGTCTCTAGTTTAGGGACATGTTGAAAATATCATTTAATATAATTCACAAGTAGTTGTTTCAGCATACGCAAACATAAGTGCATACCAAGATGTCTTAATTACCGAGAAAATGATCATATGGAGTAGAAAATATGTACGTAGACAAGAAAATGGAATGCATTAATGACCGTATTAAGTTTTTAACTTCTAGCACTCTTGATTCAGGAGGTCTTACTTTCGATGGTTCTTGTAGGAATGGAGACTTTTCATGTACATTAACATAGAAGTTATCTCACTAAATATCTTACCTTCCCAGAAGCTGTTTTCCAATATCCATTAGTTCAGCCACAGACTTGTCTCCATCGCGAACGAACTCCAAAATCTATAATTCATAACGTGGAAAAAGAGCAGAAGACAGCAGTGTCATATTGATTCCAATTCTTTGAACTATCTTTTGATGGCTTTATAAAATTTTCACAAGAAGCAATTTCAAAAGAAAACCTGAAGGAGAGTACAGAAAAGTCCGAAGGGAGAGGAAATATGTACACAAACAATCAAGGTAACATGGATTATTGTCTTGCTAAACGAACACCAGAAATTACCCAAGAAAATAAATTGGAAGACACTATTCATGAAAAAAAGGTTTCCGTCCGGATTTGAACCAATTTTCATCAAGGATGCTGCCATTTCATCCTAATTTAACAATCTACCAGTGATATAATAAGCTCTGGCTGTTGATGCATTTACTGCAAGGTTTTAATCCCACCTCTAGGGAATTTTTTTACCATCAAGAAGAAACAAATGAAGCAAGGTAATCCACAATATGCCAATGTGAAAGGAAAAAACACGACATTTTCTACTTCTGTTCGACTCTTCAGGATCATCGTCTGTATCTCAGGCCATCTTCCCACAAATCTATCTACTATTATGTGCAGTCATCTTTTGATGCTTTCTAACTAAAGTATGCCTTATTTATTATTCCTTCTTTCACCTCCCCACGATTTCTAGAACCACTTTCATCTTCACGGCCCAATTCCTTCGTGCTGTCACTTCTTTGAGTTATATTGATTTCTCATTCATCATAAAAGTTCATGACGACATAACAGCATCCCAAAAAATTTCAGCTTAATCTCTCTAGACGCGGTTTTAGACCTTACGTGGGCACGTGGAGCACCTTAAAACATACCTCAGGCCGAAAAGTATAAAACTTTCCATTACGAGAAAAATTGGAAGTTATTTTCCTCCGGCGAAAAACTGAATTCCATATTATAAACAGGAAAAGACAACAAAAAACTGGATCTCCCACGCATTTAATATGGAATCTAAAATTGCCACAAAACTTTATAATCTCAGTGACAGCATCGTAAAGACAGTTATAAGGATTCCAGATCGGACGCTCGGCAGGCTAAGTCGTTCACCTGCGTCGCGATGAGAGCCACTGCCTCGGTATAGTTGAGGCGCAGGCCCCGAGCTAGGCGCTTCTGAGCCAGGTGCCCCGCGCCGTGCAAGGCTAACTTCTCCACCTCCCTTGGTGTCAACTTCATGGTCGTCTAGCAGTCTCCTCCAACAGTGGCCCCTCAGGTCCTTCCGGCCTGATACACGATCAAGAGATCGCTCCGCCGGGTTAGAGAAGATCGTTCGAGCATTGCAGGTCGGTCGAAAAAAAGAAAAGCGACGACCACATAACGAAAACTCGCAGAAGTATGAATCACCGGGAGAACAGAATTTCGAGCGAGGGGGACGGCTTCAAGAGAATGATGAAGTACAGATTAGCAAACCTTCGAGTCACGCTATCGGGGAATCCGAAGATTCAGGCAACGACGACCACGAGAGGGAGTGAGTGGGGCTGAGAGGCAGGTTGACCTCATCGTATCTCCCTCCCCCACACCGCTTTCCGTTCCCGAGGACTTCCGTTATTTATATGGCGGGACATTATTTTAAAAGCGAGTTACACGTCAGCATCTGAATCAGAGGTATCTGATTGGGATCTGCCGCTCATCATATCTCAAATATGCCCCTGAAAAATATCAATTTTACGCACTTGCACAGCCACCGTCGCTCTTTCGCAGGCTTCGGAGGGTTCTCCACGTCTATTCGAGTCATTTACACAATGAAAAGGGGCATCTATATATTAGGAATATTTTAAGATTAATATAAAAATAAAAGCAAGCAAAGGCCGCATCATTATGATATTTATTAAAATCTATAAAAAATGCGCGGCAACTTGACAAGTCAACGGGCGGAGGGTATAATTGAGCTCAAGTTGACTTTTTTTTCCCAAAAAAATCGTCCGAAGCCACGCCGTGTGTCATCTCTGGCTTCCTGCGGCTATACAACACAAAATTACCCTTGATACCTGCGATATCCTCTTCATGCCCAAAATTATTTGAGCAATAATTTAAATAACTACCATATTTTACAGATGCTCATTTACAAGAACACCGTTGATAAGCCAGGAAATCTTGGTTTCACCCCAAACTTTATATATTTGGAATCGTAAGAGGAAAATAAATAGCCCCACCTCACACGATTTATATTTTAAGAAAAAAACTCTTCCCTCTCTCTCTCTCTCTAAAAACCGGTATTTTGACTTATTTAGTTGCCAAACTCAAGATCGCCAGCAGAATCATCCAAAAAGATGAAAAATATGAGTTTTTTCTCAACTTTTGCCTTAACTGGGCTTGACCCAGAACTCGCTAATGTGCCTTTTATTGGGATCTGATATCTATATATATCTAGAGAGAGAGAGAGAGAGAGAGAGAGAGAGAGAGAGAGAGTCAGAATAGAATGATTGAGGGAAGTCTCTTATCAGTATAGAACAAGTATTAGTGTTCTTGGTTTCCTAAGCCCAAAGAATAATTGAGGCCAATGTGATGGCGATCGGATTCTTGATTTCCTTTAAAACTGGTTCCTTTGGATGAAGGAATCCTTGAAGAAAAAAAGAAAGGAGCCTCTTCTCCTGGAGAAACAATGCCCACAACTACTGCCCTAAAATCAAGGAAGATAAGCTGCGTTAAACCCTAATCCGGGAGCAGACCTCCGATTATATGCAGATGGGTTAAACCTTAAGACTTCTTTCCTTTTCGGGCAAGATAGCGCTCTCTAGCAGCTCGTATTTTATCGTCCACGTCTTTCTCCCCACCGATCTGTTTCTTCGACAAGTCAACGACAACAGTTGCTTGGCCCGGCTCATCCAGAGGAGTAGAAGCTCCACTGTGAGACCAAAACGATCGATTCAGGAAGATGAATCAAGAAACATGGCAGCGAATTAAAAAAGAAAAGAAAAGAAAAGAAATCCAGATCTGAGAATTATGAAAAGAATATGACCTGAGTTTGTTGACATCCAGCTTATCGAGCTTCCTCAAGATGGGCACAGCCCACGACATCTCAACTGAGCAAACACTCCTCATAAAGGGGTGCGGGGTGGCCATGAGCTCATGGTACACAACATAGTCTGGTAAGCGCCCGTCTTCATCTTCCTTCAGCACGGAGGACGGGTGGACCTGCAGTAACGATCAGTGGAAGTCAACGCACAATGATCAGTAAAGATGTGATTTTTTTTTAGCCGTATTTAGCTACTGGGCAGCATTGACCCAGTACTAGAAAACCCAGAAAAAATGCTTCATTTGATTTCGAGAAATTGACAGGCACCTGGACAAGCTGTGATCTAAAACCGATGCTCCTATAGCCATTGTGATGCAGCATCCTCTCAGCAAGCTGGTTTCCATAGCCCTTGCACAGAGCCCTCCTTAGCTTCTGGTAATCCTCTTCCACTACTCTCCGTTTTGGAATGGAGTCCACATCTACCGGATCTGACATGTTAATCAAACATAATAATCTGAGACGACAAAGGCCCATGTGACAATAGTCAACATAGCATGAGCATCTAAGCTTCCAGTCGAAGTAGTTGACTACTTTCCATTACCAAATTCGGAATATCAGCTGGAGAACCGAGCTACAAAGTGATATGGGAGCGAATAAAAGCAAATAAAAAGGTACTTTTTTATGAGGAAAACATCTGGGCCATCCATGCACGATATTAGAACAGATCCTAGACATGGAGCTGTCTGAAAGGACTTAAGAAGCATGGGCTTATTGAACTAGGGGAATGAAACGCATGTTGCATGTTGCATTGAATTAATGTCTATGGATGAGAATTTCGCCATCCAAATCCAGTGGACTGAAATGTTACCCTTCGCCATCTTCTGCATTATCTGACAGAGTTGCTTACGGACGTCCTTTGCAAACATCATTCCACGTACCTGCAGCAATTTTCAGAATGCGATGAGCGGCGTGTCTGACCGAACCCGACAAAGGTATCGAATCTAGACGCTCTTGACTTCTACATCTTTGAATTCATGGATCAAGGTCCAGCTGAAAATATGAGAATCTTCGATTGGTAGAAAAGGGGTGGGCATTAAAGGGTTCAATGGCTGGTCAAATTCAAAGTTAGATCACGTTTGCAAGGAGGGGCCCGTCAAGAACATCCAGAGAAGAAATCACCCGGGAAAATAAACAAATAAAGCTGCTCGAATGATTGGCGATCATAAAATGATGCTCCAACATTGTAGCTAAATGCGTAGTCAATGATACATAGGGATATGTTATGTATGACGCAAAATGGATTCACAATGTAATGGTTTGACCAAAAATTCCCCGAGTAGCCACACTTAATGGACCATGACAAAATTGCATAAAGGACGTTAAAAAAAAATAAAAATGCATTATAGCACTGCAGCAGCCCTACATGCCTTTGATCAAAATTCCTTTCTTCCCCCAATCTGTGAACTCTTTGTTTTATGCATTATAGATTATAAATTTTGTTTGACACCAGGGGTAAACTCTCGAATAAAATCTTGCCACCAATGAAAATAATGACTATCATGAAGCCGTTAAACTTTACATAATTGCATGAAAGCATTATAGCGGCACTCCAAATGTTTGATCTAAAAAAAAAATAATCCACACTGCGAAACATTTGATTCGAAGATTACAGATTTTTGTTTGAAATCAGAGGGGGACAGCTCTCAAATACAATTTTTCGTCAGTGAAAAACATTACTACAATGAAGATCCATTATATGCCATCAATACCTCAATTACAAACATTAGACTTCATAATCATCCACTTCACCTCAAATAGAGGCCATTGGAACCTAAAATAGTTTATCACTGTACAAGAGATAGAACCTATATAAGAGTCAAAGGTGGAAGTACCTGTATGTCATTTTCTATGCACCAATCTGGACTGTAACCTGCTCTGTCCCAGCTATCATACACTTGGAGCAACTGAATATGATCCCCCCAGCCAGAGCCATCTGGCAAGACTGGGGCAGATTGCTTCCTTTTCTTATGATTGCCCTTACTGCACATTTGAAAAGCATACGTTAGAAATATTCAGCACTGAGGGAGGTACAACTGGATCCGTGCAGAGTAATGCATTCAGTTGATTCATTATCCGAATACATAGAAAAAGTCAAAAACTGGGAACCTAATAGGGAACATCGTCTTTTGAGATGGAAGTAACACAATTATGCAAATTTGTCAACAAGCGATAAATTTAATTTTTCCAGATGACTTAAATCCAAAAATAGAGAATGGGAAGATCGGATTAAGCCTTAACTTTTGTGAATCAGATTTCATAAGATATCAATCTCACAATTCAAAAGATTCCACAAATATAGGCGTGAGAGATTCATAAAAAATGAGAACCCTAGATACAAAATGGATGCAGTAACCTTCGACTAGCATTCAGTGTTATCTCTGCTGACAGCATGGCCGCAACTGTAAGAGCTTGAGATAAACAACCCAACTCATTTGCTTCGATCAGAGTCCGAGATAGTGAAGGTTCCAAAGGCAGCTCTGCACAAATCAAAAGTCAAAATGCCAGCGCAGTAAAATTAGGCTAGATAGCCAGAATTTAAAACAGTGACGGTTATACATCAAGTAAGGCTCCAACACTGATCACGAACTGCTCTGCACATCCCACAGATCACACGTGAAGAAAATAGGATGCATATCATGAAGGGTGTTAATACAAACACAATTGTACGCACAAGCAAGACCACATGCGCACAAAGCCTTTCTCCATCTTCTGCTACCCATTTAGTTATACCCTCTCCCTCCTCGTTGTTGGAACGTAATCACACTTTTCTCCTATCAGATCATTTTATACCAGTGCCATGTTTTCCATGTATAGCTAGAATGGGTGGGTGAATTACCAGTATGGCTGGGGTGGTTGACTTCCTTTTCGTGTTTCACTCCTCTTTTTCCATGTACCCCTCAATATTTGAATGCAGACTATCGTGTCTCACTGCAATCCTCAATAAGAGAATTTCCTCCCTCGCATTCACTGAGCAGAACAACATTCTAGAAGCAGAGCAAAGTCGTCATCAATAGACCATTACAGTAGTACCCGCATAAGAAGTCCTAAGACCTACATGGTCATTATTTTCACTTAACTCAGCCAAGACAGTCCGCAATTGGCCATGCATGCCGATTACTCCAAGTACCAATATTGTTCACGACTACACAAACTTGAGACCATCTGAGTATTCCACGACGATTTCAATCTAAATTTCGCAAGTACGGGATCAAAATGAAGATCTTCACAGCATAAATCAACCAAAGAAGTTAGAACATAGACAAATCATGTGAATCAGACGCATAATGACTTAACTTATTACGAAGGAACGGTAATGAATCTGCAAGTGAACCCATTGGACAATTCAGTAAGGGCCTCAGCTTGTTTGTCATCAAAATGAAAGAGGTAAGATATACAAAATGGCAATAGCTGCCTTTTTAATATTATTTGAGACACATATTGCCTTAAAGATGAGTAGCTTAGACCAGAAGTCAATCAGAAAATGGAGAAAGAGGAACAAATCATTTTCCATATATGTTCTTGGCTCCGAAAAATTGGTCAACGGAGCTGGACAATCAGCTGGTAAAAAAGATCGTAGATCTAATAGATCCCAAGAATTGATAAAATTGAGGATTTCAGCACCGTCGTCTAAAATCCAAGTCAATATTTCGTACCTTCAAGATAAATAGGAAAAAATTGTAAGAATCTATGAGGGAAAAAGGAGAACTACCTGCCATTTTCCGCCCAATTTGCGTTATTAGTCCATTTTCATCAATGGCATCAATCAGATATAACTGTCTCAAAGCATCTTCCAGAGATTCACCTGCAGACGCAGCAGCACAACCATGCAAGAGTTGAACATCATAAACGTCTCTTGTAACTCAGAACACATGTACACATGACATAAGACAACTTGATATCAAAATCAAAGAATGATTTTCTTACGTGAAGGTGGGTCAAGGAAATCGAAATGTAGGATGTCGAGGTCTGGAAGATCAAGAGATTTTAGATAAAGAACAGTTCCAGCAAGTGATGAACGTTGTATTTCAGGAACCGTGGCATCAAGAAACTCCTCAAGGTATGTCCTGGAGGGGTATAGCCGATAACACTTTCCAGGCTGAGTTCTTCCAGCACGCCCTGCACGTTGATCAGCTTGTACTCTGATCAATAGACCTTTGTAGTTAAAAAACAATGCACAATCGATACAGCACATTGAACAGTTATTCGAACTTATTAAAATCAGTAAATTAATAATTAATGCCAACAACCACCGTTTGCAAAGCAGTTAGAATTTTCCAACGACATATAATCAAGCCGACAGGATACAAGACGCAGTGAGCATTAAAATGTACAGATACATAATATGCACACACATCGGAGGCTGACCCATATGTCAATCATTATCACATATGTACTCATAAAATCCTAATCGTAAGTCAAACTGGCTTTAAAAAATAATTGTAACCAAGTGGATTCCCATGGCCAACATCACCGATAAACTGTTGTTTTAACGTGACCCGCATATGAACCTAAAATATGTCCACAAAGGTGGAGATTTGCAATAAAATTGTCAGACTAGAAACAGAAAAGACAGATTTCGTATCATCCGTATTTTTCTGTAAGTAGCTGATTCTTGAAGATGATTATTGAACTTAACAAGGGACAAAGTAGTCACCGTTATTTCCCTTTAAGGAATATGAATGAATGAAATCAATAGAAATAAGATTCCTCCAATTCCAGATTCACTTTCCAAAACTTTGTTCAGAATCAAAACTGATGCCGTCTCGAGGAACAAAAAGTCCTCACACAATTACAAAATCATAATTTTACCACCAAGGCAATGTTTAAGCAAAATCAGAGTTGATATACAGTTATGTGACAATCCCTTTGCAGTAGAACCATTAAAAGATAATGTAATCCCAAGTGAGCCCAAGCATCAAACTAGTAGAGATTATGTACCTACTAATTTGCACGACATCAAGAGAATACATTCCCGTAGAAGGGTTATACTGGCGTTGCTTCACATAACCAGCATCAATAACATATCTGAAATAAAATCAAAGAACCTGTATTTAGTCAGAATTATGAACATTGAATACATGCTGTCTAATGGACAAAAAAGAAAAGAAAAACTGTGGGAAAGACATCAGACTACTATTGCTAAGAGTCATGGTTGCCAATAGGAAAATTGTTTTCCTAGGGGAGTGGCTCCAGAAACATCCTCTAGAGTAATAAACCCAAACCACCGGTTTTTCACTAATTATGCCCTACTATATGGGGCCTGGCAGCATTTTAACAAAGCATAAATCCCATTTCATAGGTTCATATTTTGTTTAGCCAGAAACAATCTGACGTTTTTGCCCGTAGTCCTGCTGTGATGACCGCACCTTGTAGTAAGGTCAGCATGACAGATGTAATCAACAAATATGAACAACCTAGTATCTGACAAATGAAAGAAGCAGTCATAACATTTAACTTCAAGCAAATAGCATTTTTTAAATTAGGGCTTACACAACACCATCAACAGTCAAGGAGGTTTCAGCGATGTTTGTGGCAACAATAATTCGCCGACAATTTGGGGGCGGTGGACTGAATACGCGGACCTAATGGAAGAGAAAAACACGACTTTAAATTTCAAGAATTCCCATAAATAGGTTGATGGTTATCTCAAATAACAGTCACTCACACTAAATAGGAAATGGCATGCATTAAGACAGTTTGATTCACAAAAAAGTGAGACATTTAAGTTTCGGAAGGATGACAACATCAGTAATTCGACAGTCAAACTTAAGGTGGATACTAGTATGGGTACTGTATTGTGAGGTACGAAGATGAAATCTTCAAATAGGCTAAACCAACAAGATGGGGGTCAAAGAACATTAGGATCCAAAAGATCATGTCATTCATGGCATAGGTGAGCCCTCCAAACATTTTCACAATGTTTCTTCTCCTTAGGAAAGTAACCAAAATATGGAACTGACTATTTAGTAGTCTAATCTCACCTGTGATGCCAACAGATGAACAATGATTCCTTACACAAATGATATATCGGGCCTCCATTTTTTTATCCTTATTTTATTTTTTTGTTTGCCACACACGCTTACAACGCAATTTATATTGTCAAAGCAGGAACTAAACTTTTGGATCTGCTGTAGTGATTCTTTTGATAAGAGGATTTGAAGTTACCCATAAAACTTCTCACGTAACGTCCAAGGCAGAAGCAGTAAAAACGAATCCTTTTCATTCGGTTTCTCTGAGGTGGCATCAAATAACAAAAAACCAAGATAGTTTATTTGTTTCGTAATACGGAAAATATCAGAAGTTCATCGCAACCCAACCATTGAGTGTTTATCCCATTCCTTTTTAATCTAAATGTCTTATCTAAATATTAAATGTTACCTAGATACTAAAACAATTCCCTCTTGACAGTGATACATGTTATATGTGTAAAACATAAATGTCAAAATAGGCATGAATCATCCATGAAAAAGATATAGATGGGATAGGATAGCTCAGCCAGAATAAAAATTAGATATAAATACAAGAATCTCAACTAAGATGGGTCGTGGAAAGAAAAGGTTCCAAATCAGGATCGATTCCTTTCTCAAATCCTGCTGCAGCTGCAGATGCCCTTCCCGCATGAGACAAAAATGACCCATAACAACTGAAAGAAATTCCCTACACCATGTTCGTACAGGATAATATTTATAGATATATACGCTCTCTTTCTTTCCCCCATTTATTCAATAATCTTGAGTTACTAACCATCGTTGCTTTGAAAGTTTCGACAGCTTAACCTTCAAATACTGAATTTGACTACAAACGACGTCCTTAAAGCTTTAAAAGTGATATCCAAAGTCCAGCATACAGAGCTGAACCTCATTTAATCAGTGAAATTCGAATTCGAAAAAAAAAACAAGATTTCACTGTGTTCTACTGAACGTTGATTGTGTGATTCCACTAGGTGCTTAATAATACTTCCATTTGATAAGTTTTTGTAGATGAGTTTGAATACGTAACACAAAAACTAGCTTAAAAAGTTTTCAAGAAGATGCTCAGGTGTTGTTCTACAAAAAAAATTGAATAGAAAGCTAGAGAATTGAGCCAGGTTAAGAAAAAGTTAGGAGAAAGTCGATAAAAATGAATGAAAGAGCAGAAGGAAAGAAAAAGAGAGCTCTTTTCTAGGAGTTCAGCACAAGAATTTCCAGTATTTGAAGAATACGCGAGATACTATTTCAATGATGAACTATAATGATATAGGTAATATTTGGGACGGTAAAGGAAAATACAACAATGGAAATAAGTCAGAAATAAACTGGAACCTGAAGTTCAGGAGGCAAGGATCCATGAAGCGGTAGGACAAGAGCATCCATACAAGAACCTTCTTCTAGGTCCATGATTCTTTCCTCCAATTTTTTTACCATTTTATCTATATCGTCCTAATATAAAAGCAGGGTCTGAGATATCTATACGAAAGCATACAAGCAAACTGCAGAACAAAAATAAGACCACTAAAAGTAAATTAGCAAATTGCACACCTTTCCCGTCATGAATATGAGGATATCACCTGATGGTTCCGTTGTATGAATATCTGTCAAAAAAAATATCAAATAAACAAAACATGGAAATAGCAAGTGTCTAGACAAAGCCACTTTATTTGAAAACAAAAAATCAATAATTATTTTGGAGCATGGATGGTTGTTCTCTCGTCAAATCTTTTTTCTTCGTGTTATTGTGCTGATTGCCATAGATATAATGAGAGAACATTACACTACAATGGAGAAAACATGCAATAACACCCACATGCACCAATTAGTAATTGCTGATTACAGCTTATGTCTTCATCAAAAACCTGGATTGATTTCGCATCAATTCAAAGGAAAAAAAAAACAATGATCCCAAGTAAAATGTATAAATTATATTGATGAGGTTATGATATGCTAATTCACACGTATATAAATATAGTGTCAGGTAAACTAATGCATATGTGGACAATGTTCCCCCATGTGTATGCATAGACTTGAGCAAAGTAACATTCACGTATGTATAAGGTGAAAATATAGCGGGATATAAATAGTTTCAAGAAAAATAATGTGCACATATATGTATGTACGTTCACAGACACATATTTTCAGACATTTCTCAATGATGGTAGCCGTATCTCTTTTTAAAAATGACAAGGCATGCAGACAACTAGCCTCACAGAGACTATAAACAATAAGTTCAATGAACATTGAGCTGGCATTATGGGTTGCATGATACAGATAACAAAGTGGCATAAGTTAAACTGGACCTTCTATTATGCACAAATGTTCTCAAATGTTATAACCATCTGACCCTTTGACGACACGAAAACTTTCATATGGGAGCCCATAATGATCACCTTGTCAAAAATTCATCAGTGCATGCTTGGATGAATTTGGGAAACAATGTTCACAGTTCCAGGGAGGATGCCTCACCGTCACAATGACAATATCAATCAGCAATGTATCTTCCTCTCGGTTCATCCATTATCCCTCACCACCTGACCTCGGGAGAAATGTTAAAACAATCCAAGTTGCAGGTTCCCAACACACCGAATTTATGATCCTTGCACACTCACCATAATGAAATTTCAATGTCGCCATCAATTTAACAATTATCAGCATCCATGAAGCGGCAGAAATAACTTAAAAGTATTGAGATGAGAAGAAACCCTACTAGGACCTCTCCAAAAGACAACTGGAAACAATCAAATAGGCCTACATATGCCAAACTTCCAAAATTCTGATTATGAAACAAAAAACGATTGTCCAACAGAGTTGAAGGCATTGCTGTACTCTTACGTTAGGGACATTTCTTAAGATTGATGTTGCCCACACTCTCCTTATCGTGCTACACTCTTGATTACCAGATAAACCAGGAATACCCTTGACTAAGTATGGACATTTGTTTGAGGAATCAAACCCTTTTACTTCACCCACAAAAGGTAACTCTATTTCATTTTCCTGAACCATTATTGCTGCCAGGATGTCATTTGAGTGAACTCTTCCACCTTCCTGACCGACAAAAGCATCAAGAGAGATGTAGCAAAACAAGAAGATGACTTTATAACAAGAAAGGGAGACGAACTCAGAAGGCTAACAAATTCTCATTATCAAGAACCAAATACATAAAAGTTCACATTTGAACGTTTGAAACAATGAAAACATAAGTTTGACAAAAAATTAACCACTCGCGCACATGTTGAGGTCGAATAGATTAAACAGACAGCCCCCAATAATTTATCCCATTACTGAAATTATCATGTAAAAAGTAATAAACTAGGTTCCCATAGCTTTATTGAAGAGAAATGCAGTCTTACTATTTATTAAAGCAAGTGAAGTTTTTTTCCCTTCAATCGTTACCATGAGAAACACAGAAAACGAGTCATAAATCCCTCTACTAAACATTCAACCATCCTTGAGTGCATAGGCAGAACACTAAGCTGGCATCAACTGGATAGATTGTATCAATTTTGGACGTGCTCAAGCATGATATTACGTTCTTGACTTAATAAGTATTATTTTGCACAAAAAAAAGATATAAATGATATCTGCGACCAATACCATTGAACAGTTCTGAATCTTACAGAATACACTGATGATGCGCAACATCTAGAGATAATCAATGCTTACATGGTATGACATCACACCCTCTCAATAATCTAAACAAATTTTCTACCTGTCTATATTAGAATGCAATGCTAAGAATTAGCAGTCTCCAAGGTACACGATGACCTCCATTTTTCACTATGAAGATGGATCAAAGAAACACATTAAGATAGTAGAGAATTATTCATAAAGAAAATTCGTACGAAAGGTGATTAAAAAACCCAAAATCATATTCTTCTGATGTGGTTGGACAAATATATCAGTTGTGAATCAAGGATGCCATATTCAATTCTCAAATCATACCTAGGGCAGTTTTCAATGAAGATTCAATGTAGTTTGTTGGACGCTCCCTGCTGTAGAGTTTTTCCACTGGAAACAATGTCCCTGGTACATTCAATACTGGGCAACTAGAGAAAAATTTGGATACTTTGACGCCATCAAGCGTTGCTGAAGTGATGAGAACCTTGAGATTTGAGGACCGCAATTTAACCAAACGTTTCATCAACCCGAGTAGAATGTCGCTGCCCAAAAAACATTTCATACATAAATAAAGTTTTCAGTTCTCAACCATAAGTAAAGTTTCGCTGAAATACAGGATGCAATGGAAATACCGAACAAGCATCCACTCAGTATATTTAATATACATTAACGTCCGTCATGTTTAAGGCCAGAAGCCTCAAAGATCCCCTTCAGTTAAAATCCATAGAATGTTTGATGAAAAGAAATCGTGTCCTTGTCACAAGTGAAAAACGATCGGTTACTACAGTACAACATATGAATGGATCATAGCGATAAAGGCAAGATGAATATAGACAATCATTTTTCAAAGTTGATGTTACCAAATTGGCCTTAAATATTAAAAAAACAGTAAAAAAGTAATTTCAATACGCTCTTTAAAAAACTTCTAGACAACATTTTCACAGTCTGCACAAATATTGCAGATCATTCTAGGACCACGACCTCCTGATTCAGGAATGCCATCAATTTTCATAACAAAAAAAGACTGAACCAACAAGACGATAGCCCAGCGGAAAATTTGGTCTGAAAGGAGAACACAGAACACTGGTCATTTGCCATAGCCACCAATCATTCGATACAGCCAGAGAATTTCGAGCTTTTCTAGTTTTCAAATCGTCATAGCCACTAATCCTACATGTTGGATGACCATAGAAACAAACCTGAAAACATTTAAAAGCTTGAAACCGAAACAGACCGAATTTCCAAGGCGTTTTTCCTTGAAATTAGACAACACTTTGGACTGAACCATGTACTTCTACAGTCAAAATTCCACTGATAGAAATATCATTTTTTGTTTTATCTTAAACAGAATCAACAAGAAATGATATATCAAACGGTAATCTGATTTTCTACTCCTCTATTCTAATAGATGCATCGGATCTATGTTTCTAAAAACTCTCATCGCACAATTAGCAATGCAAAGTCATCCAACTTATAATAGAAAGTAAAGAGTGAGAACATCTGTATAACTTTTTATATGAAACGGTTTAAGAAAACCAAAGCAAAATCACTTGAGTTACTAGTGCTTGGGTTTAAAAAAAAGTGTTTTGGTATCAACTAAAGGGATTGAAAATTGTAGCCCGCGTAAAATTTTGTCAGAATAAGGAAGAAACAGAAATAGGTGAGAAATTTACGTGTTTAAGCTCCTCTCATGAGCTTCATCCAATATAATGACAGAATATTTACTCAGATCCATACATGATAAACTTTCACGAAGAAGGCAGCCATCTGTAAGGTACCTGAAAGTTCCACAAGGAAAATTCGATAAACATCGTTAATAAATAGATTCAAAAAGCTTCTGGTATTTGACCAAGTGGGTTCTACTTGATCCGAGTGTTCTCTGACGTCCGGTCCTCAAAACGAATGGTATAACCCACTTCATCACCAAGCCGAACACCTAGCTCTTGTGCCACCCTCCTATGGACAGTAAAATGCGACTACATCAGACAAAGAAAACATGATTGAATGTACAACAGCGATATAATTGATACGCAAAACATGGATGAATGCAAAAAACGAGTGAATACACCTAGCTCATGTGCATTTCCTAAGTAAGTTACATATAATTGATACGCAATAAATTTCCTTATGCAAAACAGCGAAAATGAACATCAAATCAGTAGCTATGTTACTAATCAACCAGAGATTTACTTTTCATTATAATCATCAAAAAAAATAAAATCCCAAGTTATCTGTTGTGATCTTCCAAGTTCTAAGTCAACAGGAAGTTAATAACTCAAGGTTTCATTGACAAGGTGAGGATGAAAAAAAATAAGGATAACCCTTTAGCATCCTAAAACAAAGTCAAGTTGAAAACTAATCAGCGAACAACATACAGCAAAATCGGCACATACATTTACACATACTCAAAGAGAAACACGTGCAAATAACATCAAGAGGGAGAGAGAACAACCTACTGGCCTCATCAACTCTCGAATTGATTTATCATTGCTAGCACATCAATAAGTGCAGAAGGAAAAATGTTTCGTCTCCAACTAAAACACAACTATAGCTTTTTGCATCCATAATTTTATCTATATTTACAATCCTCTTCGTCAAAGTTTAGTTGACAGGGTTTGGAAAACGTAAACCCCTCACAACGTTACATCACCGAATATTAACAGATCTATCCAATCTTCACTAGTTATTCCGATAATCCTCTGCACTAGTAACCATACCCCATGGTTGATACTAGATATTCAGCTGGGACCATATGATACCAATCACATTTTTTTCTCCTCGGCCATAAGTCAATAGCTAGCTCCGTCAAGGTAACTACGATTTTAGCACACCATAGGTGCTACTAGTGCACATTTTTGAAACCAGGACCATGAACAACTAGGTATCTTACCTAAATGGTAACTATGCTTTGTAACCGATGGTAAACTGTGAGTAAACTCATTTCAGTGATCACCTCCGTGTCATGCAGCTTATCTCCCTATCAGGGTTGCAATCATTACATGCTAAAGCACAGAAACACTCAAAGAAAATAACAGAAACTTGCACACCTTTGTTTATTTCATTGTCTACACTCTCCACTAGAGAAACAACTGCTGTAAACACTAGAATACAAATGCATTCACACACAACTGTATAGAAGAAACCATCCGATATATGTAGATATATATACTATATCTGACTTTGTTGGCCCTAAACATTTCAAGTTCATAAAAAAAGGTACTGCTTGGTAGAAAAATACGTCAAAATATGAAACATTTTACGACCGTGTGAAGCCTTTTCCCCGCAACCTATCATCAGTCATCGTGAGAGATCCTACGTATGAGGTTAGGGTCCACTTGGCCAGCTAGGACTCATTGATATGGAGTATTCTGGAAGAAAACGGGTTTCATGCTGGATTAAAGTGCACTGATTAATATTCTCTTGGCCATGCAAATAATAATAATAATAATAATAATAATACTTCGCTGAAACCCTACTTCTGCAGATAAATTAACCGTAAGACCGCTGACGTTAAATGAAGTTTACGCTAACACGTTTGTTCGGCAATGTAGCATGAACAGCAAAGAAAACAAAAACCACCAGAGGAACCAAGCTAGCAAGAGCAAATAAAGTCATTGAAGACCCAAGCAACTGAATAGAACAGGCCTCAGAAGGAACCTCAGAAATGGGCTAACAACTCTTAAGTTATCTGACACGAAAATCCTACCAGCTCATCTGCAAAACAGTCGGAAATAAAGCGAATGCCAAAGATTCTAGCAGGAGCTACCAATAGGGGGAACCAAATAGATTTGACGTGCAAGCCATTGCAGAACATGCCAAGAAGCAACCCGCAACAGATGGATCGCACAGACAGTCGCGTACGCGTCCTCGCGAAAGCAGAGGAAGGCGATGGAGACAGATCACCTGGCAACAGAGACAGCAGCCACTCTACGCGGCTGGGTGACGGCGATAATCCCCTTCCTCGTGTACCCTCTCCGATGCAGGATCTGAGATAGCTGAGTGCTCTTCCCGGAGCCAGTCTCTCCGATGATCACCACGACGGAATTCTGGGCCACGGTCTCCAAGATTTTGTCCTCGAATTCGAGGATGGGGAGAACCGCCATCGTCGGCGAAACCGACCACTCCTCTCCCTCCTGCGGCTTCTCTTCTGCCCAGAAACAGGCGCAACGTGGGCTTTCTAGCTGCGCGCGTCACAGAGAGAGCGCGCGTGTCCAAGCACCAAAATCGCAAAGCCCTTCCTTTTTCAAGACCCACTGGATGTAAAGGGCATCGAGTAATTTCCACCATCATTTATCCGACCTAAGTTCGTCCCCTGAATGATGCATCTAAGTCGGGGGATGGTTGAGTTTGTCCAAGAAAGTCAGCCTGTTATCCCCGTGACAAATAGGATTCTATGGTATGGGTTCATTAGCATCACCATTTCGACAAATCAAGGAGTTATAGCCGTCTAATTTGTGTAACAATATCTCATTTAATTATTGTAATCCGATCAAAATTTGAAAATTTCTTATTATATGCCAGAGAAAATTTACATTATCCGATTAGATCTCCGGCTGGGTCAAATATCGTATCGGTTGACCAAAAGAACTACCGCCATGAAGATCATACAACATTGACCGGCTCAGGAGTCAAAGAGGAGGCCACTTTACATCTAACGAGGATCCATAACTTTACAGCACTTGCAGAACCAGAGATTCTGACTTCGAGATGAAGCAGTGAAGGCCTACAGGGCCAAGCACCTGAAACAAGCCTCTTTACATTATTTTCTCCTTCCGACCCGACCTTCTTCCCCAGCGGGGCCCCTCGACAGGAGCCCGATGCCCCTCACCCAGAGCCGCGCTGCCTCTTCGCCGCCGGCCCCGCACGCAAAGTGTATCTCCCTGCCGCCGGTCGTCACCACCCTGAAGATCCCGGGCTCTGCGGCGTCCGCCTTCCCCCGACGATTACGCAGGAACGACGGGCTCGCCCCCACGGTCGCTTCTCTGCAGACCACGCTCCGCCGACTGCCCTTCCCCCACCTCAGCACGCCCTCGCCGGCCACCATCCTCACCACCTTCCCGTGGGGAGACCCCCGGCCGCACTTGGTGTGCTTCTTAACCGGCGCGCCGCCCAGCACGAGGACCCGGGAGAGCTCGTCGAGGATCACCTCCTCCGCCCCGTTTCCTTCGTGCCGCCTGGCGAGCGACAGCGCCGTCTCGCCCCGGCTGGTTTTGACGTCGCAGAGTGCCCCCGCGGAGATCAGGAGCTGGCACAGCAGGCCGTGCCCCTCCCTCGCCGCCAGCATCAGCGGCGTATAGCCGTCGCCGTCGGGGAGGTTGACGTTGTAGCCGCGGCTGGTCAGGAGACGCGCGGCGGCGTAGTCCCCCCGGCGCGCCGCGCAGTGCAAGGCGCAGAACCCACCAGCGGCGCCCTTCTCGAGGGTGAACTCAAGCATCACCTCCTCGAAGAAGTCCCTCTTCTCCTTGTTGTGCTGGTAGAGGGTGACGGCCGTCTCGCCGGAGTTGTTGCAGAGCTTCACGTCCGCACCGGCGAAGACCAGGCACCGGAAGGCCTCGACGTGGCCCTCTCTCGCCGCGATCATGACGGCGGTGTGGCCCTCGTCGTCTTGCTCGTCGAGGTTGACTTCTGGCTGATTCAGAATGGCCCGCAGGGCTCGGACGTCGCCGGTCCGGGACGCGAACAACAAGGGGGAGAAGACCGAGTGGTCGCTGGAGCAGGGGATCTTCCCCGAGTGGATAACGGCGAGCACCGATTGCTGGAAGCCGGCGGTCCACTGATCGGAGGCAGCGGCGGAGGCGGCGCTGACGCCGGCAGAGTTGACGAGACCGAAGTCGGCGCCGGCCGCCGCGAGGATTCGCAAGCACTCCCCTTGCCGGTGCTTGGCAGACAACACCAAGGCTGTGTCGCCGGAATCTGTCCGCGAGTTCAAGTCGCAGCCTGCGCCGACGAGGCGGAGCAAGATCTCCGGCCGGCCTAACCTCGCCGCCATGTGGATCGGCCGGAAGGCGGGTCTCGAGCTGGTCCAGACCGGCGACTCGGGCTCCGCGCCCGACTCCAGCAGCACGTCGACGGCCGCGGGGTTGGCGCAGAGGATGGCGTGGTGGAGGAGGGCCCGGCCGTTGTGCAGGGCGGCGCCGGCAGGATGGTCCCGGAGCAGCAGCCGCAGGATGGCCCCGGAGGACTCGAAGTACTCCACGGCGCACCAGGCGACGCCGTAGGGCTCGGCGAGCCCCGCGCCGACCCGGAGCTCCTCTCCGGTCTCCGCGTCCCACGACCACCCTCCTAGTCGCACCTCAGCGTTCCTCCCCACGCCGGACTTTACAGAGCGGCGCCGCCGTCAGTGCACGCAGTGACAGGAATAGAAGGAAGAAGACGGTGCTGTTCTGTTGTACCACCTACCTCCAATAGCTTCCGGACGACGGCGGTCTGGCGGCTGACGACGGCGGCGATGAGGGGCGGGCAGTCGACATTGGTGTGGAGGGGCGGCTTGGCAGAGCGGAGCAGCACTCGGTCGGTGGCGTTCGCGTCCACCCCCCACTGCAGGGAGAAATGATCCGGAGCGGAGGTCAGTCACCACAAACGGAGTAATGTCTCATTCAGGAAGGCGGAATGGACGAGCAAGGAGGAGTGGAGAACCTTCATGAGAGAGTTGACGACGTCGACGAAGCCGCGGCAGCATGCGAGCACGAGCGCGTGAACGGCGACCTGATGCCTAATCAAGTCAGACCCCATGAGCAGTTCGACTAGCCTTGGCCGGCCGTGGCAGCATGCCTCCAGCAGCGCCTCCTCGCACGCCGGCTGTGATGCCCCGGACTTGAGGAGAAGCTCCACCATGTCCGTCAGCCCTTCCCTCGAGGCCGCCGTCAACGCAAACCCTCGGAACAGCATCTGGTTGACGTCCGCACCCGCATTCTGTTCCAGAGCACCGTCGATCAGAATGTCCGATGAACCAAGCAGAACCAGGAATCAATAACGAAGGATTGGTTCATCCTTTCCTTATTCTACATTGGTTTTAACGCGTCAGGCGAAGAATATGCACGTCCATTTTGACTGATCAAGAACTGTTAGAAAAGAAAGACCGCCACAGCGGGGGAACCAGTTCGGGGAAAACCAGATGAGTGACATTATAAATTGAAGTACTATTTATCAACGAATTTATGCTCCCAGGAAACCAGACGTGATTCGACCATGCAACATCGGTGTCCCGGAGATTCCACCAAATGCCCAGCAGCGGCAGAGTCCGAATAATGCAAGAAGGGACCGGTCGCGACAGAGAAAAGACGCATCGACGATGGGGAGGAGGCCATGGGCAACATTCATATGGGTTCAAGATGGGGTAGGGCTCGATCTGATCAGATTCGGCACCGGTGGGCAGTCATTCACACGGCCACTTGGGTACCGAAAGGACGGCGGCGGATCCCAGATAGACAAGCAAATTGTCAGCAAATAATTTTTTTGCCGACAAGGCAACGACGGTGGGAATGGAGACACGAGGCCGGTCAGCTGCACATGTGGCGATAGGAGCTGAGTCGCAGATCCCGAAAAGACCAACTCGGACGACCTGGACGGGCTTGACCAGGACAAGCCGACAATTCCAGGAAAACCCAGCAAAGAAGACGGCTTGGATCTATGAATCTCTGATATTTATGTCATATCACTGTGCGCGCTACAATAACTAGAGTGCAGTCTGCCAGCCACCGCTATTCCTGAGGGGACAAACCATTGCACGGTATATAAACAGGCCACGTGAGTGCGCCTAGCTCTACTACCAGATGGTAACATGGACGAGGATGGCTGTACCAGAGAAAGGGGTGGGATAAAAGGAGATGCAGAATAACTCAGTGGGGGTGGACTGCGTCACAGACGTAGAGTACGACAGTCCACATAAATGCTATTCTGGAAGAGGGGGTCGGGCGAGGGAAGGTGCAACCGTGGACTTTGACCCGAGAAGATTCCACGTTGTGATAGATGATCAGCTAGAAAACAGTCTAAGAAATGGCCAGTGAGAAGGTATCCAGTTAGGGAGGGAGCAGAGGACGGGGGGAGGTTGGATAGGGATGGGTCACCTGTAGGGAAATGAGGGCCCAGGATCACGACATCATGGGATATTCAAAAGCAGGGACCCTATAGCGGGTCAGGCAAATGAGGACATGTCAACGCAGGTAGCTGAGAGAAAGAGTAACCCAGTGGTGTCGCCCATACAGTACTGAGGCCACGCTAACCAAGAGACAGGACTCATGAGAGTGTTTTTCTGATATAATAAGGACGAGTTTGACACGCATTTGATGTAACGAAGTGTTGTCTCGTCTTGCTCGTGGTCACAGGTAGCCATAGAGAGAGTGGACCAACTGAGACCAACACCAATCCAGGATCGGCCGGTCACCTCATTAAATATAATGTTTCCCTGGCTATGAGGTCACGTCAGAGCCCCGGAAGTGAACCCAAAATCGACTGTTTGCAAGTAGAAGAAGATGGTGATTACAAAGAGCTATGGGGAGACGAATGAGCCCGAGAAGATGGAGAGAAACACAGGAGATCTTGGTATCAGGTGAGGGGAAAGGATCTGGACGACGCTCGCCCTGTGGCCGGCGGAACCAGGGGAGAAAGGAGCCGGCGTACGCCACCGTTCTCTAAGATTATAGACTCTATCTAGGAGTTAACAGCTCTCAATCAATGTATCGTAAACCAAGGGCAAGCTGGAACCTTACGTAATCATATCTCAGAAGATGCAAAAAAGTGATGCTTTCATAATCGTATTAACTGATCAAGAAGATTTTTTTAGCTGGAGGCAAGAGAAGGCACCGTAATATGGCAAAAAGCCCGCCATCCCCGGCACGGAGATGCCGGTTGAAATGTTGTTTCGCGAATGACAGCGGGATCGCGACGACGACTGATGCGACTGATGTGATCCCGGGGAAGCACCCAGCCCCGGTAAAGGCAAGAGTCCAGGGGCGAGCGGAGTAATACGTAAAGGTAGGAAATATGTTCGACAAGAATGAAATGAGAATGAGATGGTGTTAACTGCACGAGCCGTCCCCAACCCCCGCCATGACTCGCCATTGAAGGAATATGGTCAGAGGACGGGAAGAAAGGACCACAAGGAATCAATTCCACCAGAAAATTTCCGAACAAGGGAGAGAATCAAGAGAATAATAGATCAGAGGTTTTCATACTCCCCATAAAATGTGATTTTCAATGCGAAGATAGAGACGAGAACCTAACAAGCATTCATTCAATATGAAAGGGGAAGATTGACCATTAAGGGTCACCAAAATCATAATACATGACAGATTGCTGTCGGAGAGAGTTATAATGTATAGACCCAGAGCGGAAAATCATGATCTTATAAGCAAGGGGGGGGAAAAGAAGCTGCAGCGAAACAAACATGAGCTGATTGTTCAGACCGGAGAACTAAGGAATCCCCTGTTTTACAATCTATAGTTACGACTAGAAATCTGTTGTTAAAAACTACGACTTAAGAGGAAGATAAATTTCCTCATAATATGCAAAAGCAGTGATCATCAGACAAGGCCCAGATCCTTACGAGGAAAAAAAACACCACACAAATTCATTAAAATGTGCACGGACTTTCCTGGAGGAGGGAAAAAAAGAGGACGCGGCTTCAAGAAAAAAAAATCCTCAGGATATGCAGACAGATAAACATTCAAGCAGGAGGAGCTTTGACCAAACTCATAGGTATGAAAGAAGACCAAGGGGAGGGGAGAGTAAACTTCTTAAGAAAATAGCCACACAGTAGGGAAGCTGCACGGACTAACATCTATACTAAGAAAAAAAAAAGCAGGAACCCCGATCTGCTTCCGACATGTAGGGTATCCGCAAGGAACGATTTAAGAGAAGATCGGCAGAGAACCGCTGCCCCCTTATGGTGGTGTGAGGTATCCAAAATCGGAACATACGAAAATCGAAGGGCATCCTACCAATGATCAATGATCTTTTCCGGAGAGAAAGGCTTACCAGTAGTTTCCGGGCGAGCTGGAGATTGCCGGAGTGGGCGGCGAGGAAGAGGGCAGAAACATCCGTCCGGAGTTCCTCGTACTCGACCTTCACCTCGTCGGCCGTCTCCTCATGGAGCACCACCACCGCCCGCCGGCCTTTGAGCGAAACGGCGCCTGCGTAGTTGACATCCACAAAGGGGTCCGCCAGACACTCCTTTGTCGCCCTCATATCCCCCCTCTTCACAGCTTCCACCAGCCGCTGCGACACCTCGGCTTCGTAGTCCACCGGGAACACCTGCTGCGCGGCCATCATCATCTTCCCGGCCCGGAACCCCACTCCGGGGTGCCCGAACACCGTCATCTCCCCCCTAGCCCGAAGATCGGTGCTAGGAAGATACCTCAGAGTCGCCACCTTGACGATGGACTAGCTCACCCCCCTACACTCCTTCCCCCCCAACTCTCAAGAAGATTTCAGGCGCTCCCGATGGGCTGTACTCCCTCCCTCCCTCCCTCTCTCTCTCTCTCTCTCTCTCTTTCTTGGAACTTCAAAGAAATGCGCGCCAGACCCAACGAAAAAGTGACTGGCGGGGGGGGATTTATAGTGGTTGGCGGCATTAACTGCAGTTAAAAATGAAGGTGGGGGAGGTAAACGGAAGTAACTCCGCTGAGCTGGGAGGGCAGAAGTGTAAATTCTGTTGATTTGACCGCACGCGTCAACTACTCGTCTTTCACGTGATTAATGGAATTTAAATAATATGATTAAAATTTAATACATTCATATTTATGCTTTTGGCTCCAACCACAGGGCTGAGATATCTCAATTTTTTTCATATTATTTTTTAAAAAATTAATTACTTTGTTGATGGCTCGTGAAGAGGCTTATCCGAGGATAATCTACGCTTCCGCTACGGGCTTCTAACGTGCGCCGGGAATATCCGGAAGAGCGTAAATTCGAATTAACTATTCCAGATCATCTGTTCGTGCGGTGCCGTACTCGTCATGTCACGTGACTGGCCGCGAGTGGTGGTGTGTGCACGTGCGTCGACGCTCCCGAGAAAGCTGGTCTTCGGCCCCCCCTCTCTCTCTCTCTCTCTCTGGGCTAAACCCCGCGACCGTCGAATTTAAGAAGCGTCTGCGTGACGCTCCCTCTCTGTCCATCTCGCCGTCTAATGTAAGAGAGAAAATTTTGGTCAGGTCAATGGGGACGGAGGAGAGGGAGTCAACGGTGAGAGCTGGTAGTCAAGGACGAGGAGCGGTGGGAGCAGAACGATGGGAGGCTGTCTGGTAATAGTAATAGCCGCGGGTCGGTTACCGCGCGGTCCCTTCCCCCTGCGGGCGGCGCCGCCGATCACGAGCTTCCGGTGTGTTCTTTCACGCCGCCTCGACGGCGGACGGCGGCGTTAAAGGCGTCTGGTTTTTCTCGCATGGCGGGCCAACTTGCAAGCTCCGGATCTTGTGCAGATGACCCCCGTCTTCTCCCATCTTTCTTCCTCCTCGTGCAGTAATCTCCCTTTTCGAGGAGGCGGCCCCTCTCCCTCTAGGTGGGGACGCCGACAGAGACGGAGCATGGCCGGAGAGAGGATTCGACTGAGCTATGATTGATGATCTCAAGCGGAGCCTCGCATAGGACACGGTCGCCGCCATTGACTGCGACGGCAGCACAGAGCGAGGCCGACCACGAACCCAGGAAGAAAGCCGCCAGCCAGGTGTCCTCCCCCCGATGGAAGGAGAGGACTGCGGATAATGGCGAATCGTAGGGAACAGTTGCGACAACTGTCCTTAAATTATCGTCATCTTGCGGCGCTTAGTCGTTTCCCCGGCGACTGGTCTTGGAAAGTTCCTGGGTTTCTTCTCCGGCGCCGGCAGCTGGCGTGAACCCCTTGCTCCGGCAAGTGAACGGACAAAGCTGAGAGGTTCCCGGCCTCTCGGCAGAGACGCCCGGACGGCTCCCCGGCCTGAATCTACTGAACCCACAAGCGCCGCAACGTCCCTCACAGCGAGTGGCTTGAAATGGCTCGCCCTCACAGTGAGTAGCCAGAGGAGAACAGGACGGAGACGACAGGCGGTCGGCACACTGGACGGTAACATGGATACTCCCAGAGAAAGCTGCGGTTGATCTGGGAAGCTCAGTCCCATGAAAGAATGGGCAACTTGGACCGGGCTTCCGTTGAGGTTTCCCGAAGCGGAGAGCTCATCGGTTGACTTTGGTTCCTCGACGCCCCGGCCGGCCCAACAAGTTCTTAGATATGATTTACATTTTTGGTCAAATCCGACAAACTGGGCTGACCACCTGATAACCTCCGCCATCTCCACGGCCGGTCCGCTGGCTGCCGCTGACCTCCAAATTGAAAAACGTGGATGAACGGCAGAGGATCCACCGCCGCCGGGCGGGGGGCGGATGTCGGATCCCTTGCCACCTCGGTTACGAGCTCCCGAGGCTGTGTGGCTTCCTATTCGCCCCCCAGGGTGGGATCTTTGAGCTCAGCCTTCAGACGGAGCAGATGAAGATTCTGGCTCCTTGACTTGTAGAACTGCGGGTGACTGTTAAACGTTACCAAATTTAGAAGCTCGTTACACCCTCGGCTATTGCTCTTCAATGGCTCCTCCCCTTGAGGTTCCTCGTGATACCCTCTACCCTCTTATATCCAGCTTCTCCGAGGCCTATCTATACCAGTCATTCACATGGAGGGAGAGAGGAGAGAGAGAGGAGAGAGAGAGTGATCCACAGTGGCTCGAAAGGCAGCAGGAGCTTGGCCCTGCGCATCCCCACCATCGCATCTTCGAGACACCAGCTGTCAGCCCTGCGGCCCTTTCTCCTCCCCGACCAGCACGTGCCGACGTCCCCCCACACAGCTCAGCACGTTTTCGTCCCCAGCTGACAGCAGACCGGAAAAATTGGCGCAGTAGCGGCGCCGCCTGTGCGGGGGTCGTTAGCCGCGCAGGAGTCTTGGAGCCTTGCGAAGTCTCCGGTGAGATCTCACCGTTCATGGAAGAGGACAAAGGCCGCCTTCTGCGCAGAACAGCCCCACGCTAGCCCGGATCGGCGGCGGTAATTTCCTCTGCAGGAAGGACAATGGAAGCAGCGGCGGGCCGAAGTGACGTGCATACGGCAGCGACTCTGTCCGTCCACAGTTTTCCGACTGGTATACACGAGGACTGCCGCCAGCGTCGTATGATAGTGAAGTCAGCCCGAGCTCAGCTTAAGTTCTGTGAAGCGCCAGATTCATGAAATCAATTGACTTCCCAGAACGGGCGGCGAGGTTTGACTGTTTCTCGGATTGGAAATACGGATTCAGAAGATTCTGCCCAAGATGGGTCTTCGAGGAAGTAATCCGGAGCCAGGGGAGCTCGGTTTTATTTGACGGCGAATCTGCCGGTCGTCGCGTTCGTTCCGTCGACAGAAAGATGAAGGATCAAAGAGAAGAGTTTGACTGCCGCCGAAAGGAGCTACAGGGAACTTGCAGACGATTCACGGCTCGTCGTTGCTCGTTTCGAGGCGGAAAATAAGTTGAAATCTTTTGAGAAATCAGATGTACCGGGGAGGCGAGTGAGTCCACCTGCTACCGACCAAGCGACGAGCACGCGAGGTCGCCGGCGTCCCGGCGTGCTCTGCCACAGGCGGCACTGCCCGGACAGAAACGAGAGAGAGAGAGAGAGAGAGCGCCGCCATCGCCGGCACCCTTGGGAGAAGCAGTAAAAGTGACAAACTTTGTGGGAGAAACCCACCGGCGAGGATAAAGTTTCTCCCTTTTTGATATTCCCTGGTCTTCGAAGCGAGTAAATATATTAATTACTCCTACGAGGTATCAATTCGGTGGATAAATCCAATTTATTTATTATTTTTAAAAAAATCGGTGGAATCATGGCAAACTTATCTCGGTTTCCGAAATAAGTGGTCCGGGGGAAGAAAGTTTTTACCAAAATTAGATATTATTTTTGTATTTTAAAAATAACTAGCCACACTTTCCTGGCAATAATATGGGATTTAATTATCTCAAAATGTCAACGGGGACAACTTTACTCGGCCAGGGATGATGTGACATTTATGGAAATGGACAAATAGACTCACATGCTGATTTTAAAAAAATAAGATATTTCTTATTTTCCATGAAAAATAATATATTTCAAAGATAAAAAACCGGCATCCATTGACGTGCAAGAAATAACAGCGCGAAGAAAATGTGTACAATTATGGTGTAACGGCCCGTTAAGAGGGGGCAAAAAGACTAAACACTCTCTCCGTCAATATCTACGGAGACGGTGGGACTCATCGGATCGTACTCATGTCGGCTTCGTCTTCCTCAGTCGAAGACCGGAGTCGCTTCCTCCGGTTCGGCTTCCGAGAAGGCGGATGGATCCCACAATGCTCTGCTGCAACCCCCCTCCCTCCCCCTCCCCCTCCCCCTCCCTCTCTCTCTTCCTCCATTACTGGCTGGCTTCTCACTAGCCCCCTAGCAGAGCAGCGGGGCCATGTGCCGAGCGTAAATGCGACGGCACAGTTAAAAACCTGCCGTCTCCGACACCCTTCCCCTTACCCTCCCCTCTCCCCCCTCCTTTACGCGATATTCGCGGCTTTGCCAACCATGATCTCCCTCCGATCGCTTCAGGTAGGGCGTGTTCTTCCCTCTGCTAGTCTTCTGCCACCATTGTATTATTTGATAGCGGAGGGATGTTCCGTCATTCTCTCTTAGACGGCCGCGATTCAATGCGATCCATTAGGGTCTCCTCCACGGGGCGTCTTCGAAAGTTTGACGAATGTCTGGATTTCTCTCCCGGTGGGACAGTTCCTCTCGAGCTCTGCACTTCGTGTCTTAAATTTTCTACGTGCTTCTGAGTCCGGTTGACCCGCTGGATCTGCAGAGCACGAAAAAGACGCCCTTATTTATGGATGTGTTCAGGTTCTTTAGCCGTCCCTCTCTATCTTTCGTGGCCAAGAAGATGTCCCTCTCCAATTCAGGTTTCGAATCACCGCAGATGGAGTCCGTTTGAGCAGCCCAATCCACTCTTCCTCTCGTTTATTCGGGGTTTCCGTTTCGGGAAGACATTCTAACAGTTTTGTCCAATTCGTCATTCCCCCTGCCCACTCCTCACCACTTATTCTGTGACCTTCATGAAATCCCTGTGCTTGCACCCACCTTCAATCGAAAATCTCAGCGGCATCCCCGGTTCTACCCAAGGAGCTTAGCGCATTGCCAGGAATGGTGTCCTCTCGAGCACTCGTGGTGGTCTTTCTCTCTTGTTTTTGGCTACTCCCGGGTACGCAGCAGCTGCAATCGTCGCAGACTGAGGTTCTGCAGCAGCTAAGGAAGCAATTGGAGTACCCAAGGCATTTGGATGCTTGGAATTACGCCGGAGACCTCTGCAGCGCGCCGCCGTCACCTTTTCTTACAGTTGCGTGTGAGGCAAACACGATTACCGAGCTCAAGATCGTTGGCGACAAACCGGCCAAGGTCAGCAACTTCGATGGTCATCCAGTTGCCGGCCAAACCCTCTCGGCGTTCTTCTCCGTCGATTCATTCGTCACAACATTGTCGAGGCTAAACAGCTTGAAGGTGGTAATCTTGGTCTCCTTGGGGATTTGGGGCCCTCTGCCTGACAAAATTCATCGTCTCTATTCTCTGCAAGTGCTTGATCTGAGCTCCAATTTCCTGTACGGCTCGATTCCTCCGAGGATATCTGCCATGGGGATGCTTCACACTCTGACTCTCGACGCAAATTTCTTCAACGACACCGTCCCCGACTGGTTCGATTCTCTGTCGAATCTGACCGTCCTGAGCTTGAAGAATAATCGCCTCCAGGGCCCCTTGCCCCGGTCGATCGGCGGAGTTACGGCTCTCACCACTCTGGCTTTGTCAAAAAACAATATCTCAGGCAGGGTACCTGATCTGGGCAGCTTATCGAGCCTCGAGGTTCTGGATTTAAGGGACAACCAGTTAGATTCTGAGATTCCTCCCATGCCCAGAGGGATGGTCACCATCCTCCTCAGCAGGAACTCTTTGGCGGGCAAGATACCTCACCAGCTCGGAGAACTGAGTCGGCTACAGCACCTCGACCTGTCGTACAACCTTCTCCAGGGAACTCCTCCTGCGTCGCTGTTCTCCTTGCCCAACTTAAGTTACCTGAGTCTGGCTTCCAACATGCTCAGTGGTTCCCTCTCCAGCAAGCTAGCCTGCGGCGGCCAACTCGGGTTCATCGACATCTCGGTAAACAGATTAACAGGGACTCTGCCTCCATGCCTGAGTGACATTTCGAATGAAAGGGTCATCAAATTCAGTGGTAACTGCTTGTCTGACGATTCCAGTCGCCAGCACGAGTCCTCGTTTTGCAGGGAAGACAGAATAGTAGGAAAGGGAGGCAAGAACAGATATATAGGGCTGCTGATCTGCGCCATTGGAGGAGCTTTTGTTGTCATGCTAGTCCTCCTCCTCATGCTACTATATTTCTATCGGAGGCATCGCCACGGACGGGCAAAGGCAGAGACTCGGCTGCTGCAGAATCCGGCCCTGGAAAATTATTCGACAGGTTTTTCCTCTGAGCTCCTTGCCAACGCCAGTAAGTTTGCTTCCTGTTCTTCCCTTCTCCTCACCCTGTGACCTCATAACTAGGCAAACTCTTCACGTGGATGATGTTTTATACTGGTCAAATGAAGATTTCTTCTACTCCATCGATGGTTGATCTCCAATGGTTGCTTGCCCATATGCCAGGATACGTTTCCCAACCTGTGAAACTCGGATCGCAAGTGATGCCGACGTATCGGGTATTTTCCTTGGAAGAATTGAGAGAGGCGACGGACAATTTCAGCCGATTATCCTTTATTGGCGAGGGTTCTCATGGAAAGGTGTCATTTTCAGCATGCTTCTTGATGCTATTTCATCCAAAAGCAGCCTTCTTTTAGTATACTCTTTGAAATGTGACTGTGGCATGCATTCTCTCCACAATCTGCCACCTTTAATCCCGGATTTTATTTTATTTTTGTCTTTTGGGAGTGAGGTTGAGGTTCTTGAAAAGTCAACAAATCCCTGAATAGGAATTATTTTCTCCTTTCTTTTTAGCTTCACCATAATGTGGATCGATTTTCTTCTGTTTCTTGTCCTGCCTCATCGTGATCTACACAGCTCATCAGCTTCACTGCTATCATGTTCCCTCCCTCCAGAATTGATCAACTCCATGCCAATAGTCACTAAAGAGTAGGAACAACAAACTGATTTATCTCGAGTGCTGCCCATTGAAATCAGAAGATCTATTGGGTCATGACCCCGAGGGTCAAATCTCTCCTTCCCCTCCTCCTCTTTTGTTTTCGATTCACAGTACATTAATCAGAGATGAACAGTGTTTGACGAACATCTCATCCTCTGCTCTTTGGCGTGACGATGAAAAACCAGTGGTGATGAGCCAATTTTTATCCCCCATTCAGGTGTACAAAGGGAGGTTGGAGAATGGGTCTCAAGTCGCTGTGAAGTGCCTGGCCTTATTTAAGAAGTACTCCATCAGGAACCTCAACCTCCGCCTGGATCTGCTCTCGAAGCTCCGCCACCCTCACTTGGTTTGCCTCCTGGGCCACTGCGTGGATGGCTCGTCGGACGACTCCAGCGTGCACAGGGTCTTCCTCGTCTACGAATACATACCCCACGGAAATCTTCACTCCCATCTTTCCGGTACATACGAAGCACAGAGCCTGGCCCAGTTATTTTTTTGGTGAGTTTTCCTCATTTTGCTTATGTCTGCAGAGATTAGCATGGAGAAATTTCTGACATGGCCGGAGAGATTGGCCATTCTGATCGGCATTGCAAAGGCTACCCACTTCCTGCACACTGGAATCCTTCCCGGGTTCTTCAATAACAAGCTGAAGACGCATAATGTGCTGCTTGATGAGCATTATATTGCAAAGATCAGTGATTATGGGCTGTCGATTATCACCGAAGAAATCGACAAGCATGAGGTGGGTCTGAGAGGTTCTTCTCTGATGGATGCCAATGGAATACATACTTTGGAAATTCCTTTATTTACTCCTTTTTTAATTTCTCCCCCTCCCCCTTCTCGTCAGGTGAAGGCAGAAGGCCTAAAGTCAACTCATGCGGCTCAGATCAATCTGCAATCCATGTGAGAATCCTTCTCTGATGCCATATTTCCTTTGACTTCCTATTTTTTGGTCCTGTTCTTGAGTTGTAATCTATGAGGCTGATTTATCTGTGCATGTAACGCCTGACTTATTCCTATTTTTCGCTTAGAAATTATTTGTTTTCTTCGCTTAGAAATCCTTCTTTGTTCATAAAATACCATCTTTTACAGGGAAATGACGAGCATGGAGGATGATGTTTACTCTTTCGGTTTAATCATCCTGGAAACACTCACCGGCCCGGCGCAGGCCGCGAGGGGGGAAGCCTTTTTGCTCAACGAAATGGTACGATACCGGCTCTTTGACTTATTCTGCGCGAATGTAAGGTTGACTCTCTGTGTTATTCTCTCCCTTTGTAGAGGACGTCGTTCAGCAGGCAAGAAGGGCGGAAGCAAATAATCGACCCGACCGTGCTCGGCACCGCCGCGGACGAATCCCTGTCGCTGGTCATCTCCATAACGGATAAATGCTTGTCTTCGGAGTCGTCCCTCCGGCCTTCGATCGAGGATGTTCTCTGGAACCTGCAGTATGCGGCCCAGGTGCAGGCCACCGCCGACAGAGATCAGCGGTCAGACGCCACCTCGCAGGCATGAAATCCGCCGAGAATCTCCGGCGATGTCGGTGCCATCGCTCGCCCGATAATGCCCCATTGTTCTCCGCTACTGGGTCTTCTTCCGACCGAACTTTTCGTTCATGAATTAGGGTGCCCGTAGATGAGCAAGTTTACTGTGAAACAGAGCCCATTTCTCTCTCTCTTCGCTTCGTGGCTGGTGAAGATGGGGCCGTCGAGGGAGGGGATCCCCAGGAGGTCCTGCCGCCGTGGGCACGCCAGGTGGAGAACGACAGCGCCGCTACCGCCACGGTGGGGACCCCTGTCCGTCTCGGCGAGCTTCTTCTTTCAGGATTTGATGACGAAGGGACGGCTGCCTTCCATAAGCTTTTGATCCGTGTTGGAGTGGGTCGGGGGATTCTGTCATGGCGTCAGCTTGTCGGTGCATGCCTCCAAGCTACTACACGAGAGCGAGAGAGAGAGAGAGAGAGGGCGGTGGCCACCTTACTTCCCGGCTAGTTAACTCGGAACGAGAGACCATTTGACGTATTTGAATATTTTTCATAATATTCTGGGAAGAACCAGCAGGCAAATCTCCCCTTCTTCCGCCAACCCTCTCTCTCTCTCTCTCTCTCTCTCTCTCTCGCTCTCTCGATTGTGTACCCTCGGACCAGGGTTCCATGGCGAATGCCGGCCGCCACGGAAGTCCTTCCGTGCCCTGCATTTATGATGATGAGGATCTTCTTCTTCTTCTTGACTGAAGGAGGGGGGGACTGAGATATTCCCGACTGCCGATCTTCAGGTGATTCCTCACACATCCGCTTTCCGGTGTTTCCGTCCGAGGTCGGGGCCGATCGCGTGTGTGAGCTCCGTCAATGTCCGCCGCCGCGTTGGCTTCTATTCTACCTTCATTCATTTCCCCCCGCCGCCTCGTCATTCTACTTTGCCTCCGGATCTGAGGACGATGATGCAGAGCAGAATTTAATGCTCAGCAGTCCGTCTACAGAAATCTCTCCCTTTGACCCACTTTACTCTTCTCCGGACAGAAACCCAGCTCTCCCCCGCAGATGAACAGAGCTCTGGATCGAACCCACCGACGTATTACCGTCTTCATGCTTCCTCGATTCGTACCTGTTGATTATCTCCCGCACACATTCTCTGATTATATTTTTTTTACTCCTACCGCGGATTTCTCACGCATCCGTCGGCGCAGGTGGAGTGGGTCAGCCTCGCCCATTGAATGCGGAGAAGAAGATCCTCTTCCCCAGAGCGACCATTCTGAGTCCTCCTCGCTCCGATCATGGTTCTGGGTCTTAGATCGAAGAACAGGAAGGGGACCTCCGTCCATGTCGACTTCACCATCCATGTTCAGGAAATAAAGCCATGGCCCCCATCACAATCCCTCAGATCCGTCCGCTCCGTCGTGCTTCAATGGGAGAACGGAGATCAGAATTCAGGGTCGGGGCGTCCTGTCGTCCCCTCCCTCGACGACGGGAGGATAGTCCTCGACGAGTCCTTCAAGCTCCAGGCCACCCTTCTGAAGGAGGCCGCCGGAAAAGGCAACGATGGCGGCGCATTCCAGAGGAACATCCTCGAGCTGAACCTGTACGAACCCAGGAGGGATAAGGGGGCGCGGGGACAACTCCTGGGGAGCGCGGCGGTGGACCTGGCGGAGCACGGCGTTATACGGGAAGCTGTGAGCCTCGGGGTCCCGGTGAGCTGCAAGAGGAGCTTCAGGAACACGGCGCAGCCCGTCCTCTTCCTCAAGATTCAGACGCTCAAGAAGGCCGAGGAGGGGTCCTCTTCCTCGGAGAGCTTGCTGAAGGAAGAAGGATCGGCGGGCAGAGATGCTGGTGGTTCTGTGTCGCCATTGATGCATGGAGAATGCCCAGAGGAGGAGATCGCCTCCTTCACCGACGACGACATCTCGTCCTCCCACTCATCTTTGCCTTATTCCGCTCCTCCGAAAGACCCTGACGAGCGGTCTCAGAATCAGGTCTGTCTGTCTGTCTCTCTTTCTCCCTCTCTCTCCCTCCCTCCCTCGATTTTCTTGCATGATTTTGGTTGAGCGATCGTGATCCAGCTCTGGAAAATGTGGAACAGGATGCAAGAGCAAGCCCATCTCCATCTGGCACCAACTCTTCCCGGGAGAATTCAACGATGATTCAGGAGGAATTAGATGCTTCTCCGCCATCCACCGTCTCTGAACCTACAGAGCCAGAAACCAGCAAGATGGAGAACGATGAAGGTGAGGAGGAAGCCCCCGAGAGCACGGTAGATGCCAAGGCCGAGCAGAGAGAAACTGAGCACCACGATAATGGCGATCTTACGGTGGAAGGCACCTTGAACAAGGTGGAATGTTCAGAAAATGCGGGCAATGACTGCGGTCGGATTGAAAATGGTGGAATGATCTGCAACGGGGCTGAAGAAAGCTTCTTGGAGAGGGAAGGTGAAGTGATCGCGCCAGAAAATAGTGGGATAATCAGCAATGGCGAAGGAGAAAGCTTGCCGGAGAAGGAAGGCGAAGAGACTCCGCCGGAGAATGGAGGACAGACCGTAGACGAAGCCCTGAATGATTCGGTTGAAATTAGATGCTTGACCGAGGACTCCGATGGACAGTCAATAGTGGGTCAACTGTCGGGGACTCCACAGAAGTCTCCTGAGGAAGACCAAGGGACCTGTGATCTTCCTCAATGTGGCAAGAACTTTGCTGTCGCAGATGGCGGCGACCCCGCCGGCAAGCCGAGGAGTCTGAAGTCCGTCCGATCGCCGTCTCTCACCGCCAGGAACGATAATTCTGCAGAAGATGTGAAGGAAATAGATGTTTTGGGGAATGCCCACCATGGTTCTAAGAAGTTCAGGAACGGGGGGAGTAGTTTTTCCAGTAAAAGGGTCAACGAGCTGGAGTCCAGGGTCAGAATGCTCGAAGCGGAGCTGAGAGAGGCGGCGGCTGTCGAGATCGGGCTCTACTCCGTCGTCGCCGAGCACGGAAGCTCCGCCCAGAAAGTCCACACCCCAGCCCGGCGGCTCCTCCGCCTGTACACTCGCGCCTGCCGGGAGGAATCCCAAGAAAGAAGGGGCGGCGCCGCCAGGAGCGCCGTCTCGGGCCTGGTTCTGGTGGCGAAAGCTTGCGGAAACGATGTTCCGAGGTACGCGCAGGACGTTTCCGATCTTGGTAATGTCGACATTCATGGTGATTCTTCCCCTGTGCAGGTTGACTTTCTGGCTTTCCAACGCTGCGGTCTTGAGGGCGACGGTGTCTCAGGGGGTTGACCCATCTGACCCGGCGATGTCAAACCTGCGAGATCGGAACCCCGGGCCCTTGAGATGGGAGTCGACGGCCAAGAGCCAGAAACAGCTCTCTTTCATGGAAGATCTTGACGACTGGGAGGACCCGAACATATTCATCTCCGCATTGGAGAAGATCGAGGCCTGGATCTTCTCGCGGGTCGTCGAGTCCCTGTGGTGGCAGGTCAAATCGGAGAATCTCTCTCTCTGTGTCTCTCTCTATACTTTGCCGGCGTTCTAAGCTCTCTTTGGTTGCTTGGTACGATCATCAGAAGGGCATCGCTTCTCTCTTTCTTGTAGACTCTGACGCCACACATGCAATCCGCCGATGAAATCGATCGATCAAAGGGAAGCTCGAGCGCGAGGAACGGCCATGGGAAGCAATCGAGTGCGAAGGATCAGAATCAGGCGAGCTTCTCCATGGAGCTGTGGAAGAGGGCTTTCAAGGACGCCTGCGAAAGGCTCTGTCCAGTTCGAGCCGGTGGCCACCAGTGCGGTTGCCTACCCATGCTGCCCAGACTGGTGCGTACGAGGATCCCCGGAAGAGTCGTCTTCGATTCCTCCTTGCTTTCTTCTTCTCCTCCTGAAAATTCTCGTCCGGCGATCAGATCATGGAGCAGTGTGTGGCGAGACTCGACGTCGCCATGTTCAACGCGCTCCTTCGTGAATCCGGCGACGACATTCCGACCGACCCCGTTTCCGACCCGATCACCGATGCCAGGGTTCTCCCCATCGCCGCCGGCAAATCGAGCTTCGGCGCCGGCGCCCAGCTGAAGAACGCCGTCAGTGCTCTCTCTCTCTTTCTCTCTCTACTGGTTTTTGGTTTGTTCTTGGACCGATCCAAAGGGTGGAAGATGATTCAGCTGACCAAACAACGGATTTCACGCCGCCGGTGTTGCCAGATTGGGAACTGGTCCAGGGGGCTCACCGACTGGTTCGGCATCGACGACGACGACGAGGACGACAACTCCTCCGAGGGCGAGGGAGAAGACGATCACCGGCGGGAAGCCGCCGCACCCCAAAAATCTTTCCGCCTGCTGAATGCTCTGAGCGATCTGCTGATGCTCCCAAAGGATATGCTCCTGGACGAGTCCATCAGGAGAGAGGTCCTCCCCCTCCCTTTCCCCCCGCCGGCATGAATCCTCTTCCGGGAGCTCGTCTTCTGAAGCTTTTAGCTTCTTCTTGAAGGTCTGCCCCAGCTTTGGAGAGCCGGTTTTGAGGAGGATCCTCTGCGGCTTTGAGCCCGACGAGTTCTGTCCCGACCCCGTACCGGAGGAACTTCTCGACGCCTTGGATTCACAGGTTTGACCCCCGGCCCAGACTGATTTGCTCGTTTTCCCCCTCCGATTTTATGTAGAAACTGTTTATCAGGAGGTGGTGGCGGACGGCGATGAGGTCGTCGGGAGCTTCCCCTGCGGTGCCGCTCCGGTGGTCTACTCGCCGCCTCCCGCGAAGGCGGTGGCGGAAGCCATCGGAGACCCCCGTGGACGGCCCTTCCTGTCGAGGATTGGCTCCGCCGTGCTCCGCAAGTCCCACACCAGCGACGACGAGCTGGAGGAGCTAGACGCACCTCTCACCCTGATCGCCGCCGACAGGTCCCGCCTGTTGACGCCTTCGCCCAACGGCGGCGCCAGGTTGACCAGATACCACCTGCTCCGCGAAGTCTGGAGAGGCGACGATTAGCTTAAATACCACCCCCAGATGAAAAAACTGAAATTTTTTACCCTTTTAAGTTATCCCTCCCCCTCTCTGTCTCTCTGTCTCTGTCTGTCTGTCTGTCTGTCTCTCTCTCTCTCTCGCTGGGCTTTAAAAAGGGCTCACTTTGGAGCTTTTCACGAGATTTGGGAAGGACAGGTCAAAGTTTGCCCTTTGACCGTGGGGAGTATTCAATTTCAAAGAATAGACGGGCACATCGAGGAAGGGTTTGGGGCTGATTTGCCCAAAAATAAATGGAAAAATGAAGGCTGAAACATGCTACAATTCGTGGTCAAAATTGCTCACAGGAAATCTCGATGAGAACTTCTGGAGTAGCTCTCGTTCACTGCAGAAGGCAAGACTGGAAAGGGGAATAATTATCCGCGAACGTCTCATCTGGGGGAAGGAGCAGCCCCAGGGCTCCCATCAGGGCGTCAATGTTGGCAAGGAACTGATTGCGTCGATGTGCTGGAGACGCAGCGCCGCCAACAGCCCCTGCCACGTCTCCCTGGGGCCGTCGGAGACCTGGAAGTCGAGCAGCTTCCTCTGCTTCCGGTAGTAGTCCTCCAGTAATTTGCTCTATCCAGTGGGAGGAGGGATCCAGTTAATTAGGAACACATTAAATCAAATTACTGTCTGCTTTAAACAGGTCTCTGCATGTGGAAGGCTGAATCAGAGCATTAATTTTGCATGCTAACTCTTTCAAAAGAAAATTTTCTGCTCTGCAGTGATGTTGAGTCAGATCAATTTTCTGCCCGGAAGATATTGGCTGAATTAGTTTGTCAGATTAAAAAAAAAAAAGTGCTTTGACAATCTTCTCTCTCAAGAACAGTCAACGACTATCAACATCAACGAAGTCATGGACACGAGCAAGACATCACATGACAGCCATAATTGAGACATATGTAGCCATGCTATGCCTAAAATAACCATTCTGATACACGAGATTACCTGTTTTCTCCCAGAGTGAATTATCTATATATATCTTTTAATGCATGAAAGTTTGACCTCAGAGAAGAAATGGATATACCTGCTCGACATAAAGCTGTAACTTTTGTCGACGAACTTCCCCATCATCAATTGCAGAGGGTGCTTCCAGTTTAGAGTGCTGCATTCTCACTGACACGCATGATTTGCTGGTGGACAATTTACAAATTCCATTGTTATCAGATGCGGCACAGGGAGGACAGATGTTGCCACCTAAGTGCTTTTTCGCCAAGCAGTCCTCCATGCATTTGAGGTTTACAACTAGGTCGATATCAGCGACTTGATCAAGGATTTCCTGATGAAAGAGGACAACGAATTATTTTCTTGACGTCGCCTTCAGATTCAGCCGTTTACATTCTATTTTTAAGTATACTTCTGGGTACGTAGAAATCTACGTAAAACAAGACTTCATACTAGCAAGATCAGGCCTTTCAACAACAAGTGCAGTTTTGAAATACCGGTCATTAGTGTAGGTAACGTAATCAGTCGTGGTTCATCCAATGCAGGTACTTAGAAAAACACATCAAGCATGATTAATGAGTAATCATCTTCATTCTTTGATGAAATTGCTAACCACAAAGCATTATTATTCACTATTTTAGACTGTTTATCAATGCATTCATTACGAAAGATTTTGAGGAAAAACAACTAAGCAGCCACTCGGGGCCACAAAGTGGCGGCATTTTCGCCCACCTGATAGAAAACTTCATTTATCTAGCATCAATAAAAGCCTTTCATGAATCATGATCCCCAACAAAAGATATTCTATAGAGCAGAAGAAAGAGACGATGGGAGTTAGGGGATGCTGTGACTCACAGCTTGCACCATAGTCCGTGGGATCCCATCCAGAATGAACCCCCTTTCGCCTTTGGCGTACCCTTCTTCGAGCCTCTGTGATAAAAGAGCAAATATGATATCCTCCGGTACGAGATTCCCTTCGTTCACAGCATTTGCAATCTAAAAGGCAAGAACGACGACAATCAGTGGACTGCTTCCTTTCCCTCACCGAGACCATTCGAAGAGTTCCAAATCGGAAAATACGAAAACGTCACCCGGCTTAGTTCGGGCGAAAGCAGCAACAAGCAGCCCAAACAAATCCCTCTCGTGAATGAAGAAAGAACAATGAATGGGCAGCAATAAATGACAAGGCCAGACAACACATCTCTCATAGGCGCGCAGTTGAAGAACCCGTGGGTTTCACATGCCGGTATTCTGAAATGACATGATGGCCCCTCGTGTCGGATAAATTCCATGCTCAGCCCTCCAGAAGAAAAGAAAGGGATCGCAGGGATTACACAACACCACAGAAGCGGAGAAGAAAATAAAGAACGGAGAAAATTTCCAAGCAGCGGGGGTGACGAGGGGGAGATGACCTGCTTGTAGAGAGACGAGAGGGGATGGAGCTCCTGGCGAACGAGGCCGCCCATGGAGATGTAGGGGACGCCGAGGAGCTGCGCGATCCGATTGGCGTAGACGTGCCTCCTGGCGCTGGGGCTCCCCATGAACACCCACTGCACGCCCCTCCCCCCCGCCTCCCCGCACGCGTCCGCCATTCCGGCGATGCCGCGGCGGCGATCAAACTCGAACTCGTCGTCGCTCTCGTACTCCATCTGGATCGCCGCCGCTGCGCCGAAGGATCGGGTCCGGGAGGCGCCGAGGAAGCGGGCGAGGGACTGGGCGGCGGCCCCTGCGCGGCAGATTCTGGACATTTTGAGGTCGGAAGAGGAGCGCAGAAGGCCCTGGCAGCCGCTGGCGCACAGGAAGAGAATCGCAGGGTTTGGACTTCAGAGAGGTTTTGAAGGAATAGACGAGGGCCATTATCTATTTACCCCTTAAAGTTCCCATATTTCTTCATGTGCCACGCTACCAGAGTCTTCCAGAGTGGCGGAGAATGCTCGCCACACGTACAGACACGTGTTCATCAACCATTCGCTGGAGCCTGATCTAAGAGAGAGGCCACGTTTTCAGCCTGTGGACAGACGACTCTGCCTACGCTGAAGTCACGTGATTGGAAGAAGCCGGCCACCCTCGTCCGCGCATCTCAGAGGACATGACTGTTGCGTAGCGCATCGCACGGACGGAGTGCTCTAGTCTTCCGGGCCCACCAGGAGCCATCCACGTCAACGGGCTCGTGGAGGCGCGAATTTTGGGAGCAAATAATACGTTTGGAAAATTAGATGCGCCGGGCCCACACGGAGCCAGACTAAATTGCGTTGGATGGGCAGATGGAAGTAGAAGGGGAGAAGCTCTAGGATGAGATATAAAGTGTAAAAATATAATAATAATTTTTAAAATAAACAATTTACCAGTATAATATCCAAAAGTATGCATTATTTATTGTCATGTATTCTGACATCTTCACTAAGTTTCATAAATATTTAATTTAAAATACCTTGTACTTGCAATTTTGCTACTTATCTATTTTCTCTCTTTCTCTTTCCAAGTTCTCTCTCCCTCTCTAGCCATTTTAATGATTTTAGATTATATTCTTTGAATAAAAATGCATTATTATGGATTAAATCCCCTAATATGGCAAATTTAGATGATGATCGTCCCACGTGGGCATGAATGGGACATTAATTAAGGATTGGGTTTTCTTTTATGCTCTTCTGGAAATATTAAGCAACAAAAAATAGACGTTTATTTCAAAGGTTCTATGGGGACTAAAAACTAATGATATATGCTTCCCCAAATGAAAAATATTTTTCATTCACTAAAATGATAGATAAATATATTTATCAATTACTACAATGATAGATACTATTCTAAATATAGATGACTGCATTATGACAAGAATTTAAATAAGTGCAATATATATTTAACATCCAATAAGATTTATATTTTATTTAATATTTTTATAATGGACATGCAACAAATATTCAATAAGAACCTTGGTAGAAACAAATTTAATAGTTTACAAAAAAATATCTTAGCGTAGCAAATACGTTTTTGGGTTTTTTGGTTCTAGCTTCCGATATATTAAGTGAATTATCATAAAAACCCCTTATTTATATGCCTATAACTATAACTCAAAAAGATTTAGTTTTTAGTTCATATAGTTATTGTGCACTATACTCCTCAAGAATCCATATATCAAATTATAATACCTACAGGGACTAGAACGAACTTGGTGTGCAGTTTTTTTTTTAGCTGTATGGATCTTGGCACTAAAAGGAAGAATTCGTCAATAATTGATCTAGTAAATAATTTATGAGAGTCTATATCAAAAAATAATATACAAAAAAATTTAAAATTTTACAGGTACTATTTTAAAATCCCAACTTATATTTTGAACGGTAACCAAAAAAACTTAGTCATATGTAAGATCATGATATTTGTTGTGAACCAAGTAAGTTAAATTTGGGAATTTTAAAAATGTGATATATTTATTATTTATAAACCAGACGAACAATAATCTGAGAGGCTGAAGTAGGCGAAGAGGACCGATTTTTATATACAGGGGCGAATTATCTTCAGATTAATGAGATTTTCTGAAAATCAATAAGAGTGAAAAATACCAAATTTGGTAAAAAAAAATGTCTACAGCCCAATTATATACATCGACAAGGAAACAATCTTCTTCTCATCCCACGGCGAGCAGCAGAGCTCGGCCATGAAGACCTCAACGACCACCCTACTTCGAACAGCTCCAGAATCAGATCCTCCATCGGCAACTCGATGCCCACCTCCACCATTCGAAGGCCTTCTTCCTTCTCGAGGGCTTCTTCCTTCACGGACCATGCTCTCTGAAGCTTCTGCAGGATCACCTTACAGGCTTCCTCCACCTCCCTGATATCCTCGTGACAGCTCCGAGCGCTCCCCGATTCATAATCGGATTCCTGCAACTCCTCCTCGTTGGAAGAGTCGAGCTTCTCCTCCCCCATGGGATCCTCCGGCAGGTACTCGCCGGCGATCTCCCTGTCGTCCCCGCCGGCGGCGGAGGGCGTCGTCGTGCCGGCGACGCACTTGGTGGAGACCCAGCCGAGGAACGGCAAATGGCCTACAATGGCGGGGAGTCGCCCCAGCAGGTACTCGTCGACCTTCTCCGGGAGAGCCTCCGGGAGGAGGGTTATCTTTTTGTCGAGGGCGTGGAAGAGGCGAGCTGCAGGAGGGAAGGCGGAGGCGACGGCGTCCTCAACAGCGAGGATGCGGCCGTCGGTGGAAGAGAGGAGGTAGAGCCACTGCGCCTCAAGGAGGGAAAGGAGGGGGCCGGCCATTGATGCCACCTTCTTGGCGACGGTGCCCACGGGACCTTCGAGGTCTTGCACCGCCCGGCACGCCTTGCGGGCCAAGACCAGGAACGAGAGGCCCAGACTATGCAGCAGGCGCGGCCTTGCCGTGCCCTCTTCAGCTCCCTTCTTCGATCTCTTATTTAGAGAAGAGAGATGAAGTTAGCGAGCTAGAGAGAGAGAGAGAGAGAGAGAGAGAGAGAGAGAAAGAGAGAGAGAGAGAGATCTTGGTCAGTATAATACCTTAGAGGATTGGGAGCTCTCGGCGGGTTCATCTGTGGACCTGTTGATCTCTACGTCTTCCATTGCGCAGGCCGAATCTGGCCTCCCCCTCTGCTGAATTTCTTCGAGAACAGAACAGGTGGAGACAAAAAACCAGTTAGAAAACAAGAAGAAAAAAACCAAGGTTGCGGCCCCCTGCGATCTGCTACTCGCCGGAAAGAAGACGGCCCCGACGGGATAAACGGCGGCCATGCCTGCTGCTAGAACGACCAATCGGCGGCGGGGTGGCCGCGCTTGATTTTCGGAGTAATGGTTTCTTTCCCTGGTAGGGAAGAGAGTGGAGGGGATCGAAGGGAGAGAAACCATTAAAAGAGTTTTTTTTAAATACAATATAGTTAAATATATTTATAAAAACTTCCTCTTTATAATACTGTACCAACTACGTGGCCTCCCCAGTTTATGTGCCACGCTGGCATTCACCGGTGATCTGTCAACAAACTATATCCAAATTGAAATATAAAAGGGTACATTTCCTTAGTTAGCTGCCATGAGCCTACCCCGCCATGCGTTGTTTCAAACATTACCTCTATTTCGAAGAAGAAACCTTCTAAAATCCTTAGTGGGGGAGTGTACATGAGCATGTCCTTTTTCCTCAATTAATGGGGTTATTATTGTCCTTCAACACTTGACATAATTACTAATTTTAGCTAACGTTAGGAAAAAGAAGGATAATTTATAATTGAGAATATTCTGCTCTCTTGAGTTACTCTACTCGCTAGATTCATTAGCCTACACTTGCCCTTAGTAATCGATGAGATTCATTGCTCTTAATAGTCCGACACCAGCGATCTAATGCTAGCACAATATTTTTCAACCACTATTATTCAAATGAAAGTGGAATTTCATTGAAATTCACATTTAATGTTACAACCATCGAAAGTGGAATTTCATTGAAATGAGCTCCTTATCTTGAGTTGGAAGTTCTTCTAGTGGTGCAGTACGAGTGTCGCCTATGTGCAGATAATCAATTAACAGTGATGATGATGGTGATACTACTACTACTACTACTAGTAATAATAATAGTTTACCAGCTGACCTTATATTTCGAATAATTAGGGTTCTTCTGTCGTGTTCTTCAACCATTTTGACAACGACACCATTTGGCTTTCATTTAAAGCTGGATTCCGCATGATTATGCCACCGTGATTCATTTTTTATTCTTTGTTCTATGATCAATGAAGACGCTAGAACCTTGGTTTCGTATGGTACGAGGATGAACCAAGATCAAGAGAGAGACCTTGGCGCAAGAAGTTATATACCGTCTGTATCTCTTTCGATCGAGGTCATAGTCGTTGATTGTGTCCGACCCATCATGGATAAACATGTTTTAGTTCTTGGAGATCCCGCAAGATCTTCCATTTCCCATTGGTTTGACAGATCATGCGAAGATTCAGCTGCCGCAGAGGTGGTCCAAAGGCGGATGCTGCTATTCCCATTCACGCATTTCCCAAATCTCTCAAAATGTTAGAGTTATTTCTCAAACAGGGGCCACTGCAGATTAGCTGCTGGCCTGTCTGCACGGATTCCTCACGTTGGGGAGACGAAGAGCTCAAACCAGTTGGTGCTCTTCGCCGGCGCCTTCCGATCTGCCGCCGTTCTCCACCAGCAGATCTTCGACCGGGAGGTTCTGCGCCTTTGCGTATGCTTCCAAGCTGACCAAACATGATAAATTAAAGAAGCTCTCACTTATGCGGGCTAAGTGGGGCACGTCGAACGAGCCACATGAGAAGTTGATAAGATCATCTCCAGGGATCGAGAGAGAGAAAGAGAGAGAGGAAGGCGTAGACAGCTGGGGAATCTGGGCGGCCCACATGGGGTCAGATGTCGTCGTCCAGGACCAGTTCCCACATGCAGAGCGGAGTACCTGCGTACAGACGCCGCCAAGCTGCCGGGAGAAGGAGAAGAGGCCCCAACGGGGGCGAGAGGGAGTGAGACTGGTGAAGACATCCTAAGATAGCGGGTGGGGGGACCGCCGGTTAGAAACAAGCGACCGGCGGGGGAAAGATCCTCCGCCACCAACCCCGCTGCCGCCGTCTATTTCCGGCCCCTTGCTTCCTCCCCAGTCAGTCAGTCCCTTCTTCTCCACGTCTTCTTCTACGTGGGTTTCCGCAGAGGACCCCACCCCCTCCGCTCTGCCCATCGCCCTGCCATTAACTCCCCTCCGCGAGCTCCGTTCCGGCGCCCCCGCCACCACGGCAACCAGGGCTTCCCCTCGTCTCCCCTCCCCTCCGTCCCCACGGAGCTCTGTCGACAGAGGCTGCGAGGATTATGGCCCCGTTGGTGTCGGGTTATTTATTTTCGACATCTCTCACACAGTGATAACTAGTAGACCTTCGTCTTCTTCCTCCTCCGGCGACCCTCGGGATTCCCCCCGCCCCCCCTACCAGAACATTTCAGCTCCACAGCAAATGAGTCTCCGCCCTTGCTTCTTCCTCCTCCTCTTCTTCTCTTCCTCCGTCGCGGTGCAAGTACGCCTTTCCGCCGCGCTCTCGCCGGACGGGCTCGCGCTTCTGGCCTTCAAGTTCGCCGTTGCGGCGGACCCGGGGGCGGCTCTCGCTGCGTGGGACGAGGGCGACGCCGATCCCTGCCTCTGGCCGGGCGTCTCCTGCGCCGCTGTCCCCAGTTTCTCCTACCCCCGCGTGGTCGCTGTGTCTGTTCCCGGGAAGGGCCTCACCGGCTACATTCCCTCCGAGCTGGGCTCCCTCTCCTTCCTCCGCCGCCTCAATCTCCATAGCAACTCCCTCTCCGGCTTCATCCCTCCCCAGCTCTCCGAAGCTACCTCCCTCCGAGCCCTGTATCTCTACTCCAACAACCTCTCCGGGCCGGTTCCTCCTTCCCTCTGCGACCTCCCTCGCCTCCAGAACCTCGATCTCTCGGGGAACGCTCTCTCCGGCGCGATTCCTGCCCGCCTGGGGAATTGCCGGCAGCTGAAGAAGCTCATCCTCTCCGATAATCGGCTTTCCGGGGAGGTCCCTGCAAAGATATGGCCTCAGCTCAGCGGCCTCATGCAGCTCGACCTGTCAAGAAACAACTTCAGCGGGCCAATTCCTCCAGATCTCGGCAGTCTCAGATCGCTATCGGGTGTTCTGAATCTTTCCCACAATGCATTCTCCGGCGAGATCCCCAGCAGCCTGGGGAATCTGCCGCCGGCGGCAACTCTCGACCTCCGGGGGAATGACCTATCTGGGAAGATCCCTCGGGTGGGCGTTTTGTCGAACCAGGAGTCCACCGTCTTCCTCGACAATCCCAAGCTCTGCGGCTTGCCCCTCCTAAGCCCCTGCAAGGACCCCTCCGCCGCTCCCCCTACCTGGCACAGGTCCTCCCCTCTCTCCTACAGTGACCAGGGAGAAGATCAAGCCCGGAGGAAAAGGCTGAAGCCGGGGAAGATCATCATCATCGCCGTCGCAGACGCCGTGGGCGTAGCAGTGATCGGCGCTGTGCTGGTGTACGCCTACTGGAAGCTGAGGCTCACAAGCCGCGGCGGGTGCAGCTGCAGCAGGAAGACCAAACTGGGGAGGGAGGAAGCAGGAGGGAACGAGCCCTGCTGCCTGAGGTGTTTCTGCTTCAGCCCACCGGCGGCGGCGCCGTCGGAGGAGGGACCGAACTCCGACGGAGCAGCTGCGGAGGAAGAAGAAGGGCACCTGGTGGCTGTCGACAAGGGGTTCTCCTTCGAGCTGGATGAGCTGCTAAGGGCGTCGGCGTACGTGCTGGGCAAGAGCAGCCTGGGGATCGTCTACAAGGTGGTGCTCCGGAGCGGGGTGCCGGTGACGGTGCGGCGACTGGGGGAAGGCGGCGCTCAGCGGCGGAAGGAGTTCGCCGCGGAGGCGCAGGCCATCGCCCGCGTGCGCCACCCCAACGTCGTCCGCCTCAGGGCCTACTACTGGTCCTCAGACGAGAAGCTACTGGTTAGCGAGTTCATCTCCAACGGCAGCCTCGCCGCCGCCCTCCGCGGTGGGAAGACGACCCAGTTCTCCTCCTCCTCCTTCCTCTCCATCTTATCTCAAGCTAAGTAGCGCCGGTTACGAAATCTCAGTGATTTTACTGCAGGTCGGTCGGGTCAGCCTGCGATGCCATGGGCGACCAGGATGAGGATAGCTAGAGGGACGGCGCAGGGGCTGGCCCACATCCACGAGTGCAGCTCCCGGAAGTTCGTCCATGGCGAGATCAGGCCCTCCAACGTCCTGCTCGACGGCGAGTTCAACCCCCACATCTCCGACTTCGGCCTCCGCCGCCTCGTCCACGTCGCCGGCGTCTTCGACGGCGGCGGCGCCGTTCTCGGCCGGGGAAACGGCTACCTTCCACCGGAGGCGCAGCAGGCCCCCGTTGGCAAGCCTACACAGAAGTGGGACGTCTACTCCTTCGGGCTAGTGCTGCTGGAGCTGCTGACGGGGAGGACCCCCGAGCTCTCGTCCCCTTGCCGAGCGACGACGCTGTCCTCGCGACCACCGTCGATGGACCCGGCGGAGCTGGCGAGGTGGGTGAGGAAGAGCTTCGAGGAGGAGAGGCCGCTGGCGGAGCTAATGGACCCGGCGCTGCACCGGGAGCAAGAGGCCAAGAAGGAGATCCTCTCCGTCTTTCAGCTGGCGATGGCCTGCACAGAGCTCAACCCAGAGTCGCGGCCGAGGATGAAGACCGTCTCCGACTTTCTCGAGAACGTTGGCCGCCGGTGACCTTGCCGGCCGCCGCCGGCGAGAGAGCCAACATAGTTTCCCCCCGAAAGGAAAAAGCCATCCATGTATGCTCGAAGAGTCCAATTTACCGCATGTATCCAGTGGTCCTCGTCTAGGAACATTAAAGGCGGTGAAAAAAAATTGCACCGTTGCGGAGACGCCGGCGCCGGAGACGATGACGGAGGAGAGAGCAGCTCATTAAATCGCCGCCGCGGTAGCCGCCGGCGAGTCATTGCTGCAACGGTCCACTGGGTAAACAAGCCCACGTGGCTTCAATTATAGGACACGTGGTAACAGATGGCAGTCGGGAATCCTCAGTCTGCCATTGACACGGATCTCAATGGGTCGTAGAAAGCCAGGAGTTGACTCCGTGGGAGAGCTCCCGAGGTAGGGGGGAATGTAAGTAAAGCAAAGGTTAAGATATTCGCTGCCAGGCCATTTATGGAATGGAATCAATGATCATAGGGAACCACTTTATCATTCACTAATCTCGTAAAATATTCAGACAAACTGGACAGATGATTCGGATAGAACTGAAGAAAAACCACGAGCCCCCTTCAAGCGAACATCAAAATTAATTGATAAATGAAAAATGTCATCTTGAGACGTTGACCTCGGCGGGAGCTCAGCCCCGGTTGACGTAGGAATCCCCGGCAGTTAGAAAGAGATGCTCGCCGACATTCACATCGATAGCGGGCTGATCCTCGATGCAGCATACGCGGATCTGCATGGGCCAACATGTCGCAGAGACGCTTGGAGTTATGTAACAGTGGAGGCGCTGACCATTTGGAGAATTCAACGGAAGAAAGTCAGAGGTCAGTCACTAACCTTCCCCTTCCCGGCTAGAAACTCCGACTTCAGGCTGGAGTGATCCCTCGATGACAGATAGGTCCGAAGGTTCTCAGCAAAACCTTTGTTTCCTGAGTGACAGGAAGAAACAACAGCTGACCGGAGGAAATCCCACGAGTTCATGGTGCTGCAAGATACGAGGGGAGGCGGGGGACTTTACCCGAGTATGATATCAAGATGGCATCAAGATCGAACACCAGACAGGGCCTCGTCAGCCTGATGGAAAACGATAGCCCGGAAACCCCGTGGAACTCCTCTTCATAAATAGTAACCTGAGAGTTATAATCATGCAAGGATGAGAGCGGCCCAAGGACCTTGGAGAGCTATGGCAAGTTAAAGATGCTCACGGCATTTGGAGGAAGGACGGAGTGATGAAGCAGCGGAGAACCGAGAGCTTCCTTCACATAGTTTTCCTGCGCGTAAAATGGGTATAGAGTGAGAAGAAGAAGACGACCCATCTTCCAGGACGATGAGCGGAATCATGGGTAACCCACATGGGATTTCAATATACGTTCTAAAACGTGTTTGTCTTCATCTAACGGCTCGAAGTAAACCTCCACCACATCTGTTGGCTCTAAGCCGGCTTTCTTGCGCGATTTCTGGATTCTGTTCACGACCTGAACAAAAATTTATTCGAAAATCAGAAAAATGCCAACTTGAATGGAAGACAAAATATATATAATTCGAAGGAAAAAAAAAAAGCACAAAAGAGGCAGAGCCCATGATATTAGGAGGCAATGTCAACCCCTTGGACATCTGGGGACAACTCATTGAGCATATCTCAGTAAATAGCTTGAAATGGAAATGGGACTTCCAACAGTAAACACTCTAGAGACCGACCGACCGACCGGGCGCCACATTCAACTTATCGTGGACAGGAGCGTATGTACAAGACAGCTGATCTTGATTCGATCTATAAGTGAGCATTTGATTGATTTGCTGTTTGTAGTACCCAGTTATCACCGATTTCCGGGATTGACTTGCTGGTAGATGGATTACTTTTGGCAGGTATCAAGATGTTGCAATACAACAAACTGCCATAAACCAAATTACTGTGAAGGCTTGAAAGCTAATCCTAGCAAAATTAAAATCTGCCATCTACATTGCAGAAGTATGCACGAACAGCAGAGATATGTCCACATGAACAAGAACTGAGCACATTGGATGGTTAAAAAGCACGGTAAAAACAAATAATCAACTCACGACTAAGTAAATGATATCATCGATTGAAAAAAATGATCTTAAATTTACCTCACGAGCCATTCCTAACTCAAAGAGAGAATCATCCGGTCGTAGATCCAAGACCACTAACACATCACCTGAATAGGCATAACTTTAGAAACTCCAAAGCATCACAGTATGATGGATTTTTTAAAAGAAAAGAGAAGGATAGTGTACCATCTCCAGCTGCATCTATTTCAGTTTCTTTCACATCATCAGGACGTTTGAATTCCCGCAACACCTGAAATCAGAGAGATAGGCATATTCCTTGAGGATAACTTTTCATACAGAATAAGCAGCGGACACATGGTTCCATCAAGACAAAGGCAACACGTTCCAAGCCTCAGCAGATGACCAACCGTCCTACGAAATATGAGCGCGTGATGGAAGGAGACAAAAGACAACTTAATATTCAAGAGATATTTGTACATCGTTACACCGTATAAGTTCAAAAGATCCTATTCCATCAGAAAATTGACGGTTCATAAAAAAGAAATTCAAATTCAATTATTGTTGAATTGTCCACCATTTTTTGTCACTTCACTATATATACATCTAATGCTAAATTTTTTTTAAGCGTCCAACATAAAACATCCAATACGTTCCTATTTGCCTCACAAAAGAAACAGTAGATACCTCTTAGTAACATTCTTCCGATTTCCATAATAGAAGGATTCAAAGAACAGAAATAAATGAACTGGGTTCGAATAAAATCATTATGCACAATTATCAGCGTTCTATTTTCTCGTATATTTTCTACATAATATAATCATGGCTTGTGCGTCACAAAGATTATGTAAGACCAGGATGATTATCCCAACTATCGTTAGGTTATGAGTTTACATCCGTTCCTTGTCGGGTACAGCTAGGAGCAAAGTAGACATTTTAACCATAAACAAGGTTAATAAGGAATTTAAATTGAGCGAACCTTTATATCTGTAAGTTTTAAACTGTGACCAGAGAAAATGACTTCTCCTGAACTCTCGAGTGCTAGGATGTCCGCCTGTGACATTGCCTTGACTTCCTTGGCAACAGAACCCATTGCTTTTCCTAGTCGCTTACCTAATACACTAACAGAGCAAAAACACCTGGTGAGAGGACTAGACAAAACATAGAATAAAGAAAATTAAAAAGTTAGCGAGAACATTACCTAAAGTTTGGCTCTGCACGTAAAGTAGCATATTTCAAGGGATCATTGCAAGGAACCACTGATCTAATATTGAGTTCCTCTATCACATACTACAATGCAAATCAAGGTTTATTAGTATAAGACACATGAAAAGAAAAATCTAAAGCATGAAAATGACAGGCATATTAAACAACACGAGCAAATGGTGAAATACACTCTGTAACATGAAGATAAACTAATTACCCAGAAGTCAATATGGTGAAATAATTTTACATAAGGAAAGACACGGCTGATGTATTTTAATGTGAACGTCAAGTATGGCACATTATACTCTGTCGCCACATATATTTTTAGAGAACAACAAAAAAAAAGGAATTATATATAGCTACGGAAAGTTTTAAGACATACCTCTCTCAGTTTACCAGTAATATCTTCAAGAAAATCTGTATCGGGATGTACAACCACCATTTCTCTGAGGCACCATAAGAAATCAGAACCCAGGTACAAATCATAGCTGAAATTATATAAAACAGATGAGAAAGAGCAAATACCTTAGTGGTGTTTTGATAGGTTTGTTATAACGCTCCCTGATGTTGCGCGCAAGATCAATGACAGTCATCATTCTTGTCACGCTTTGCTCAATACGCTCCTCTCTCTAAGATTTAATATAGAAAAATTATTCAACATGAGTGCGACAGCAAATATGGATTCCCATCCATGAGGGTGCGTGGAAAATTTTAATTGCAAAGCAACATATAATATGCACTCGTATACAAACATAAGAATCATATAACGTAGCAAACATATGCGCAGGCCTCAGAAGAAAATGATACCTTCCCTGATGCACTGGGATAACTGCAATAGTGAATACTTTCTTCTGATACTTTTACAACCTTGCGCATGTTTTGGAAAAGAATCTCGGTGAAGAATGGTGTAAATGGAGCCATTACCTTACACGTGGTTAAGAGAACCTGGACATAGCAAGTAGAAATTGAGGGCACATGAGAGAAAATCCGTGGACAAATAAGCATTCCTATATACAATGTCACTTTTTTATTATTGTAATGGCACGTACAAAAGTATCTACCGATGGCATTTTCGCTTGTCAGTCTTGTAAATGATTTCCTAAAATGACGAGGTAGGATGATAAGGGACATGAAGGTCAAGTTTGTGGCTTAAAGAAAATTCGAATAGACTTTGAATTTTTAGATGGAGTTTCAATACAACACTACCTAAAAATAATAACAATAATCGTAGGCTGTGAAATGAGGATTTAAAATTCTTGAAAATAAAAAGTTACGGAGAGAAACGATTAACTTACTCATAAAAATGACCTAAATGACACAGCAAACACTGGGAGACAGTAAACAAACGAAGTGCAGCAAAACAAAACATGGTGCAAGGTTTAACAGAACGCCCACCAATCAAAATGCATACAAAATTATAAAAAAATAAATCTAAGAGAACAATACTGTACATGGTGAAGTGTTGACAGTGAGATACGACAATCTTCTTCTCCTGTCCGGCCTTTGAGCCTCTTACGGTTGAACCGAACGTATACATTTGTAAGGTTGTTAATAAACCTCAGAAGATAAGGAACCACCTAAGAATCATAAAGCAAAAACAAGAGGTTATGCTACACTTGAAATTACACATTTTGTGCACATATACACCGAAAAGTACATAGAGCCACAACCGTGTACAACCGGTATGCATCCATTTCCTGCCGAACAAACTGAACAAGGCTTTCAGTAGCAGAGTTTATCCACTGGTCCAGCACATTTGTTGACAATTGAAGTTCTGCAAGATCAACTGGTACAAATGGCGGTAGGCCCTCAACTTCGAGCCTTTTTCCATTTTGAACAAGGAATCTATAGGCATTATACCATGGAAGGAAAACATCTTTCACCTACAGGGATCAGGAGTGATAATTCAAATGGAACTCATAAATGAAAAAAACGAGAAACAAAACCAAAATTGTAAGCTAAGATTTCAATTACACACTATGCTACACTCTATTGTAATTTAGCGAAAGCATAAAATAAAATGGAACTCACAACACTAAATACACCGTCCTTCTTGAACCTCATTGGTTCTCCATGGACTACAGGCGAGTTAATGATGTACAAACGCAGAGCATCCTGTTAAAGATAGAAAAAAGATAACTCAATACAAGCAAGAAATAATAAACGATGAATGCAAGAAAGGTTAAAAGGGCTCTGGAGACTCCAAAACCCACGTAAGTATAAGACGAAGTTACGAACACAGCTACAAGATGGTTTTCAATGCTTATGTTAGCGAATGAACCATCGCCAGTGTTTAGAACTAAAATAAGTAATGTGCCACAGGCAAGGAATTGTGGGCAACTAAAGAGAGTTTAATAAGATATTAAAAACCAGACAAAATTCAGTTCAACCCTACGACAGAATAGTAAACAGTATCAAATAAGAAAACTTACAGCCCCATATTCATTTATAACTTCCATTGGTGGAGGAAAATTTCGTAAACTCTTGCTCATTTTCTTCCCATCTTCTGCAAGCACAAGTCCATTGCAAATGAGATTCCTAAACGCTGGTTTCCCAAAAAGTGCAGTAGATAAGACCATAAGCGTATAAAACCTGCAACATATATTAAGAATAAGGTGATAAAGTAAAATATTACTCTGCTGCAGGAATGCTTCAGAATTAGAGCAAATAATAACGAGACAGTAGTTAAATATGGCCCCAAGATCAAATTAAACAAGAGATGAAAAACTAGGCGAATCTATTTTACATGGCAGAGACAGTGAACCTTCCAAGGTACGCTTAAGAATGCAAAACCATTCAGATTTGACATATAAGTTCACTAACCGGTTCAATAAAGTCAAGTGTCAATTCGTTTCGCAAAGGTCCTTTACTAACCTATTCAATCAGACAATCTTGACAAAATCTTGCCCAAAAACTCATAGGGTTATACAATAAAGACAGTTCATCACGACTTTGATTTCCACAAAATAACTGGTTTCTCTTAATTGCTATACAGCTTCAACCTGACCATCCTCTTTCTAATTTCATCAAAACATTTTTTTCTTTCCTTGGAACACCTAATCAATCCTCTCCCGTTTATAAATTTTAATTACATTTACAGAACCTTCTCCACGGAGCTGAGAAAACCGATAGTAAATAATCACTACAATGCCACAGTCATTAATACGCATCATTGTCAAACCTCCAAAGCACATAAACATTCTCGCGTATATTCATTAAATGCTGAAAAGAAAAAGGGAGACACAAGCACGTCCAATAGGCTCCGAAAACCCCCATATGACGTCTCCAAATATTACACCAAGAAGTGAAAACCAAAAAGAGGAAAACCATGCTAAATTCCCATCCTCTCCAGAACCAACCACAATGCCTCTTTATGCCGATCAAATCTCAAAGCCAAGTCACAGGGGCCTAATTGAAAAGTCCCATGCTGAAAAGACTCTCCATCCTTTCTGGCTTTACATACTCCTCCACAGGTAACAAGTCCATCCTATGAACAGTCGTTCCTTGTTAATAATCCTTCAATCAAGAAAATCATGTGCAAGTTCCTTTCCCTTAACCCCTCTATTATTGGAATACATATTCAATTTCTGACTGCATACATAGATACTGGGCTATCTTATGCAAATTAACAAGCATATAAATCGGGATCATCAGATGTTTTGCACAGGGAGTCACCAGCAATACACTGGACAATGACAAGATGACAATGAAACCACACGTATTCATTAATTATGGACGTCCCAATCATCAATGAGAGAAAAATTCAGAAAAACAGTTTCCTTTGATAAGTCATTGGTTTGAAAGAACTACATTGTGTATTTTACTACAGTGTACACCTTTGACAAGGAAAATAAAATTTACAGATAGTTCAAGAAACTTACTGTCTGCTATGTATCACAGTAATGTACAAAGTTACACTGTTTCGAAGATTTTGACTATCAGCAAGAAAATAGTCACATCATAATATCTAAATATAATCAGTCGAATAGATTTAAAACGTGAAAGAATGCACCAGCAATGTGTCCAAATTGCAATTCAGACAAATTATATTAACAGCAAGATAAGCAAGAAACTAACCATCCACGGGTCTGATCAAGACCTTCTGCAACAAAGTGCCCAGGGAAGTTATTCTCAAAGAGTTCTACGTTTTCAAATGGATAGTGGATATAAGCATATGGCATGGAACCACTCTCAAACCAGCAATCAAACACCTGTACACAGAATAATTGATAAGATCGCAGGTAAATATCAAAGTAAATGCCAAGACCAAAACCACAAGCATATGAAGTCGGACAATCTCAAGAAAACTGCTGTTTCAAGACTTCAAAGATCAAGGTGACCTCAAAATTAGCTTGCACATATAGTCATGAATTACCAAAAAAAATAAATTACAGATACAAATTTCATAAATTAAAGTGTTTAATTTGCTTTGGACAATAAAAAAGAAACAATGTTGACATTCAAGCATTTCGGTAGAAACATTCCATGCACTTTATTCTTCACATGCCTCGAATCCAACGGTACACATGAAATTTTTAATTTTTGTTAATACACCAAAATGTAATTTACATTTGAACAAAGGCCGCCTTGAAATGGATCAATGTACGACAGAGACCACATCAAGATACATCATCCATGAGACTCGGATAGAAATTATCTTAGGTAATAAAAAAATGCTTCTAGACTTGCATTTTATTACTAATTATCTCAAAATTTTAGCTCTGAATTTCCCAGCAGATATCGGACCCGGTAATTTGGACCCATCTATGAAACAGATTATTCTTCATGATACCGTAGAATAAGATGCAATATAAACAGATACCAGTTGCAACTATGTAGAATGGGTAAACTCACTCACATCCTCAACACGTCGGAGACTGCCGTACTCAGGACCACGACTTGACGGGATGGTAATGTGATCAATCTTATGACGATGCAGATCAGTAACCTGGAAGATAAAACATAAAGAAATGCAGTTAAGCATGGCAAAATCGATTCTTTAATATTGAAACAGTAAATGACTACTAGGAACTGCGACAACACTCGCACAGCCTGAAAGAACATTATGAATAAAATAAAATAAAATGAGAAATTCTGGAAAATAATCAAATCAAAGGAGGAACTAAGATGTGTAGCACGTAGGCATGAAAATGCTAAACATCATCTGTTGTCTTAGTCACTACCAATTAAAGCTTAGTATGCAATTCAAGATACAGAGAAACACAGTAAAGCAGACCTTAACGCCAGAAAGCTTCTCAAGTTTCGCAATGGAATCAACAACTATTGTTTCCTGACCATCTTCACTAATCCATATAGGTAGTGGAGTGCCCCAAAATCTACTCCGGCTAACAGCCCAATCTATAGCGTTTTCAAGCCAATTGTGAAAACGCTTTTCCTGAAGTAAAGGAAATGTAAATGTTTAAAATCAGCTACAAAAATTCATCACACACCATGGGCTAGAACCAAACGTGAATTTGGATTTCCAAGCAAAAGTCCTAACCTTGACATATTCGGGAACCCAATACGTTTGTTTGTTACATTCTAATAATTGCTCTTTGATCTTCTCAACACCGATGAACCTGAAAATTTAGTCAGCAAATGGTCCACCAGCAAGCAATTCTTAGTATTATCCATAAGATGAGTGGCATTAGTAATGGAAACGAACTTTCCTTCTACTAGGGGATTCGAGGGATATAAATGTAATTTATCATTATAACATTGGCTGATGAGATCTATAAAGGGCTATGTTCAAATAATTGAACACCTGCTAATTTATCATTATAACATAGAGTGAAGGCTATGTTCAAATAATCGAGGGATATAAATGTAATTTATCATTATAACATAGAGTGAAGACTAGTATTGAACATAGCCCTTTATAGATCTCATCAGCCAAATAATTGTACATTCGTTTCATTGTATATTTAATACGTAGTCAAAAACGAGTATTATTCGACACTATATAAACACCTGCTAAAGTTGACCGTGAGAGTACCTCTCCGTCCTTCCATCTCTCCCACCCAAAAAAAATAAATTTGTTGATACACAGTACCACATCAGCAAATATCAGGTGGTCACTTGGAGCAAACTGTACTTACCAACTTGGAACAGCCCTATAGAGAAGAGGTGTATGGGATCTCCAGCAAAATGGGTAAGAATGAACCATGCTTCCGGAGCTGACAAGCCTTCCTTTTACCTGACAATATGTTACGTGGTCTTTTTAAAAAATAAGCGTGCAAAATAACCACAATAACAATAATAAAAATAAATCTGAGACATAGCAGAGTTGAGGGGATCCAGGCTTCCAAGATTCCACACCAAATGCGACTCAAGCCTAGACCACACGAAATTTAGGCCGAGCAGGGTCATACTCAAATTTCCTTTGAGTTGTGCCACTTGCGTCCAAGCGAAAAAACTCATCCCGAGCTAGACTCAAATTCTCAAGAACTGCGATTACTGGTTTTCATAAAAAATTATCGACCAATTTATGACTGAAGGTATCTAAGTTGAACTTTGACGCCAATCAAACAGATAGGTTTAATCAACAGTTCATTTTGTAAATACCTTTTTCATGACATATGAGCAAACTATCTACTACCAATTCTCAGTCGCCAACACCAACCATCATTACCTTAGACACTTTTCCAATTACCATCTACCACCATCAACCATCATCCTCCTCTACCACAACCCGAAAACCCGCATCACTATAAATCGCTCATTGGCCAGAGGTAGAACTCTATCACAGTTCAACATTGTTCATTGTTTGCAACCCATCCTACCATTATTATAATCGTCTCAAAGAGTTTTAATAATTATCTTTTAGAACATTTGTCTTCTGAGGCTATAAATTTTGTGTAAGCTATTTTTTTTAACAAGTCTGCCTCCTACAGTTCTTTATTTCTTAAAATACTTTTTTTGTTGATATATGTTTAACACATGAATCTCGTATCCCAGGCCTGAGATCTCATTGTTATGAAACACCTCTATAGACTCTCCTTCATGTTAACGAATCAAAAAATGACGAAAAAGTGAGCAAAGGCATGTAAAACTTGCCTTCACAGCGTTTATGATGTCTTTATCGGCATCCTTCACATATCGACCTTTGAAATCAGTGATTCTCTCGGTGAAGCAACCATCAGAATCAACTGCTACGATGAGGCCCTCACCCTTTACAGGAGAAAAAGACAAAAATAAGTAGCACTCATTAAAATTTAGCTGAGATAAAATTTAGCTAACATAAATGGTGAACTAGAAAAAGGGCAAGAAAACGAATTTTACATCCTGAGCATTAATCCACTCTATTTTTTGCTTCACCAGCGAATTTCCCAAGGAATTTTACATTCCTAAACTTAGCAGATATTTATGGGTAAACCTAACACTTATTCAGTCCTGGAGTATGAGTAGCTGTGGTTCCTTGTCACAACAGAAAATATGAAAACAGGGAAAAAAATGATATCTATATCTGCAAGAATTTTGATAGGCATAAATTTACAACCACCAACCTGCACCTTCAGCCACGAAGGCACAGTCACTTGAGGTAACTAGGAACTGAGACTAAACGCTCGCAGCAAGAACCAAAGCCCCACAGAGAAATCGTAACAAGTCCCCTAAAAAATTGGTTACAGATAAACCAAGATTTTCCATTCGGATAATGAAGTACTTTGCCATAGCTTATGTGAGCCATAATTAAGTTGTATATCCGACTGCCTTTATTTTACCAAGAAAATACTACGCCGTGATATGATGTACTCACGCAGAATATATACGAAGTCTATGACATTTAAGTCGGAGGATCTAACCTTCTGGATAACATTTGATGCCAGGCAGACGCGATAATCATCTTCACCAAAAGCTGGAGCACAGTGAACAACTCCAGTTCCGCTATCATCGGTAACAAAACTGTCTCCAACTACCTTGAATGCAACCTCAGAGTAGTCTGAGAAATAGTCAAAGAGTGGCACGTACCTGCAATAAACAATTTAATGATGACATGGAAAAAGCACAAAATAGAGGTAGTGGCATGATTACGTCAGAGTGTAAAAAATGTGTACACAAAAGTATTATGCATCATCTTTCCTGGTAAAAAGTTGGCATACAAAAATCATGACGTTTATTTCACAAAATCTATTGATTCATCAATGAATGAGGTGCGCCTAATCGCTTTAATATGAAGTTCCCAAAATAGTGCCAAAAAAAAAAAGAATGAAAGAAATCATTTTCTTACGAACAGTAATGAGCTAAAAGCATTCTCAAACCTAAAAAAGGAGCGTAGTACAGCGAGTGCTTACTTTAACCCAATAAGGGAAGATCCTTGAATCTTCTCTACCAACTCATACTGTCCAGAATCTACTCCACTCTTAGCCTTTTCATTGACCGAGCCCCCCTTGACCTTAGAGTTTGTGACCTTTGAACCTTCAACACCATTGACAGGATCAGCTTTTGGTTTCTTACTGGGCAGCTGGGATAGCCGAGATTCCGCAACAATGTACACTGCCCCGGTCATCTTGTCCCTCGCCTGTTAATTTGCAGGATTAAAAGGTTCAGATGTAAGAGCAGCGACATAGATTTATCTGACAGACAGATTTCCACAGTTCTAGCATACGATCAAGAGAGATTTCAGCTTTTCAAAAGCACGAAAGTTATCATTCTTCTGCTCATATAGTCACTCACTCTCTCTTTTGGGAACAATAGGCAATGAGGCTATTAAAGCATCGATCGGTCCAGAGATTTGGATAAAGTTGAGATGCAAGTGTGTTTCAAAACCTAATTTTGAACCTTGCTGATTTTACACCTTCATACTATCGATGCATATATATACAGTAAAACGGTAAATGCTTCCCGATTCATTTTATGATATTTTAGATTCAAATTTTTGGGGGTTTCAGTGCGGAAAACCGTCAAATAGTTTCCACCGTTGGAATTGTCAACGTACCAGGCAAGACCAGAAGCCAACCCAATTTTTCCAACTAGGAGAAGGTATCATAGAACTCAGTCAACTGATATCATGATGGTAGTAGGCCAATCTGATGTCAAGTAGGTTTCATGCTTGATTTCAGAGTTCGCTCGTATGTTTCTTTTATTCGACTATAAAATAATTAATCAGGCTCATTTTAGGTAGGAGATGAGAACTGACGAATTTACATATAAAAATATAGGATAGAGAGTTACAACCCAATGTGCACTTCAACATCTTGTTATATGATTTTACCAATTACGATTGCTGTCTTCTTTATCCTAATCTTGGGTTCTTGATCGAATTCACAATTTGGCAGTGTTACTGCTCTGGTTGTTTATCATACCCAACAATGTTTGGCGGCCGGTTGCATGTGGTATGAGACCAGTGTCAAGTCACTAACAACTGTTTCGTGCAGGTTTATGACCAGAACCACAACGGTGCTAGACATGTGGATACTCGAGGACCACCTATTACAGAACCGAAATGCTTTATTCCATACTACACAGAATCGTTGATATAAGGAGAAAATCAACTGATCATAGAAGCCAGCGATGCAAAAAGAAATGTGTTCACTGGCCTAATTCATTTATGAAAAAAGCAAAGTAGGGTTCACGTGATAATTCTATTACATTTTCTGGTAAGACTGGCCCCATTATGTTTTTTAATTAGAGAATTCTACAACTGACAACACCATTATTTTTCCCTGATATTCAATTTATACGGAAATAACGCCCAATTAGATAACATTGACCATGTTTTTTTTAATCTTTTCTAAGAGATGACTATCTGAAACTATAAAATATAAATTTCATAATGTAGACGTCTAAATTGCAAACTGATGAGCATGTGCTTTCTTCATTTCTCCCTTGTTATTCATTTGATGCTTTGAATAATATCCATGATTTTTTAACTTCTGTTTTCGCTACTGTAATAAATTAGAGCTTGGTATTTTTGTGCCCCTCACCTTCTTGCTCATGGAAAAATGAGGTAGACAGCCAGCTAGCCACCATAGAGAGGTGCCAGATCTAACTGTAGAGATTTATTTTACAAAAAACTATTAACAGTCCTGCTCATATTTATACTGTCACTACATTTAATTATACGATAAATTATGACCCATAAAAATTCAAATTGATACCAAAAACACTAAAATTCAGATCAGAATCAACTGACCTTCACATAGGTAAAATTTGCATTGACACAAAGAGCGAGGTTGCTAGGGAGCGTCCATGGCGTCGTAGTCCAAGCCACTAGAGCTCCATTATGTGGGTCACCAATCAGTGGAAATGATACCATGATTGCAGGGTCGGAAACATCCTAAGGACGTCAAGATATTGGGAAACGGTTACAACAAGGCAGGGAAAATTGAAAATTCGAAAATTCGAAAATAAAGGGGAAATGAGACACACGACGCATATCTGATCACCTTATAATCTTGCCCGGCTTCAAAATTCGATAATGCAGTCTTCAGGCCAGTACTATAAGGTGTAACCTATGAAACAGCGAATTGCAATAGTAATCATCGTTCTGGGCGTCCTCGGTTAGCTGTGACATGTGAAGCAACGGTTGGTAGGAGCGAGGTTTACCTTGAATCCTCGGTAAACTAAACCCTTTTCCCACAACTGAGAGAAGACCCACCACAGGCTCTCCATGTACTGGGGATCCATAGTCTTGTAGTCGTTTTTGAAATCAATCCAGCGGCCTACTCTGGTGACCACCTTCTCCCACTCGTTCACATACATGGTCACAATGCTCCGGCACTCTTCGTTGTAACGATCGATTCCCATCTGAAGTACCTGATCTCGAGTTTTTATATCCAGCTTCTTGTCGACCTCGTGTTCCACAGGTACGCCGTGGCAGTCCCAACCGAATCGCCGCGTGACATGCCAGCCATTCATAGACTGGTACCGGGTGACAATGTCTTTGATTGTGCCGGCGAGGATGTGCCCATAGTGCGGCAGACCAGTTGCGAAGGGGGGGCCATCGTAGAAAATGTACTCCGGCTTGTTCTCCGTCAGCCGGAGCTGAGTGTGGAAGGCGTCGATTCTCTCCCACAGCTTCAAGATTTCCTCCTCCTGCCTTGGGAACGAGAAGTCCTTCCCATCACAGACCTCTTCCATGGCGGAGCGCAGTCGCCCCCGCCGCGGTCCTGCTAGGGTTTTGCGAGGGGCTAAGGACGGAGGCGACAAAGCAGGTGTTGTATCAGTCACTGGATCCCCTCAACTTATAGTCATTGGATTAGTCTCTGACCAACCCGGTCCGAGTTTGACTACACTTCAGCAAGCCTAGAATCGGGCCCACTGACCCACGACCTAGCCTCGATAATTGGGCTGTCCAACCCTTCATTTGGGCCTATCTCTGTTACCAGGCTGGTTGGGCCCATGAGAGCCCATTAGTATCTCGGAGACTAACCAAAGGCTACACAGGCGCCGCCGGGTAAGGCTGCTGTTCGTCCTCTCCGGCGACTCCCTCCCTCCCTCCCTCCCCGAAGGGAGAAGCACCTCCTCTATCCCCCTTCAATCTCCATGAATCTTCCCAATCTGACGATCTCATCTGAGAGACCTCCCAGAAGGATCATCGCAAGTCCGTTCATTCTTGATTCAGAAGTAATGCGGCTCTCGTTCGCTCGTTCGACGGCAGATCCGCGCGTCGAAACGCCGAGATGTTTTGTAGGTAAGCCTGTTTCTAAATTTTCACGAGTAATCAGCCATATTTTTACGGCCCCTGATTGCATCTGTCGTTTATTCGCCCGTTAGAATTTCCGTCCTGTACGTTTCAGGAGGAACATCTCCGGAATATTCTATAAGAACGGCCATCAATTCTTTAGGAAGGTCATTTATAATTGACGGTGATCTTCAGACAGGATGAACTCGGAAGGCTGCGCTCATGTCACTCTCAATGTCCCGCTCTTTTCTTACTGTGTAGTTCCCGATCGCTCTGGATCTGAGATGTCCGGTTTTATCCGCTGAATTACACGAATTTTCGCAAAATGTCAAATCATCTAACTGTGGGATGAGAGAGGATATGAGACTGAACCAAGGAAGAAAACTGGATGAGAATGGTGCATTCACCGAAGTAGAAAACTGGATGACAAATCACCTTTCAATCCCAGGCATATTTCTCGTGGTTTTCATTCTGGAAGAAAGAACTAATATGGAGAGTATTATCTTCATGAGCTCGTCCTGCTATTCATCTCACTGTTTCGGATCATACGCCCAAATTCTTCTTGAGAAAGCCTGTGCACGGGAACAATATCGTTTTGCCAATATGTTCCTAGCAACTGCATAATGATTAATTATAATATCAGAAAATTCATCTTAGTTTAGTTCTTTTTCTTCAGTTAACCTTAATGTGAGGTGAACACAAAGCAAGAAGGAATCAGAGACTTAGCCCCTATAGGGTAAAAAAAAGAAGATAGGCAGTGCCCTGTTCAACATTAATCAGTACTTTCTCATCGCTTCAGCATACGAATCAGAGTCTATAAGTAGTGCGGGAGAGAAAGCAATGCCCACTTGGAATCAAGTACTACGAGAGCTCCACAGCATGCATTGCATCCAGAATAAACACATTAAGATTACAAGGTGTTGGCAGGAAATCCGCCAAAATTTCTTCTACACTGAGAGGGCTTGTTGGGAACACCTGTACGCAATAGGAGTGGACCACACACTGCATTATTTTCATCTCATTTCCTATGTTTTTATTTTATAAGGTAAAATAGCAATATTTGAGGTAGAGGCTTCATAACCATTGGCCCCAGTTTCATACTTCAATGCAAGTGCATTCCTAGTAACACACCGTTGCCTTTGCCTCTGCTTTCCCAGGAAGATAAAATACTTGGATACCCACAGGCAAAGAGCATAGAACCCTCCACCGCAATAGAATAGATGGCTTGGATACATGAGCGCCGTGATCTTATAGGAACAGAACTAAACAATACCTTGCACCGACCTGGAAAAAAATCTGTAATATTGAGCCCTTGCTCACACGTGTCTCCCTTATTATGTTGTGTTCTTGAGTTCACACGTGCAGTGTTGGTGTTCTTTTTTCAATTTCTGCCCAAGAGGATCTTCATCAGAGACCTTGTGAAAAAGGAATCCAAAGGGAAACAAAACTGTACTTGAAGAAACTTTGGAAGCATGGTCAGGTCTTGACCTATTAAAGCCCTGGTCACCTTCTGTTAGATCAAAAGTAACTTTGGAATACAGAAGGCATTGCTGTAGAGGGGAAATATATATTTCTGAGGGCAATGATTCACTCTTCATTGATTGATAGTGGACAGGGTTTCTTAGTGTTTCCTACACCAGTGACATTATCAGGTGGATACCCAAGAGGCAGCGCAATTCTATGTACTTGAGAAACAAAGAACTGGGTTTTGTTTGCTGGAACAAGCATAGTGAAAATGATCCCTCAAAGGTCTGACATTCACTGTGTAATCTAACTCAATACGCACCTGTAGCTGGCCCTGGAGCGTCTTGATGTACTGCACAGCTAAGTCTAGCATGTCTGCTGTATTTGTTTGCTGCAGAAACTTATTTTATTAAAAGAGCTCGAATTTTTTTTTCAAAAAGTTTCAGTAATTCAATTAAAATGTGAGGATTATGTAATACATTTATTCATGAAAGCTAATCAAACGTGGAATTAGAACAGATCTTATGTTGTCTTGTATACCTTGTCCACGTTTGGCACAAGATCTTCAAGCTTCCTCAGTTTCTCGCTTATTTTAGTTCTCCTCTCCTTTAAGAAACTAAAAGCATGAGTGAGAAAATAGCCCAGGTACACTGGTGCATTTCAAGATGTGAAGATTGCACAAGACCGTATAAAAGAATGAAAAAGTTTCCAAAGCAGGCATTTTTCGTTCATATTTTCATGCTAAAATGAAGAAAAATTCCCTTTTATGGCATGTGCAGGTTATATATGAGTAAGCTGATCACTTGCTAACATCACTGACCCTCTCAGCTATGCTTCGCGGGTGTGTCGCGCATCCCCGCTTGGCCCGGATCTTGCAGGTGACGGAATCTTGGTGTATTCGGAAGAGCTTTTCCATTTCGAACGACCCCTTCGGCAAGCCGAACTGGAAGAAACAAAGTCAGAGGGGAGAGAGGTGAGATAGTCGAATCGCACACAAACCGCACTAGAACTGGTTGTGTGAACAATCTTTGACGCCGTGGGAACAAAATATTTGACGGGTCAGATGGATGCATAGTGCCCGCTGACTTTTCCTGATCACAGGATCAATGATGAAGTCAAACCCAGTCAAACCCAGAAGATGAGAGACGATCGTGATTATGTCCCGCATAAATGGCCATTTTTATTCATCGCCAATCAGGTGCGAATCAGCAGACTCGCCTCTTCCGCAAGAACGATTGATTTCGATTGATTAAGCCAAGTTTTCCGGCAGAATGGTTCCTGAATTGATCTACTGAAGTGGAAGAGGATTGATCACCTGATTGGAGTCTAAGCTTCCCAGGGTGGCGATGATGTCCCCATTACTTTCCTCGGCGCCTTTGCCGGAGAAAACTATGGAGTTGCTCTCGTCCCAGGCCCCGATGGGGAGGCCGGAGGAGATGAAGGACTGGCTGACGGTCCCGGCGGTGGCCTCGTCGGAGCTGTTTGTCTCCCCTACGTCCGGCATGCTGAGCTCGGAGATCTGAGAGAAGGAGTCCTGCCGGGACGAGAAGCTCAGCTGCGACTTCAGCCTCCGGCCGCCCGCCGCATCTGCTCCTCCATGGGAGTAGCTCCCGCCTCTCCCGGCAGAGAAACCTGCTATCATCACCAACGGGGTGGGCTCAGGAAGAACAGGAAGAAGAAGGCAAAACCCTAAAGGCTCGCTCGCAGAAGGAGAAGCAGAGGAAGCAGCATCACAGGCATCCATCTAACCGGAGATTCGTTACAAAGAGGGGGAGAGATAGAGAGAGGGGCAGACCATTATCGACCATTAGATGGGAGAGAAAGCGCGCAGGGGAGCTGCTGTGCCTGATCAAGTGGGAGGGCCCGGAGCGGAGGCTGCCGCCGCCGACCCCCATGGCGAGATCCCCCAAGGCGATGTCGCTGAAGCCGTAGGAGCGCTCCAGGCCCAGCCCGGGGGCCTTGCGTTTGTTGTAGACGCCGGCGGGGTCGAGATCCGGCGAAGCGGCGGCGCCGGCCTTGCAGCTCGACTCCGACGTCAGACACGGCGAGTCGTCGGAGAAGTACCTCCCCACCATGTTTTCCGTGGGCGCCGGCGAGAACTCGTTATCGCTGGCGCCGCCGCTGGTCCCTCTTCCGCTGGCGGCGCCGACGGAATCGACCAGGGTCGCGAGGAGGGAGCTTGGGGCGGAGCCGAAGCGGGTGAGCCCCACTGGACCGGGGTACACGCCCCCCGGCTTGCCGCTCCGGGACGGGTGCATGGCCGCCGCCGCCGCAGAAGAGGAGAGAGTGGCCGGCGGGAGGGGAGAGTCAATCAGCGAGAGAGCCTCGGAGGAGGCGGTGCCCTCTCCCTCTTTCCTGAGATTCCCACATACATATTCCACCCCGAGGGTTCTCTTATTGATAGTCCTGACCAAGTCTAGGGGCCAACTCTCTCCCTCACACTGATTCTCTCTCTCTCTCTCTCTCTCTCTCTCTCTCTCTCTCTCTCTCTCTCTGTCGCTCTGATTCTCTCTCTTATATTCCCACTTGGGGGTGCGGGCTGATTTAGATAAGATCGCAGGAGATCAAACACCTGATCAGATGTCTTTGTCCAGGACGCGAGTGCCCAAGGAGCCGATCATAGAAGAACCGACGGCGAACGGTTTGCCACAAAAGCGGGGGGACCCCGCCAGCTGCGTTCTCACGTCGTTGGATTCCACAAGTGGGGAGGAATTATAGAGCAAACCCTCTGCCTGCTTCTGCTCCCGCTGCTGCCCGATCTTACACGCCGGGAGAGCGCTGACCCTGCCGTACGCCGGCGAATCTACTCTCGGATTTCACGTCAGGGGTTCTCACGTAGACTGATGAAAGACCATTGCCGAGCGCCGCCAATGGGTAGTCGACAACGTCCCGGCAACGGCCAGTAACGGTGCCGAGTCAGGCGGGTGACGGCCCACCGGATGGGGGTGGCCCATTAGTACAATAATGGGCTTGTCGGTGGGCACGCGGGCCCATTAAAATCATTATCTCGGAAATATTTAGCATTATCTCCTCAATCAAGAAACATGCTGGGCCTTCAAGAAGGGGTATTTATACGCGGGGAAAAGACCATATTGGCCCTCGAGTTTCCTGGGATAATGTTTTTAATACTAAATATGGCATCTTTCCGGCCCGAATGTTCGTATTGCGGGCGGTGGGTGATTACAGACAAGGAGATGGCTGATGGATGCTGGAGGTGGGGGCGGGGGGTGTCAGGGTGGTGGGGTCGGAATGGACAGATGATCCCCGGATGGAAGACTGCCTTCTGTTGGATCCAGACCCATCGGTGAGAGGCTTTCTCTCTCAATCGGGGCGTCTGTTGCGGCGGATGAATCTCGCGTCCAGCTATCGCACATAATTCATTTCCGGGGTTACATCTCCTCCTCGGCATCGGAAAGAAGAAGTTTGGGCGACAGATTCTGAGATTTGATAAACGGTCAACTCTGCAGCAATCCATCCCACCCTCTCTCTCTCTCTCTCTCTCTCTCTCTCTCTCTGGCCAGAAGTCTCCAGGCAACCTCTGTCTTGGTTGAATCAAAGCTTCGCTAATGCCCATTTATGATACAACCCATCTCTCTCCCTCTAGCAAATAATCTCTTAGCAATCTCTATCTAGCTTCCTTCTATGCTTTGTTAATCATCGTTTACTCTCAAACCCATCTCTCTCTCTCTCTCTCTCTCTGGCCAAAAGTCTCATGCAACCTCTGGTTTGAATCAAAGCTTCGTTAATGCCCAATTATGATACAACCCATCTCTCTCCCTCTAGCAAATAATCTCTTAGCAATCTCTATCTAGCTTCCTTCTATGCTTTGTTAATCATCATTTACTTTGAAATCCATCTCTCTGTCTCTCTATCTATCTATCTATCTCTGTCTCTCCCCCTCCCTCTGTGGCCAGAAGAGTCCGGGCAACCTCTATCTGGGTTGAATCGAAACTTTAATGCCCATTTATGATACAACCCATCTCTCTCCCTCTAACAAACAATCTCTGGACAATCCCTATCTAGCTTCCTTTTATGCTTTGTTAATCGACACTTACTCCGAAACCCATCTCTCCCTCTCTCTAGATATATATATATATATATACCCATGTGGGGCACCTAGAAGAGCTAGGCCAGACCCATACAACTCCAGTCTCATTCTCTACCCACCACCACATCCACAGGTACCGACAGAGATAATACTTGTATGAACAATCAGACGAAGACGGCAAATAATGGAGAGGTGGGGATTGAACATACATACATACATATATATATATATGCACACTTCGATCGTATTTTTATTTGCCAGATGTTTGCTGCTGTTCGTCAAATTCCCACAATAGAATCACGCAACAAATAACTAAAAAATAATAAATAAAAAAAATCAATGCGGCTCAGGATATTCGCGAAAATAGAAAGAAACCGGTGAGGAGCAAAATAGATTTAATTAAAAAATAAGCAACTCCAGCTGAAAACGGATGCCACAGGTAATGGAATGAAAGAATACACTTGCTGAAGCTACGGATGACCCCTCCATAAAAGACCATCCTCTTCCACATATTTTGATCCAACAGGTTATGAAGATCCCGTAGCAGTCGCCATTTGCTTCCTCACGCTTCGATCTGATGGAGTTTGCAAGCACCGGCATGGGTTTTACTTAATATCCGATGGGCCCCTCCAAGCTCCCCGACGCAAACTGCAAAGTCAACGCCAAGAAAAAGAACCCCAGTCTGAGAATTTCTGACTCGTTGAGTGACGGAGGAGGAATCCCCTGAAGGTGTTACCTGTCTGACGATGGGGTTCGTGGAGGAGGTGAACTCATGGGTCATCCCTTCCCAGACGACCCTCCCGTCGTAGAGGAACACCAACCTGTGGAATGAAGTCAACTGCCCTCAGTTGAGGAAGAATGGCGAGCCCGTGAGGAAAATCAGGGCTCTTCACGTACCTGTCGACTGCTCTCCGTATTGTGCTGTGCTGATGGGTGACGACCACGTATGATGCGATCTTCCCGGGCTCCCCAAGAGCATCTTTTCCTTTAAAGTGCACCGAACGTATCAGATCCTCGACGACAGTGGAGGCGATGGGATCAAGACCTGCAGTGGGTTCATCATACAGGAGAACCTGTCCCAAGAGGCACAGCGCCGGGTGAGCAATGGAAGGAGCAGCTTATGGCGAAAGAGAAGTTGCAGATTAATCAGGAGAGAGAGAGAGGGAGAGAAAGAGAGAGAGAGGGCCTTGTCTTTAGTCGAATAGTCAGTCCTCCACAGTGGAAAAAGACACACAAATGAAGCGGGGAGGCTGACATTTTTTTTCTCAGAAATGAAAATATCTAAGGTCCGGAAGAGCTTAATATCTAGATTGTTCCTGAATGCTGATTCAGGGAAGGCAGAGAGGAAGACATTGAAAACCCTAATCAAAATTTCTCCAGTAAAAGAGCAGAAACAAGGAGAAACGAGATCAAAGTACTCTACTAAGTTGAATATGTATACAAACAACGCCAAATCAGCATGCACAGTATACCTCTGGTACTTCTGCCTCCTGGGTATCATCGAATATTAGAGAGCGAGCCAATGCTACCCGTTTCTTCATTCCACCAGACAGTTCAGAAGGCATGAGCTCTCCCACCCCCTGCACGATGCCACATCGGCATTTTGTCAAGTGATTGGTGGAAACAACAGTACTTGGGTAATAATAGATTTACAAGAGATAAATGAACCCTTAAAAAGAAAAATTGAGTCACGCTATATGTAATGATGGGATATTATGTATGATGTGCCAAAGGATATCCCCTAGATGAGGTGGCAACAGACATTTTATCCAGCACAATTTTACATGGGTCGTTGTTGCATCACTAATCAAAACATTGACACGTCTTAATCATGAAAGATGGCCAATTAAGTAATGAAGAGATGGACAAATATTGACACGTTTGAATAAATTTCATCATTAATCTTTGGGAAAATAGCTGCAGGAAACTTAAGAACTGAAGACAAACAGATTGTTAGCGGAGAAGTGGAACCGGAGCCAAGAGGGGGGGAGGGGGTGTATTATTCTTGTCTCTTTGTATTTAATATGATGGAGAATCAAGGAATCCATTTCCACTGGTATACTGGGGCTGTCTGCCCCAAGCGCATAGAAATGATAACAATCATGACGACTTTCTTTTAAAAGTATTATTTGAGAATGATCTTCAATGTTACACCAAATTTGTCTCTCCCATTAGACTGAGCCGTCATCGTCAAGAAACACCTCAAATCCTTGTTCCATTGGATGGACGTGGCTAATCGACACTTTAATAATACAATTTCAAAACATGTGCTATTTAGGAACCCCAAGTTACCAAGAATTCAGACGTGGAGAAGGTAACTACAGGTTACCAAAAATTGCAAACTGGAAAAATAGTCGAGTCCCAAACTCTTTTATCTGATGTAAACCAAAGCCATAATTGATGCAGGAAGGCTTGGATGAGTCCAATCTATGAACGTTTGTCATAAGCCGAACTACGACTAGTTTACACATCTCTCTACAAATAGTCTTAGAGAGATCTTAGGCCTACAACTGACCAGTCCTTAGGTATTATAGTTGGCTGCACTGATATCAATTCATTTTAGCAAAAAATAGCAAAAAACACAAAGGGAGATATTGATTGATTCCAGAAGAAAATAAAAAAAATACATTTATTGGAGAAAGATCGGTTTCAGCACAATGAGGTTTGAGTAAGTCAAAAATTGGTTCAAATTGTTTGTAGGCAGTTCTGGAATGATATAACAACTTGAACTAAAGGAGGAATGGAATGGATCAATCTGAAATCTAAATTAGTGAGATAATGTTTTCCATGATATGCAAACATCAACATTAGTTTTCAACGTTATAGAGGCAGCAAAGTCATAATTGCCGGAGAAAGACGAAATTTTCTGTTTTGATTTATAACCGGCGGACAAAGACATTCTTGAATGATTTATTTGATAGTGTATATTTGGCACAATGCCCACCACCTTCCAAACGGAGAAAAAAGGAAGATAATCATAAAATGGAAGAAATAAGAGGCTATCTCATTAAGATCGAATTTCAAACAAGAGCAAGGATATCTAAGATGCTCCCCTTTATCTAGCTTATAGTACTGGAAAGTTTACAAGAAAAGGGACTGATCTACGAAGCCAGGTTCATCTAAGATGTCACTCAGCACATCCACCACACAAAAGCTATGAGTACCTTCCACTGCTCACTAGATAACACAGACGCACTCCACAACAACTTTTTCATATATTTCAAGTAAAACCATAAATAACTTGTTAGCTTGTATTAGATCACTACTTTTAAATACTTCTAACACCTACAAGCAGAAGGTAAATTGATTCACCCTAGGCCTCGTTACACCCTTTCATGGGCATATTGGTTTGTCAGTATGTTAACTATTTACACATAAAGGCTCTGCCTTTTTTTAGATGGATACCCGTTGATATCTTGGGAACTATTCATTATAACAACATAAGCACTGGAATAAGATACGCTATTCGAAAAACCAATATGCAAACCTTCAGTCCAACAGCTGCCAAATTTTCTCTCACAAGTTCTTCTATCCGAGCTTCTTGCATCTTTGACTTCTCATACCTAATGAACAGACGGAGAGATTAAATCATAGTCAATATCATTTCATGAGAAAAGATTTACCTGTGAAAGAGGGAACATTAAATGTTTTCATGCAAACTTCAGAATCTTACAAAAGAAAGCCAACATTTTCTCGGACTGTTAAAGAATCAAAAAGAGCCGCACTTTGGAAGACCTGTAAGCGTGGAGAAAAAGAAAAGCAATAAGTCAGTATGACCAACAATATCCTTTGTTTAGGGTTTTGCAGACATGCTGGTGGTAATTTAAGCACTACCCAGGCTGGGTTGCCCTGGAATGCAACCAAGAAATTCTGAGAGGTTAGAACAACAAGATTTCCTTTTACATATCATCTTTCTACCCACTTAGAAGGAAAAAAGAGAATGATTACAATTTCTAATCAGATGGGTCTTACTTTTTTTACCACATTCCCACTCAACTAATCGACAATTACAAATGTGTACACTAGAAGAACTAATCTCCAGGAGTTACAGAATCTCTCTGGTTCGTTATTCATCTTTAGACTGTCTGAAAACGAATCGATGACACAACAAGGAACCAAATTTGTTTTTGGCCTGTATGGATATGCTAGGACACTGCTACTTCTCATAATGTGGAATTCTCATGGACGCACTAAACCCTCCACACCGATCTCACCCACATTTTCAAGCACTTAGGATGTCAATCTAGGTCCTTAGCGAGCAAACCTGAGTTGCACACCAACTGCCTCACATAAGGTTGGTATTCAGAAGATGAACGAAAGTACTGCAAAAAGAAGTATTTATTCATCTATGACTACACTTAAGAAAATCAATCTTAAAAAGAGTTATGGAGAAAAAAAAACTGTGTAAACACTAATTTCGTTTGGAGTTTAAGATCGGCGACTTTCTCTGCAAAGTTGGTCAGGCTTGGAAAAAACAATAAACTATACTACGTCCAGAATCAAAGCCCTATTGAAACAGAGTTGGATAGCAACCCACTAGACAACAGCTCATATAAATTTTTTACGATCAAAACCCTCTTAAATTGGCACATTCCATTTAAAAATATTTAATTATGTGCTTCGGCAGATCTTTAAACATACTGGAGATCATGACTAACAAAAACCATTTAAAACTGATCTTCTCTCCAGGAAGGTTTAACCATGTAACCTGGTTGATTTTAATATGTTCAGAAGGATACAGTATGAAAAATTGGAGCAATCATATTATCCAAGTTAGTAAGCAAAGATCCAATCGTCGAAATTCCAGCTATTTTTAGGATAGATCTTCATGAGATCATAAATTATCAAGAAGTCTGTGCCTCACCAAGCCAATTCGAAGGCCAGAAATATCCTCGTCCTCATCACCAACCAGACCCTCCCTTTTTTTGCCACAGATAAGCACTTCACCCTGTGCATTAAGGGAGAAAATTCATGGTGATCTATAAAACTAAAAGAAAAATGATAACTTTTAAGGATAAACAAGAAACAGACAAAAAAGACTTGCAATATCAAATTTCCGCTACCTTATCTGGAGCAAGAAGTCCAGCAATAACTTTTAGAATAGTTGATTTTCCAGTGCCAGAAGGCCCGATTATACCAACAGCTTCTCCATGTCTGATCTGGGGATACAAATGCCAATAAGAAAGTTGGTAACAAGTGAACCTATGATCCTTTTTTAGATGTGGGGAAGTGAGGATTAAGAAATAACAATTCTTCAGCGGTCAATCATATCAAAATAGAATTTTGATGAAGAATAATGACTACAAGTTCTGCTGAACGAATAAATATATTAGCTCCGACACTGTAAGGATGAATAACAGAAGCAAATACTATTTGACTATCTCATATCAATAAAATGTGTAACCTATCTATGAAGTCCCACACAGCATCATAAAGAAGGAAATATAATAAAATAAAATAAATCTACATTACGTTAGTCATCGGATATTAAATAAAAAATGATATTTTAAGACATTTTTAGTAACAAAAATATGGAATTATTTTTCTTAATTCCACGTTATGAAGAGAAAGGCGATTCTGTATCCTTTTTAAAACCTCTCATCAACCAATTAGGCCATACTTTTGTCTGACTGCTATGCTGTTTATGAACAGTCACCATACACAATGTTATGTTCTCAGTTCTGTGATTAATATGGCCTTTGAAAAACATTAACCCGTCTCTTTATATGGTCCTCAGATATAGAACATTTTCTTTTATCTCCTCTTGTGTATAGATCTACCACTGATTTACTGATCTCCGCTGATTCGTTTATCTTCGTTTTTGTTCTCTTCTTGGGCCTCAATGCGAACCTGAATTTCAAGATTCCCATAATAAATGTACTGTTATACTTTTGGTATCTCACACAGCTCATTCACTAGGTTAAGTATGCGAAGCCCTAGTTTCGATTAGTTCTGAAGTACAGATGCATGAAATCATAGGTCCAAACTCTTTATGAATTAAATATCAAGGATGTTACTATTGTCCTCCACGCATGGAATAAAGAAATAAAAAATGACTGATCTCAACCAGAAGCTGTTGGACAAGATCATAATCCACCCAGTACCAAGAGCAGATAAATATAATCTCTGTCACCATTGCAGAGATGTGCCTAGTACTGACATAAAACTAAACGAAGTCAAAATATGCCAATGGTATCCGAACAGACCAGTCCATCATATCTTCGCCAGACAGGTAGGATGATCATATATCACAAGCAGCCCAAAACCCTTCATACATCCCAGAGAACTCCAGTTGGTACTTAAATGACCACAAGCTAGATCTGATGAAGAACTCAACCTCTGCACTATATTTTTAGGTTACTACCTGACCTAAGTTTGTAAACGAGAGAATCTGTTGGTTGTCTAATTTGAACTCAGATCACTCGGTTTGCAAGTAGATAAAAGCATGGAAACACTACTATCAGAACAATTACAAAAGGGAGAAATGGTCAGTTATCATTAGAAACGAAAGAGACAAGGACGCGCAAAAGAAAGCTGCCAGAACAGAATGGTCTGATATCTATTAAAGATAATGATACTGCTTGGAGATCAGTGGAAAAGGGTATGCCAAACAGATGGTGAAAATAAAGGTTGAGAAAACATACACAGCAAGCCTAAGAAAAAACAAAAAGAAGGTGAGGGCAAAAAGAGAAGTCAAATAAGTTGAGGAACAAAGGAAATGTATAATCCTAAAACAAAAATAGAGAAAGTATGCTCCATATCTGGATTTTACCCTAGCCAATCAAAAAAATTAAAATTACAAGGCGAGTATGGTGTACATGGTCACATAGCTGTGACATATCCTGTCCTATACTGGTGGTTCCACCTATTTTCTTGTGTCGTTATTTTTTTATTGTTCGATGTAAGAGATTATAATTCCATGGCAAAAGACGTATGTGCTGCATGGTACTGATCAGTTCACATAGCGTGGCCTCGCATAGGTGATTTTAAGAGAAAATGCATAATTGAAAAACATTGAACTTACCTTGAAGCTCACGCCTTTCAAAATTTCCTTCTCTCCAAAAGATTTGTGAACATCTCGACACTCAATAAGTATGTCAGAGTTATTATCAATCTCTTCGTTTATCCTCGTTTTCTCAGACAATGGCAAGCCCTGTGCAGATAACAAAAACCATTAATCCTTGGCATCCCACTAAATGGAAAAGAACCAAGAGTAACGGCCCAGAATGTCCATCAGTGGGAGATGGCTTATAAGAGATAGCAAGTGAAAAGTAGCAAGAACTTGGTATATGTCTACTTGGTGCCAATCGGGGTCATATTTTTAAACATATTATATGAAAATAATTGATGCTTTGACAGCTCTAGATACTTCATATTCATTCGAAAGAATAACATGATCCTCCGTAATATGTCAGGGTTCGAAGAGTTTCTGATTAGAAACTTGGCAAACGTAATAATCACGAGGAAAATTGAAGCAGCCTTAGTAGGATCGGAGCCAATAAAATCTATTATTATGGTGATATATTAAATACACTTAATAGGCACGATAATTCACGCCAAGTTTATGGATGAGAGCATACCGATATAGCACCAAAGAGTGACATGGGGTGCTAGAACCTGGTATCTCATAAAACTATGGCGTTCTCCTTTATCGATCGAATATTTCATCCATACTTGCAACGAGAACATAAAACCCGAATTCATCTAGGCAGAGTTACTAAACACGATGTTAGAACAATCGGATCTTCGGAGAACTCACATTGCTTTCGAGAGAGGGGAGCCCATCATCCCAGCTTCTCGGCGGCGCGGAGCAAGCGCACGCAATCTTCGTACTACCCCTGCGAGAGCCCACTGTTTTCCACGAGGGGTCCACAGATCCGCGTCGGCGGTGGCGGGGAGCACGGCAATCGGAAAATAGGGGCAGACCCGAGCTGGAGGTGGAGACCACGGCCGCCCTGAAAGTGTACATCTCCGGTGTAGGGGTGGGAAGTGTGGGGCGATTCCTACCCAACTCAGGGGAAATATGATTTCTTCTTCTGCGGGCGGGAGATGTTATTGTCAGCCCCTCACGCACCGTCCATGGTCGGAGGGAGAACAAGATGCCGGTTGGTCGACGGAAGGTTAATGCCGAGAGAACGCCTGGAGCGGTGGCGGCTGAAAAGGGAAGATACCGACCAGAGTTATCGCACGAGGACAATGACGACGCCGAGTTTCTCGGCGGCACCTAAACTCTTCTTGGCGGGCGGCGGATGACGATGACGATAACGACTCTCTCCCTCTCCCTCTTATTGGACTGATAAGATAATTCTTATTGGACCCACGAAAAAAACAATCACCTTGGGCGATATAACTCGGTGCAAAAGGATCCACAGTGGGGTCTGTATGAGCCAAATTCCTCTGTTCCCCAGGCGTCATCAATCCCTAAGAGAGAGGTTGGTAGTTGCAGAGGATCAAAACTAAGAGAGAGTTTGCTCATCCAGTATGATGAAAAACATTTCCTTCTAACTTGTGGAAGTGCTAAAAAGAAAGGCTCCACTAGATTTGGTATTCCTAGAGAGAGAAACTACCCCGGCCTCACAAGATTGCCAGAAAAGTTCCAGATATTCGTCACTAGTCCACCAAAAAACCATCTTCTCCATCTTCTCAAGCAATGCATTGGGTTTTCGTGATTAATTTTTCATCGGGATCATATGCAATTACTTGCAGTTCAAAACTTGTATTTTCTTTGTCTCGTCCATGTTTGTAACTCTTGTGTAACATATACCGCAATATTTAAATATTTTTTATATTTTCCTGAAAAATTTCCTGTATAATATGTATCAAAAGATCTTCAAATCATTCGATTGAATCTACCGCACTGAGCCCATCATTAATTAGATAGAGATTAGAGAACAACTGACTCCCAGGCCTGGATATGGATGTAGGGTTGGTGTTAGATGACATGGGAGGTGCCTATGATTGCCTGGAGGTGCCGACGCCGAGTACCCACTTACTCCTTCAGCTAACACGAGGAAACAAGAGATGTGATCAAACGAAGGGAAGCTTATTCACTGTGGAAGGATCTACATTGGTGTTAGCCAGATTCTGCGTCTCGCTCGTCAGGGAACACCCTCCATCTCTTCTGGTGCTCCATTGGAGACTCTCCAACACAGAGGAGCTGCCATTTGGTACGTCTCGTGTGCAGCTGTGCACACGACGTGGCTGCCCGAGTATTCTGCTGTGGAGTAATTGGCGGAGGTCTCTGTGTGAGTTTTATATGGAGTTAGATGCGTAGGGGGGCAGTGCCTGTTGTTGCATGGTGGTGCCATTTGAGGGTTGAATGACGCCATGAACAGTGATCAGGCGACGGGTGGCGTGCAGAGGTTGAGGGCAACGCCATTTACTCCCCGTTCCGCCCACATGAGCCGCCGGGACCTCGTCGTCGCCGGCTTCCCGAGGTGACACCCGGCCCACCGCCGTCTTTTGGATGGCATCGGATTGGAAGCGGGGAGGAGGAGGCTGTACAACGCCTGCCTTTATAAAATTCTCTCGGCGAACTGCGAGGTAGCGAGAGACAGAGAGAGATGAGAAAGCTATAAAGAGGATGATGACCGATGGGGGGGACCATGGGCGGGGGGGCATCCATCTCTCGTTCTGGGAAAAGAGGACATAATATCTTAATTGGGGAAAGGTTATCGACGCGCTGGAAATGAAGACGCCGGCGGCCTACGTGATTCTCGCCGGAGAGGGAGGGGCGATGGGGTGGTGTTCGTCGCTTCCTCTCTCGAGGATGACGGGTACATTAGTTAATTAAGGGTTAGGCCTAGACATGGGTCGTCGCCGACGCAAAGAACTCATCCTGATAGATTACTCGTACGAGCTTGTCCCACTGCCACCATCTTCCCTCCTCCTCCTCCTCTCTCTCTCTCTTTCTCTCTCTCAAGATTTCTTCACCTCGCTCAATAATTCTCTCTCCCTTGCTCCTTCCCTCCCTCGGTGGGACAAGGTGAGGCACCACTATTTTCATCGATAACGATGTCACTCTCTCCGTGCACCGTAATGGGAAACAAAACTACCAACCAATAAGACGCCAGAAAGTCTTTCTAACTGGACTCCCATCCACTAGAAATAGTACTCTAATCAATGGCTTTCCTTAGCCCTTTGAACTTGTCAACGGGAGTATCTTTAAAATTTTGTTTTATCAATAATTAAATATTTCCATAAAGTAGATAATATCTTCAATTAAAGGCTGACATGCGAACACGCGGTTGTCATCGCTGAGAAAAGTGATGCCGTGGTTGCTTCGTCAGGAGAAGAAGAAGACAGAGATCAGACTATCGCGTAGGTTGGGCGTCGCTGTATATCGCGGCTGCTTCAACTCAGATCATCTGCTACCGCTTGACTTTCCACGGAGGGACCTGCTCCACTTCATCATCTCCCCGCCATTTGTGACTGCATTACGGCCGCGAACTGGCGCCATGCTCTCCCTCCGAATACGCGGCATCGCTTCAGACGTCGTCCGCCCATCTTAAATCAAATGATAATGATTGAGGAAATTCCGCATACCTACTATATTATTTAACCATGCTCCCTCTCTGTATGTCACTCTCTCTCGGTGCCTCCTGCCTGTCATTTTTTTTCTTCTTAATTTGAGTTCATTTCGCCGCGGATTCCATTGGTTGACCTTTCACTAACATATCAGAGAAAGGACGGAGAAGAACAGCAAGGTCAACTCGGCATTTCTCTCCGAGGTCGGCAGTTGCCCCCGTCCTTCCACGTCTCGCGAGAAAATGCGAGCTCCACGTAAGCGGTGGGCCCAATCGGAAGAGGTCCGCCGCGCCGCAAAAGCTTATTAATCTTGCCGTCACATCCATGGATTTGGCGGCCGCCGTCATGCGTGCTACACGACCGGGAAGATGTTGGACGGAGGACGGCGGTTGATGAACAAAGTGATGCTTATTATTTAATCGGCATCATGAAGCCTACCGGTACTTCAGCGCCCCCCTGTTATGGTCCAGCAGCGTGAGTTGCATGGGTCTTGGAATTAAGCAGAGTTGTGTGTGGGTCTTTTTGGAACACAAGCGAGAGAGAGAGAGAGAGAGAGTTGTAGTTGACTTTACAAGCGCTACTGGGTCAACCCATGTCCGCGCAAACACTCGATGTCCGTTCCCCTTACAGTCGCACTGACATCCACTATGGAATCTTCAATTGAGATTTAGAAGAAAATGAAGCAACTAAGCCGATTGAATAATGTGCACGCAAGCAACGATGATGCCACAACAAAGACTATCCCTTCGATCTTTCCTATCGCCCAAGATGTCGACATCGAGAGGGAAGAACTAAAATATCTAGAGATCAAAGTAAATGACGGTAGAGAAGTCTATAAACCGGCTCATCTTGACGTTCCGAAACCACAAGGACTACGCGATGGGTTGTCGTGCAAAGCCCAAGGAGTTTCCTTCTTTGACGAGGCAAGAAGTTCCTGAATAAGGTGAAGAAGGCATCCCTGAGAAGAACAGCCGTGATATTTTACCTCCTTATGGATGGCTACTGTTCAATCAACAGTGCTAAGAGTATCACTTCATTTAAATATGGAGTAGGTAGCTGCTGTATGGATTGATTAATCAAAAAGCGGTAAATATGATTTTCTAATATCCGTGGACATTTTAATTGCACCACGGCGAGTTATCATGGCAATCAACCTAATTCCTGCTATAGGAAGGGATTGCGGCTTTTCATGTGAAAACAAGACGCAAGGCTTTAACCTCTCTATAAGTTGGGATCGTGATCTACAGTGATGCTGGACTTTCACACCGCGTTTAATTGAGACAAAGACAAGGGCAATGGACAAAATCGATGACGGTAAAAGTTGTACTGGTGTGAACCGATCTATTATTACGCTCGGTTAGACTAGGAATCGCACATGAAGTCATGTGCGGAAAGGGTTACACCTTGGCTTCCTTCTTTCCCTTTCTTTGTAGCCCTAATAATGCATGCCAAATACTATCTCTTATAGAGAACCCAGTCCATTTACAGAGCATCAAGGTTCAGGAGAAACTGTCTTCAGAAGAAGCCGTCTGATATCCTCAATCTTTAGTGTAGGTGCCATATCCCGGATCAGTCGATGTGGGTATGTCTCTGTGTATATAAATTAACATATATAATCTCGGGAGCCGTCGGGATGGAGAAAAAGAAGAGATAGGTCTGCATGACGATCTATACCCTAGAAGAATATTACTTTACAAGGACGAGGAGATGGCTCCTTTGGATGAATGAGACAGTTAATGCTACCTCAAATCCCCAGAGACTGCATCAGGTTGCCCATATTGACGGCGGCCTCGTGCCAAAGTTTCGCATCGAACTTGCAGGAGCTCAATAATCTAATGGCTTTGAGGAGGAAGTCATCCTCTTCCTCCTGAACCTGCATCACGTCTGGGCACCGCAGTAACCTTATGTAGGCCTCCAGGTCGTGGACGCAGGCGGGGTCCCTCATCCTGAAGAAATCCAGAGCCAGCTCGACCCCGACGTGGGCATAACAGGAGCAGCTCCATGGGAGTTCGTGCTTAGCGCACCAAGCCCTCATGTTCTCGTTAAGGAAGACACCCGGCAACTTAGTGACCGGGTCATTGACGTTCACAATTCGGAGGACCTTTAGGCCGAGCTCCTCGCACCTCGCCTTGAAGTCGGCGTTCCCCACCCTTGGGCCTGCGAAGGAGTAGACGGTGGTGGGGATGCCCTGGTTCAGGCCGAGCTCGGCGATGTCGTAGCCGGCGAGGATCGCCAGGGAGCTGCCCATGCTGTGCCCTGAAAAGGTGATACTCAGTTCCTCCCCTCTGTGTTTGGTGATGAGCCTGGAGAGCTCCGAGAGGAGCTGTTCCCTGCAGCTATCCATGCCGAATCTGCTTGTGCTATCGTCGGACGTGTACATACTGAGGAAGCCCACCTCAACTTTGACCTCCGGACGGGGCTCGTGTGGGTCAAGCCTGGCGGGGGTGAGGGAGCTCATGAGATTAGCGATCCACTCGGACCCGGTCACCGTTCCCCGGAAGGTGATCAGCACGTCCCGGCGGCCCAACCGCTGTGTTTCCTCCTCGGAAGAGACAGCCACGTAACCCATCCAGCGGCTGCAGCATGCCGTGTGATGCATGGGGAAGACGATATCGGGGGTCGCGTAGATGTACTTGGTGACCTCGTAGCCCGACCTCTCCATCCCCAGCTCCCTCATCAGGCTCTTCTTTCCGTACTTGCAGTTGAGGTAGCGCTTGGAGGTGGGGTCGAGGTCGAAGGCTTTGTAGCAGGCGTTGACGAACTCGCCGTAGCGGACCACCTCGTCGCGGAGGAGAGGATGGAGAGGTGCTACCAGGTCTTGCCAGTCGTTGGAGCCTTGGATCTCCCTCCACACCCGCGCCAGGCTTGGTTTCGCTTGGCACGCGGCCGCTGCCACCGCCGCGGCGACCCGTCTGGTTGCCGCTGCGCGAGCGGCTGAGGACGCGCTGTGCGAGGAGGCGCTCGCTCTCACGGCCGCGTGCCCGGTGATGGCGGAGTTGCCGAATCCTCCCTGTCGCCGGATTTGCCGAGTGTAGTGGAATGATGAGGAGATCCTCGTAGCCATCCTCCGCAGAGAATTGAGGGGGTGGGAGGAAGCGGACCAATAAATGCTTTTTCTGGGATCGAGGAATGGAAGAGATGTTCGATACATGTATATAAAGGGCCAGAGAGCGAGAGAGGAGGAGAGTTTGGATCGGGGGTTTTGGGTGGGGGGGTTGAATTGAGTAGCAACCGTGGGACGCTGTCAGGCTCTGGCTTTAGGGATCACAACGAAATTCCATAAAGGACAATTGCCCAAGTGAGAGCAAGAGAGAGGAAAGGCAAGCATGTTCGGCGAGGGGCTTGAGGGGTTTGACCGGCAATAGGCTATCTCTTAGTCGTTGGTCGGTTACGCGGTCGTGACTCTCCGGCGCACCCGAATCGCCCGCCCATGCTAAACATCTACGTCACTTGATGGACAAAAAGAAGCTCCAGCACTCGATGAGAAAATCCAAAGGGGGAGAGAGAGAGACTTTCGTGGCGCTTACACGTCACCCCCATAGGAACAGACAATCATTTAGGGCTACGGGAGAGAGTTCGACGCGTCTCCTAACAGCGGACGGTGGTCTTCTCCTCTTCGATCCTTTCTTTTCCATTCATATTTGCATCAGCCACTATCAACCCCGGTTTGCTGCCCGTCGCGACATATCACGCCAACATTGGGCACTAGACGATTCCATGTGGTGAAGATGCAGTTGCGGGTCCTGATCCTCCTACATGGGAAACCAGAGGACGAAGGATAGAGACGAGAAGTATTCCATGGCGGGAAAACAACACGATCCTCCGTTGACCTACGCAACCTGATTTCACCAGATCATTCCCGTAGACCTCTCCCACCAATATTTTATACGTAGGATGCCCCTCTGCACCCGCGCGAGGAAGGTGAGCCTTTCACTTTTTGTAGGAGGAATACGATGATGTGCCTATTCGCTCTCGGATATACAACAGATAACGTCATGTGGGTGGGTGGCCAGATTTGAGGACGAGCTTCTCCCGGGTGCTCATGGGTTGCGTCGGAGGACTGGCGTTGTCGCAGCATGAGTCCGGCAGAAGCCCCCTTCCGGAACGGGAGGCGTTCTCCCTTCCCTGGCTTCCATCGCCTACTCCACTGAACCTAGACTACCGCGTTGAATCCCAGAGCCCCCAAGCTTTTTGTGAACCGAGGACACTGAATTTCCCCTCTATAGAGTTTCATCCCATTGAGAGGAGAATACAGGTCTGGTTCCTCACCGGGGGGGTGTCTCTCTGTGGCTACGGTGGCCCCATCTCTGGTCTCTGCCAGACAATTCCGACGGCGATCCTTTTGACCGACACCTTAGCGTTTTGTTTCCCTGCGGTTAAGTGGCTCAATGATAGGGAAAGGACGCGATAGATGCTGCGGAAGCTCCGTGATATCTCCGAAGTGCCACGTTTATCCGATCGAGTGAGATGCAAGAGACGGCATTCTGTGTAATTGTCAGACGTTTCTTGTTCCCCAGGTCTAACAATTCAACAAGGCGCACCCCAGCAGCCTCTCCTCTCTCTCCCACCTTCTCTCTCTCTCACTCTCTCACTCTCTCTCTCTCTCTCTCTCTCTCTCTCCCTCCCTTCCTCCCTCCCTCCCTCCATCTCTCTCACCCTCCCTCTCTCTCTCTCCCCCTCCCTCTCTCTCCCCCTCCCTCACTCCCTATCTCTTTCTCTCGTCTAGTGTATGCATACTGAGCGCGTGCACACACGTTTGTCTGTGATCTCTCGTATTCGAGCACACCTGGCTTCTTCACGGGAAGCCAACCTTAGAGAAAAAAAATGATTTTCTTTTTCGAAATAAGAAAACGCCGATTTTTGCATTTAATGATTTTTTGGGTAAATATGATGAAGTAAAAGAAGAATACGGCACCTAGGAAATGAAGTTGGTCCCTACCCGCGGCGACGCACCGAGCTGTCAACACGTGACCCTTCCCGCCTACCACGTCGGCGAGCGTGTGGTCTCATGATTCGACAGGTCTCAAGGGCGGGAGACGACCATCTCGCGAGAAAAAGATACACCTCTGGCGAAAACCTGGAGCGTCGCGTCTCGTTTCTTTTATTTTTCGCGTTTTTTTTGTTTTTCATGAGGAGAATATTCACGTTTCCCGTTGAAATTTCCCGTTGAAATTTATAGCATCAGTAGTGACGCGAGCACGAGGAGTGCATGAATCGAAGATGACGTGCGCTGGTCGGTGATCCTCGCTCCGGCCACCGTCGTTGTCGGAACGGATGACCGCTCAGATCATGCCCATGCATCTCTCTCTCTCTCTCTCTCTCTCTGACAAACACAGACGCGCGCACACTCACACACACTTCGTCCCCACTCTATTGAGGACCCCTCCTCTCTCTGTCTGTCTCTCTCTCTGAGACTCGGCCCCCTTGTCCGTTGAGTTCTCTTCTCAGCCTCTCAGACTGCGTCCACCCTGTTCTGGTGAGGAGTTTGCTTGGCAGTATCTCTCTATCTCTCTCTCTTTCTCTCTCTGAGGCAAGGTCCCCGTTGTCCGTAGAATTCCCTTCTCAGTCTCCCACAATGCGTCCACCCTGTCTGGTGAGTGGTTCGCTTCGCAGTACGTCTCTCTATCTGTCTCCGCGACTAGGTCCTCGCTGTCCGTTGAGGAGTTTTCTTCTCTCTTTCGCTCCCTCCCCCCTCCTCTCTCTATGGATGTAGGGGGCGTGCATCACGCCCGAGCACTGAGTCAGAGATATAATTACGTGGATATAAACGAGCCATGAAGCCTGGCGAAGAGTTTTCTGTGGTTGGCACCTGCCAAGAGCCTCCTGCACCAACGAACGATGTGACTACAAGTTTCATGCTTATACGAGACATACTTTCGTGGAACCTCGAGCAGCGACCCTCGAGGAAGACGTCTCCTCTCTCATCCCTGCATGCTATCCCTCTGGGAGAGAATGGGATGGCGAGAGGGCTCGGACAGGAGCAAAACCGCTGCGGAGTCATCGTCCGTTCACGTCGTAGGAGAGGGAAGCAGATTGACTTCTGTGGAGCATTTGAAAGCTGCTCGGATGGACGAAACGAATCCACGGGGATGCAAAGTAGAGTATTTCTGTAGTTTGACAATATCCTCCGACAGTAGTAGCCGATTCACCGAAATCATTGACGGGGGGGAAAGTACAGTTGATCGCCAAACTGTTCACGTGTGAATCCTCTCTCAGCCCGTCGGTCAGACGTCCCCTTCTGAGTTCAGTATAATCAAGATTCTGTCAAGTGATTACGAATTCAACTTCATCGATCGCCACTAGCTCCCGACCGATCACCACTCAGTGGGGAGTTCCTCGATTTCATCACCTCTAAGCACATAAATAACGAGGGAGTTTTTCATGGTATGTGAATAAGAAAACTCGTTTGAGCTAAGAGATATCCAACAAAAATGAATTATTATCGTGCCATTTAAGTAATCCTGAGAAACAAAAGAACCCATGAAGATAATCATGAGAAAGTGCGTCCCATTTATAGACGAGCCTTGTGTCGATTTGGATGACGCAATAGCATAGAGGGTCTGATAGGCCAAAGGCCATGATTGCTGAATCATAAAGGGGAAAGACCCGAAGCTCTAACATTTTAGGATGTTATTAGATTGAAACAATGAATAAGACTGATAATCATGTGACTTTACTCATTCTTTTTCATGCGAGGCTACTCTCGCTCTTACTTCGTCTCTCTTCCTGTGATCGCCCACGTCAGTTGATCTCCAAACTATCACTATTCTTCATTCCCTGTGCGGTTCCTCCCATTCGTGAGGTAACCGAGTCGTTTTGCCTTCTGTATGGGAGGGGGGGATTTCTCCAACACGATCTGATTTGACTCGGATGTCAACTAGAGAATGGAAAACTCTTGTTGGCCTTTACCTGTTTCAAGGGGGCATGTAGATAGATTTTTATCGTGCTAGACGAATGTATCTTCGCTCTATCTAATATAGGGGTCATTATAAGAATAATTACTAGGAAAGAAAAATTAGAGTCGATTTACTACGTATCATAATCAACTCAGGTTTGGAATTAAAACTTCTTTGCCCAACTGGCAGAGAAAATGGCTTCTGCCATTGAGTTTCCTGGCTTTTCGTAGACCGAAAGGCCACTGATGGAGACATGCAGATCACGACGTGATCTTTGAGGCCAAACCTACATGAACTGGGTTGAGAAGGATGGCTCTGGGTAAAAGGGGAGTCTTAAACCAGAGTTCATCATCTCTCTTGTCATGATTGTAAAGGTTCACCAAAGGTTGTTTCTAACTAGCTTGTTCATGGGTCAGCTAGGCCCTAAAACCTTGGCCCGGGCTTCTTGGAGGTAGCCTGCAGACATCAATTCATTAGGTCAACATAGAGGCTTTCTCTAGGAAGTAAATGGGCCTGGATCAGATTTGATGATGTTTGACCTGGAAGTTGGGTTGGGGCCATCTTCATAGAGGCCAGACAAGAGCCTTTTTCTTGGGCTCTTATTGTGGCCCAATCCAGGCATGGTTGTCTCCATTGACTGATACCCGTGGTTTGATTCCTCCATCTACTGATAAATCGGTCAACGTCGAGACCAAAGTTGGCTAGACTGTTGACACGTTGACTGTAGTGTCAAGGACGCAGCATGGCTGTTCTGAGCAACCAGTTTTGTGATATTGAACGAACGAAGGAAACAGAGCGATTAGCACTACCATGCAGATGAAGTTGACTTCATTTTCTTGGAGGGTTCATCAACTGTGGGTCACCGAGAGTCGCCGAGGTGGAGAGGTCAACCTATCAGGAAGGGTCATTCCAAGGATGCAATCTAGACTAACCGGGGCGGCGGCAAGGAGGCAGCGGGGGGCCGCAGAGGCAGTCATTGCCCGCAAAAGCCGACGCCGGGAGCTTCGTCGGCGGGAGACGCCCGCAGAGGTGGTTGTAGCTCACGTTGAGCCCCTTGATGCCGGCGGCCGCGGCGGGGACCTTACCGTAGACCAGGTTCCTCGACAAGTCAAGCTCTTGGAGCGTTTTGGGCAGTGGCAGTGCGGCCACGTCGAACTTGAGCTTGTTACCCGCCGCCCGGAAACCCAGCAGCATCTCAGTCCGGTTCAGCAGCTCCGCCGGGCTCCCAGTGATCTCGTTGCCGGAGAGATCGATGTAGTCGTAGAAATAGGTAGCCGCCGGCCTGAAGTCCTCCATCCTCATCTTGATCCCGCAGCCGGCGAGCTTGAGAGAGTAGATGATAGGAGAGGAGGAGACCCAGCGGGGGATCTTCCCCAGGTGGAAGTCGTTGTGGGAGAGATCGAGGGACTCGATCCCCTTCACCGCCATCCCCGGAAAAGGGTCGACGAGGGAGTTACCGGAGAGGTCGAGGTTGAAAATCTTGCTCAGGTTCCTGAAGCTCCCCGGTACTGGACCAGTCAGGCGGTTGCCGGAGAGGTCGAGAGTATCTAGCTTCGTGAAGCTCCCCAGGAAGGTGGGGATCTCCCCGGTCAGCCTGTTGTGACCTAACTCGAGGTAGGCGAGGTGGGGAGCAAGGGCGGCGAGAGATGGCGGGATAACGCCGACCAGGAGATTGTGGGAAAGCCTGAGAGTATACAGCTCCCTCAAAGGGGAAAGGTCGGGGATGGTGCCGGAGAGGCGGTTGTGGTCGAGGGCGAGGAAGGACAAGCTCTTGAGTCGACCCACCGGCGGAGGGACGCCGCCGGCGAGTTGGTTGCGGCTGAGGACGAGCTGGGTCAGCTTGGAGAGCCGCGTGATAGACCGGTGGATGGGCCCGGAGAATCGGTTCCCGGCGAGACTGAGCGCCCCGAGCCTGTCGGCGAGTCGGCTGAGGTCGGGGATGACCCCGGAGAGAGCGGCGTTCTCGATGTACAGGAACTCGAGTTTAGGGAGGCGGAAGACGGCGGCGGGAAAGGGGCCGGTGAGGTTCTTGAGGTCGTGGAGGTAGAGGCCGGTGAGCTCGCCGGCAAGGGCGAGGGAGGGGGAGATGTGGCCGGAGAGGTAAGACTCGGGGATTTCGGGTCGGCCGTACAGGCTGAGCTCGGTGACTCGGGTCCCTTCCCTGCAGGTCACCCCGTTCCAGACGCAGCAGTCGGTTCCGCGCTTCCAGGAGGAGAGCAAGCCCGTTGGGTCGGCAGGGATTCCGGCCTTGAAGCCGAGCAGCCCCGCCTCGTCGTCGGGGTGGCATTTCCCCCCGCCAACTGGCCTCGAAACAAGGAGGAGAGGAAGAAGAAGAAGAAGAGTCTTCATCGGCGGGAGATGAAATGGATGGCTTTCCGGAAAGCGACCTTCGGGTTGCTCTTATCTCTCTCTCTCTCTAAACCCTACACGCACAGAAAGCAGGCTCTTCTCTCTCTCTCTCCTTCTCTTGAGTCACTCATCTGATGTGACGACAGATAGACAAACAGAAAGTGAGAGTACGTACAAGAAACTTTTGCACATTTTATTAGCTTCCGAGGAGAATTCTGTACATCACATGGGATGGCCCCAACCCAACGCATCAGACGCTGAGCTTGGGGCGATAATCCGCATCGGCAAAGCCCTTGGTGAAATGATCGACGCAAGCCATGCGGATCCTCTCCGGCGTCGCCGGGCTGTCCAGAGGGAACCACCCATCGCACCCTTCCTCCGCTCTGGCAGCTGCGATTGCTTCTTTAATGGCGAAGAAGACGGCGGAAGCAAGAAAGAAGGGCGGCTCCCCCACGGCCTTGGAGGAATGGATGGCCTTCGGGTTGGGAAAACCCTGCGGAGAAACAGACACACACGCCGGGTTTCAAAGTAACATCACTACGAACGCATTCTATGATGATCAGAGAGAGCGTTCTTGGAGGAATCACTGTGTTTTCCATTAAATATTGGAAGAAAATACAGTTGGTCAGAGGGATACCTGAAGAAGGGATACGTTGAACTTGAGAGGGATATCATTTATGGTAGGAATCTTGTAGGTTCCGGGGCCAGAGGTGTAGAGGTGTCCAGGCTTAACCCACTTGTGATCTCCATCTCCCCACTTCAGCTCTTCCAAGGTCAGCCACCCCAGTCCTTGGATGAAGGCTCCTTCAACCTAGGAAAATATGGCAAACATGAACGTCAGAAGGAGCGATGAACGCAGTTTCATGGTCAGGAACCCCGCATGCATCTCAACATGGATGATTACAAGTTTTGCATGGGTCTACCTGGCCTAAATCAATGGCGGGATTGAGCGAATAGCCAAGATCCATCAAGATATCTGCCTCTCTGGTGTGGAAGTCCCCGGTCAGAGTGTCGATTTCGACGGCAGCAAATGCAGCTCCGTAGGTGTAGTAGCTGAAGGGAGAGCCTTTACCACTTTCCCAATCAAAGCCAATATCCGGCGTGATGTAAAATCCGTGAGCAGACAAGTCTATCCGGTCCATGTGGCATGCAAGCGCCAGCTGATCGTGAAATAGAGAACAACGATGAGAATTCTATGGAATTAAAATAATATAAAACGTTGAAAGCTTAATTATATGGGAAATTTGACTTCAGAAATGGTGGACATTAAAATGCGATTTATAGTTAGAAAGGTGACTTCAGAGTCTAAGTCTGTGTCTTCTTATCTTTGTTCAAGATGAGAGATCTTCTATATGTAAATGATGGGAAAAATGATTATTTCATGCGATGAGTCAATCGGAATAGTACCTCCGCAAAGGAAGCATTTTGTCCCAGCCGAGAAGCAACAGGTTGCATTCTCGACTTTATTTGCTCGCAAGCATCTAAGACAGCAGCGCCGTACATATCGGAACTTGCTGAGGCTGCTGTAGGAGAAGCATTAGGAACCTAGAACAATACAAAAGTGTCAGAAATACCCACTAAGAGGAATGGTTACAATAGCATGCTACTGATAGCAGCCTCTGATGATCTTAGCTGCTATCAGTAGCACGCTAATTTGGGCATCTTTCCTTCCCTGCCCATATAAATTTAGGTATAAATTAGTGCGGAAGTCTCGTCATGAAATAGTTTTAGAAGATTCACCTTGTCTGTGCTGGTATCGGATATGAAAACAGAGCTCAGGGGAACATTGAACGATGATGCAGCAACCTGAGCGACTTTAGTGTGTAGGCCTTGTCCCATCTCAACACCCCCATGAGTCACAAGAATAGTCCCATCAATATAAACTTGCACAAGAGCACCTGCCTGTTAAGTAGCAAAAATCGAGAAATGAGTACCCAATCAGACAATGCAGTGCAACGATGATGTCACAGGCAAAGTGAGTCCACAGATATTGAATTCTCTGTGCGAAACATGGCAAGAGCCCAAGGCGTCACTAGAGAAATGCAGTCCGATGAAAATAATGTCTGAACACACTAAACTCTCTTGGACGATCCTGCGATCAAATGATGGGGATGTAGAGAATGCCACTGTCTCCCAATACTACTATTCACGACATATATTGAGTAATCTAGGAGCCCACTTATGAGCACGATGCCAAAATCAACTAAGACCAGTGAAACGCAACCACATTCATGTGTCATATAAACACAAGACAATCCCATACACTCTTCCATTGAGATGAAGCTTTACAAACCTGGTTCATGAATTTTGCAGTGAAGGAGATACCAAACTTTGTCGGAACAATGGCAACTCCACGTTTCCTCCAACGATTCATGAGGTTGAACTGTTTCGCATCCTCCTGAGCCTTTAGGAAGTCACAAGATTCCTTTAGTTGATTCCAAACTTGTTTCAATGTACAGTTCTGGAGTTGATGACCATAATGCGTAACAGAACCTTCACCCTGAAGATTGGCTTCCTGCAGGCAGAGACATCATGTTTGTGGATTCTCAATATAAAAGATATAGGTAAATTTAAGATGACTATACCCGTATCTCTTCGGGACATTTCTGAAGCTTCATGGCGATCCTCTGAATCCAGTTCTCTGTAATAAGCATACCCTGAGGCCCACCAAATCCTCGAAAAGCTGTATTACTTGGCAAGTTTGTGTGGCATACTTGCCCGGTAACCCTAAGATGAGGAATATCATAGACATTGTCGGAGTGAAGCATCGCACGCTCGAGGATAGCGAGAGACAGATCTAAAGAATTTCCTCCATTATTGTAAACTTCAAGATCCAAAGCCAGAACCTTTCCACTATTTGTGAACCCCACCTAAAAGAAGTGGAGAAAAGTGAACCTCTTAAGCCAAATACTAAATGATAAGGGAAGTCCATATTATATTAAGTAAAATTATTAATATCCTATGAGGAATATAAATGTGCAAAAGTGATGCACAACTGCAGATCCGGCCGACGAACTGGATAGTGCTTCGGACCTTTAAGCACCCACCAAGAAGATCACACGACAAGCATCAATGCAATTAGACTCTGTTTCCTCCCATTAGAAAGATGTTATACAATTGGGGCATAGTTGGGCAACTAAAGATCATTGCCCACAAAATGGAAATGGCATCCATAATCAGGCCTGGTTAATTCAATGCCAGGAGAATTAATGGAAGGTCCTTCTATTAACGCAACCCAAATAAAAGTTTTTTCTGCTCAATAATGAAGGAATACTACTGCAAACTTGACTCAGGAACTGGAAAATTATATCAGAATACTGCAAAACATAGCTTTCATGTTTGCCCTTTTTATAATAGCAAAAGTCAACCATCCACAAGCCACATACCTTATATTTTCCAAGAAAGCTATGGCGTTGTCCAGTGATCAACATATCTATATCTCTGTCTAAGGTGATTTTTACCGGTCTCTTCAAATGATATGAGGCAACAGCGGCTGCAGCACCAATAAAAGCTGCTCTTGTCTCTTTCCCACCAAATCCACCACCTATCCGCTTCGTTTTGCACACCACCTTTGATAATGGAAGACCAAGAACACCAGCAACGTACTTCTGGCTCTTCTGAGGAGCCTGATTGACAATAAGAATGAATGATTTTTTTTTGAATCAAGTATGCAGACATATGGAAAAACAGGAATCAATAGATTTCTTTTTAAAAAAAAATCACTGTATGATTTGCAGCTTGGAACAAACCTGGGTAGGCATTTAGCGAGTAATAGCTTTTACAATTTAACAAAGTCAACATTATCTTCCAACGCTTTATATTTTTCCTTTTTTTTTGGGTGGTTATCGAAGTTATTGAGGGAAAAGTCACTGAACCAGACACTCATTAATTTATTCAACAGCCTAAAGGGCATTCGATTAATAAGGTTAATACATAAAAAAACAACCAAAATAGTGAGCTGCGGCAATCACTTGACTAAATTTGTACCAAGTTACTAAGCCAATCTAGAATTTTCAGCCGCATGATTCAGGATTTCGAGAGTATGAAGCCTGAGCTAGTCATAATATCAAATTGTTTTCGATAGACAGAATGCTTTACAAAAAACTAGTAAAAGACTCTATGGCCACCAAACCTTGATGTATATCTGCCAATCAGGTCGCAGTCCCTTTATCATCAGCTACTTGCCCCGAGCAGAATTGTATTTATCAATGCAGAATGCTTTTTTTTTTCCATTTTAGGTGTATTAATAGACCTTAAATAAAATAAAACTTTTCACATCGTCCAAACATTCAACATGGTTATATTGAAGACGATCTAATAAACCCCTTTTGTTAGCAAATACAGTTCACTACTTGAATTGAGATCAATAAATTTGAAAATGACAAAAAAAATTCGGCCTTTTTTGTTTTAAGAACATGAATTACAAGAATGTAATTATTACCCTTGAAACCGCAGGCATGGACATTCTAGATTAGAATTCAATATCCACCTGTTAATGACTTACTTGAGTACTAGAAATCATGTGAACCTCGTTTCCGCCATCAACTGTCCATACAAAACTGCAATTTGGTTCCAAGTAGAAATGCTCTTGACCGCCAATCTGAACCTCACCTTCTATGATTTGATCACAAGACTGAAAACACGAGTCAACATCTCCTTTGACAAGGCATCGTCTGGTGTTAGGATGAAAGCTGTTGAATTTGATGGCGTCTCTTATAGATAAAATAGCTGGAAGCTCTTCATATCTAACAACTACTTTTTGTGCTGCTTTCTTCGCATTTTCGTGTGTATCAGCAACAACCACCCCAACAACCTGATTGTGAAATATTCATTCTTAGTGCAGATGAATCTCTTTGAGCACAATTCATTAAATAAAAATAACCCAGAATATAAAACTTTCGAAGAGAAACGAAAAAGATACAGCACAATAGAGGCAAGTTGTTAAAGTTCCATATACCTGGCCCACACAAGTAACAATCTCAGAGGCAAATAGTTCCTCATCATGAACCACTGGTCCAATGCAATTACTACCGGGAACGTCCTTGTAAGAAAATATCCCCGCGAAGCCAGGCGAGCACCTGGCAGAAGAATCATCCACAGAAAGTATTCGAGCATGCGCCTTTGTGCTTAATACTAGAGCAGCATGTAAGCCACTTTGAGGCATTTGAACATCATCCACATATTCTGCCTCTCCAGAAACCTGAATTTCAAGAATACTAGAAAGTCAGAGGAATATATGTTGGAAAACCAACTATAAAAAACTTATGCAGTATGCATAAAGTTATTATGATGAACATCTTCCGATTCCAAGCAGATTACTTCTTTTACAATTTAAAATTCATCCACACCAACCAATGTTCATTTATCATGTCCTTGGCCTTAGATGCATCTATCATAATCCATATCAACGGACAACAGGTTTGGAAAAAAAATAAATCTAGGGTCATTAAAATGGACCCAAATAAGCAAGCCAGATGGACCCTTGAGAAGTTTTCAGAGCTTGCAAGAACAATAGATGGTCAACGGATAACAATGAAACAAAGTTCATCAACAAAGTGTTGCTAAAGTCTATGTCAAGTAGGATAATTTATGCACGGGAGATATGACAAAAAATAGTGTAATAAGACCTATTATTTGTACTGTGGAACCAAACATCAAAACACATTACAGAAAGATGTGGTAGAAAACTTAATTCAAGGATGAAAAAAAATACCTGTAGCCTTGCTGAAAGGTGAACGCTAGGATGCCCTACAGATGTCCCACGGTTCACTAATTCATAACTTTGGCTTCCTGTGGATGGTGGTCTATCAAATGGCCGTATAGCTGATTGCTCACGAGCCAGCAGGCGGTCTATGTCATGTTTGTTGTCATTCAACATAGAAGAAACCCAGAGGAAAAATTTGAAAAAAAAACTCAATGTCAACGATTTGCGGAACTCTATCATTCCACCCGGTGCATCCTCTCCAAGTGAAATTTCTTCTTTTAGATTACTCAAGGCATCGTGCAAAAGCTTCTTATCCCATGTTTTCCCTACAATAAATGATTCTGTTCGAACTGCAGCCAAGGAAACAGGAGCTACGCCACCAAAAACGATAGAAGCATCAACGACTTCCCAGTTTTGGTGATTTTCTTTGACAAAAACACGCATTCCTGCATTTACAAGTGCTATGTCATCATCTCTACGATGTGCCTGCTTGAATTCCTTTACAAACTCATAGGGTCTAGTCCACGGTAAGAAGATGGAAAGCAGTATCTCACTCGGACACAAATCAACCCTACGGTAACCAAGGAAGAAATCTTTTGCAGGAGTGGTTCTAATGTTTCCTTTGGGATCAATAATTTTAAATTTTGCACCGGCAGCGATCCACAGGGGATTCAAGTCTGATATTGGACTGGCGGTGCAGATGTTTCCACCAACAGAAGCAGCATTTCTTATCTGTTTTCCAGCAAACCATTTTAATTGTTCCATTAAGGCCATGCACGACGAAGTTTCTTGAGAATTACGCTCAAGCACTAATGTTTGAAGATAGTTCTGGAGTTCTGTCAGTCTTACTGCAGCACCAATTTCCAATCCTTTCTCTGTGATGTTCAAGGCATTAAGTTCAGGTACGTGTGAAACAGAAATGAGGACCTTGTATTGGGCGTTCTTAAACTTCATTTCAATCCCTACCTCGGTATTGCCAACAATGAGCTTTGCATCTGGATATTGCAATTTCAGTTCCAAAACATGTTCTAATTTTAAAGGTCGAAACCAATTCAGTCCACCAAGCCCACTCAATTTCAGTGGCATTATTTTTCTCAGTGAAAGCTCTGGGGGGAAAATAAGCTCCTTTTCAGTGTACAGAGTTCCATCAGTATCACTATGCGAAACAGGTTCCAAAAAGCTGCTGCAAGTCAAATGCTCAGCGGAAATATCAGTCTTTTTCGCAGTTGCAGCTCCACAGTCACATGGTTCTCCACTGGATGGGCAAATAAAGTTACCAGATGAAGTGCTCGAGGAAGATGAGTTCGTATAAATGGAATTATTAGTCTTTGTAAATGCTCGAAAAGCATCAACAATCGGTCTATAACCAGTGCAACGACATAAATTTCCAGCAAGGTTCTCTTCAATCTGCTCCTCAGTAGGTAAAGTTCTGTTTGACCTTAACAAAGCATACATAGACATAACAAAACCAGGAGTGCAAAATCCACATTGCGAGCCATGGGATTGCGCCAAATGTTCCTGTATGCAAATTTTGGAAGAAACCAGAGGTAAGTACAATCTGCCTCTGGAACCAAGTGAAACTTTTCATAAAGAAATCATCTGAAACAAATTTTGGACCGGAATAAAAAAAATATCATGACACCTGCTGCAAGAAACTTATTAAAATCTAAAAGTAAGTGTCGTAATGGGCAGAAAACATAAATTAAGTTAAAATTACTCAACTTTGTTATGTTCATTAAGTCTGCTGCAAAATGAGGGCATTGAGTTGAGTGTTTAGCAGTTACAATGCTCCATTTAGGAGAATGAACATAAGGCAACAGAAACAATTCCTCTGCTCCTCATTCTTTAGAGTCTAAGATCGAGTTACCACAATTCTGGCATACATATCGCATTGAAGACTAAACACAGGACAGTAGTAAACCCTAGGTGGTCTTCAACGGTTGGCAAGATTCTATGTATCATATATATATTACCCCACACTACAAGAAACTTAGCAATAATTTGTCTATAACTGTTAGGTCATGAGCACGGTAACATGGAAACACCTATCAAACATGGCGAGCATTTGGAAACAAAATACGAGAACACAAGAGCTATATAGATGTGTGCATGTGCTTATGCTTGCGGTAGAAATGAAATCTATTAGTTTATGACTGAGAATGATTGACAGAATGGCTGCAAGGATTGACGTAAAAAATTTAGAGTTTGAGAGTAGAAGCCTCCGACATGATTGTAAGTTTGCCCATATTGTGTTTCCCACAAATCATATTGCTGTTCAAAACAGTAAATAACAAGTTTCAATAAATTTTATGATACATGCATCTGAGTTAATGATCCAATTTTCAAAACTGAGAAAAAATAACTGCTTCAGCAGATCAAAATCAATGATCACAGTAATAATTATTGGCATTTATAGCCCTTGTAGACATATAAACCTGTTGAAAAAAAAACTCATTTTTTATAGTGAATGAATGATGACATTTCAAAATGCTAGCGAACCATATTTGAAAACTGGGTTCACCCACGATAGGGCAGTTCGATCTGCTTCAGGATTGGAAAATCCCAGAAATTGATCCCCGCCCACTTAGTAGAAAATGAATAAAAGTCAGATGCTTAGTAGAAATGATTTCAACTACAACAAATTGTGACCTGGACAGGATGCAAGCCACGCTGACGATTCCCAAGACCTTCCACTGTTATTATATGCATCCCTTCCACAGAGTACAAGGGAGCCAAGCATGCATTGACTGCGTAATGCCTGCATCAGCAGCAGGAGAAGCAGCATCAAAGGAGTCGCTCCATTGCAAAGTTGTCCTAGTTAATCAATGTGCATGGTTTAAACAATAAACCTGCATTACATGCAAAAATATATATCCAGAGAGTTTTGGGAAAATAAATCTTCAAATTCATTGTTTAGAGTAAATGACACAAATGAGTAGTTCTTCATTAAAAAAATACAGTTGAAAAATATGACTGAAACCGAATCGTCAGCATGGACTCATTTACGAACATGAATGAAAGAGAAAATCATCTGATAGTTCAAAAGAGTATCATCTCTTGAACTAATATCAAATCTCCAGCAGATGAGAATGGGTTGGCCGTACTCACACTGATTTCTTCGAATGATGATCATAGTAAGAAACCATCACAGTGCAGGCTCCACAACCACCTTCACCACAACCCAATTTCGTTCCTGTTAACCCTATATCTACATTTACATAAAAACTTTTTTTAGACTGCGATTCGTTTCTGTAGAAGACGGAAATCTAGTGAGGCAAATGACAGCAGTCCAAGAAAACAAATTTAATTCATTACATGACATTGAGAAAGCAAATCTTTTAAAAGTATATTTCATAAATTTTGACCTTGAGACGGATTAAATACTTGATCTTCAAGAGTAATGATAAGAATTCTCTCAATGAAACCCAACGAGTTAAGATAAAAATGCAAGCAGATGGTCGATCAGATGAGACGTTCTGTCTTAAATCAGTACGCGCAAATACAGAAATAATTAGCTTAAATCGCTATAGTATTCATCTAGCTAAAAAAATACAATTCTTTCGGTTCATGCGCCAGAATTCCTAAAAGTACATAATGTTTCAATTGAGGAAGAGTAACTTTTTTTTCTCATCTACAGCAAGAGCCTAGTGAACGAGTCTGGTTCTGATCGAGTGGCTATATCCGTTAGACTACTTGGCTGCACGCAAATGTCCGCAAATCCGGATACTATGAATAAACACAGTCGAGTGTGCCAGTCAGCCATATGGAAGCGTCCGCGTATCTTAGCCGCTTGTCAGAGTCAGAGTCTCTTTAGCTGAACATCGGACCAGCAAAACATAGAGAAGTCTATGTTCACTCGGTTGGTCCGGTCCCTGTTTACGTCTCCTTCGCGTGTCCTTAACATACTTTCCTCTCAGAAATGCGGCATTCCTGAGGCGGACTTGGAGAATCCGCATCCTTAGTTGACACTCGTATCGTTAAACAGATATTGACGTTCGCTGATGAGGTGATCTTGCGTGCTAAGGTATGGCAATCCTATTGAAACCGACGAACAGATTGAAGGTATATACGCTCCATGGAATCGAAATCGGCGACCGAGATCATGAATTAGGGCTCACCCCTGAGATACTGGAGAAGAGTCAGGTGAGCCAGGCCATCCGGCAGCACCCGGCGAACTCCGTTGACGTACACGACGGCATCGTCGGACCACCTCCTTTCCCCGCCCCGCTCATCCTCGCTCTTCACTGAACCCATCCTCCTCCACCTCCCCCTCCTCCCGGAGAGACGAGAGACGGCGACTGCAACCAGAAGCCAATCCTGCCACTCTGATAGAGGGAAGATTCGGATCTCCGACTGTCAGTTGGAGAGTTGCCGGGTTGGATCCACGTGTCCAAAAGCTCAGCAACTTTGTCCTGAGGCTTATCTGGCTCCCTCCGTTCCAAGTGGTCGACGATGTGCGTGATTAACGCCTTCCGTCGCCGTCTAAATCGAGAGAGAGAGAGAGAGTTGTATGGAAGCTAAACATTGAAAAATTGGGCCAAACATCAGGTTTACCGGGCCCATTGAGACGTATGGGCCACTATGATCTTATGAGCAGCGCGAACGTGCGGACGGTTCGGGCTTCTGTTTAGATATCGCTCTCTCTGTCTGTCTGTCTGTCTCTCTCTCTCTCTCTCTCTCTCTCTATGTATCTCTATCTCTTTCTCGACGGGTGCTAACGATAAAATTAATCTATGTCATAGTTTTGTGAAGGAGAAGACGGCGAGGAGAGGGAATTGCCACGGGTCACAGGGTACTGGCGTGGGAGGGTTATCCTCCTCCGGTCCTTCTCAGCGGCACTGTGGATCTGGCGGAGGCCGAGTGACAGTCGGTGATCTGCCTCGCGGGCAGCAGAGGGACGGCTTCGCAGCAGATCCGTCGTCTTCGCCTGCGAGCCAGGGAGGAGGAGGGAAGGCTCTGGTACATCATTGTTTTTCCTTGGAAGGGGGGCGGTTTTTGGATCTGCGATCCCCGTGTTTAAGTCAATATCGTCGTCTTCGTCATCTCCCACAGATGGGAGGGCCACAGAGTACAGCTCGTGGGGCAGCTCGCAGGGAGCGAGGAGGGGGCCCGGCGGGCATTTAATTATCGGCGAACTGTTATAATAAGGCCTAAAAGAAAAGAAGAAAAAAACAGAGGCTCTGCGGCATCCCCCTCTCCCCCAACAGGAAAGGGAATTCGGAGGGAAGGGCCAGTGGTCCTCATCTGGGTGACTGGATAGTCCTTCCTCTGTTTTCTCCCGTCCTCTTGCTCTAGTCTTCTGAGGAGTCATGGCGATCGCAGCGGTGCTGGTGGTGGTTCCTCTGGGCTTTCTCTTCCTCCTCTCTGGACTCGTCGTTAATCTCATACAGGTTAGAAATTCGCGAACGAATGCTATTAATGTGAATATCCGTGTCTGCAGCATCTCTCCGCGGTTCGTGCTAGGGTTTCCCTCTCCATGATACTAGTTATATTTCCATCATCTTCCTGTTTATTTCGCCTTCGAATAGTCGAGTATTGCCGCCATGTATACTTCGGGCCATTTGTGGCGGCAATCTCGACTGGTTATTTTTATTTTTCAGTCAGGGCATTGGCCTTTTCCACGGTGGAAATTACATCCTTTCGGGGTTTTCATCGAACTTGACGAACCTTGGTATCTTGCTGGTAATTTTGGTTTCAATTTCATTTTTCATTGTTTTTTTGGATCCGGTGGTTTAATTACTTCTGTCTTGGTGAAAATTATACGAGGGTTCCGGCAGTGACGTTCGATTCCTTTCTATTCAGGCTACCTTCTTCGTCACGGTGAGGCCTTTCTCGAAAAGCATGTACCGGAAGATTAATAGAGTAGTAGCAGAATTACTGTGGCTACAGCTTGTTTGGATCTTCGATTGGTGGGCCGGCGTTCAGGTGTTCCTCTCTCATCCTTTTGTTCCCCTCGACAAACCTGCACTTCTCCTCCATTTTGGATCTTCTCTCAAAAGCCGTGCTGGTGGAATGGGGAGTGCTTGTAAAGTTGCAAGTGTAGGAATTGGTTATGCTTAGATTCGTGAAGGAAGGAAAGACATCGAATAGCAGCTTTGGGGGATCCCACCAAGTCATTCCTTCTATCTTCTGGTTGTCAGGAGTCTCTCTGTAGGATTCGTGGCTACAATGTAAGCGGTGTAGCCCCGAGTGTTGTGATGGAAAGACCGTTATTCTGTACAATAAATTAGTATGCTCTTCAGTTTCATGCTAGCTGTTTATCCTCGTATAGATGACGCCAGACTGAACGATTTAAAACATGATAGATTGTCTCCTCCCCTATTTTTGTGTACTGACTAACTTATGTTTCAGATAAAAATGTGCTGAAAGGAGCAACAAACTGTCGAGGCATACGTGCCATTTTAAAAATTTGTTCTTATTACGAGGGCCCGGGCGTTCTTTCCTGTGGCCTAAATTATCAATGCGTTCTTTCTTTATCACTTGGCTTATGTATCATTTTATTGTGCCACGATTTAGGTCTCCTTTTTTTTCTACTTCCTTTGACCAGCTTTGATTTAAGTATCCTTTTACTTTCTTTTCAATTAAAAGTAGATTGGAAATGCGGATTTTACCTGATGAGTGAGGATGAAATTGTATGTTTAATTGCAAAATTGTTGGCCTCGAGTTTTGTTTGGATCCTTCACGATGTACCTTACATTTGGGGTTGCTCCTAGGAAAACATCCACCAGATGCTATTCTAAAAGCCAGGATGTTTATACTATCTACTGCGAGAGAGTGAGGGAGGGTCACACTTCCACTGTTTTGCTTATTAACAGAAAATCTACTTAATTTTGATTCAGTTTGTTAGCAGCATCAAAAGGGCTGTGTTTTTATGGTTTTCTTCCACAGAAAACAAGAATCCCATATTATTTTTTAATGATGAACGATTTTATTGTTTTTTAGTGTGATTTCTTCTGAATTTTTTTTCACCTTATTATTGTTAATTTTCTGTTTCAGGTTGAATTTTTTGCCGATTCTGAAACTTTTCGATCCATGGGTGAGAGTAGTTTATTTGTTAACAAGTTTCAATCTCTCCAGTCATAAGTTACAAATGTTTTTCTCTGAGGTAAACTTAAATCAGTTTGTGATAGCTACATATGGTTACATTGACGGTTTTTTTCAGGCAGGGAACATGCACTTGTCATTTCAAATCACAGAAGTGACATCGATTGGCTTGTTGGATGGATTTTGGCTCAGGTACAGTTTCCAACAAATGGCTGAGTTTACTTGACTTGTTACGTTTTATGTATTATACAAGAAATTTGGGTTAAATAGTTGGTGAGAAGTATAAACTTTTTAAATAAATTCTATTGTTAGGTCCATTCTTTGTATTAATTATGACTAAATTTACTTGCCTCAGCGCTCAGGTTGCCTTGGTAGTGCTCTTGCTGTTATGAAGAAATCATCAAAGTTCCTTCCGGTAGGTTTTTTGTCCTATACTCATTATCTTTTAGTTATTTTGGTGGGTTGCTATGCTATGTTCATGTCAATAAGATTCTGAAGCATGAGTTCATTTGTATTTTGTCTGATGATTGATGACATTTGATTTCTCTTTTTTCTTATCCCTTTATAGTCTGGCCTATTATCTTGTTTTCATTGTGGCTAGACCGGAACATCCAGGACACTGGCATTCACTGGACACGAGATCACGCTTTTGTTTGAATGAATGATACATAGCTCAGTCATGTTTATTGCTGAGATCAAGTTCATTCCTGGCCTTTCTCAGTTTTGAACTTCCAATATATCAAGCTCTTTTTTCATGTTTCATCTTAGACAGTTGGTAAGTATGGCAGCCTGAATTTTTCTTGAATTAACTTGGTGCCTGCATTGATAGTTAATGTATTGACAATTGGTCGATGATAATTACATATATTATTTATGGCAAGATAATGCTTGATGCCAGCATATATGAAGCAAGTATAAGATCAATTGAACTAGTTTTGATATATGTAGTTGACGTTTTCATGAGGCATGCAAAATGACAGAATAACTTTTTTTTTTATGCCACTGTGTACTTTTACGATGATGCTGAAAAAGTAGTTTTGTGAACTAATTTGGTACGACTGGTTAATTTGTGATCCTGCCAGAGAATTGTTGATGTCAAGGTGACTTTGGGCAAATTAGAGAGCTGGGGATATTGACTAGGCGATTCTTGTCTTTTGAATGGCTGAATCTGGGTATGTGTCTAGTATTGCTTGCCTGTGTAACCGTTCTCTATTTGACGAATTGAGAAGTAGTTGCTGAAGTTTCAGGGTACGGGGGATCATGGGGTTATCCCTTATGGCTTTCAAACCCGCTAATGGCCCCTTCCCAATAGCTCCTTGTTGGCCCTGCGAGTGAGCAGCGAAGTCTCTAAGGTGTCACCAGCCGGTGGCCTCCAAAGTTATGGAAGGCACAAGGATCCAACTGTATAACTTACCGATGACCTATATGGAGAGGCGTGGGTCGACAAGAGCATAATTGGGAGTGCTGATTTGTGGCCTCTTCTATGCCCAACGAAGGATCTCCATTACAGAAAGCAGAGATCTGATGATCATTAATTACCTATAAACATAGAGGTTTCATTCAGAAGATGACTAGAGGCAGAAACCATATGAGAAGATCAGTTGGTGTGCTACAGAGGTTTGTTTTCTTTTTAAGAGAGGAAGAAGAAAATAAGGTGCGTGGATAGAAGCTAGATGTTCTAGCCCGGCAACAGCTTCAGTTTGTCACAACAGTTTTGCTCTTCCTTATGAAAGTTTTATTCCTGACCACTTGTGTCTTCGTTCGATCTCGTTCCTAGTATCATTCTGGCGCAACATCTGAAACCCAAACACTTCCTATGAAATAAGATGATAGCTCAATCTACTAACATGCCGTAAAGATGATGTGCCCTTTAACTCGTTTTGGTGACGAGATCGATTAGTACGCATATGCATAGGGTTGATGCTGTCATATCCATCATCTCCATCCAAACATTGTTACATATCTGCTCTGAGATCACACGTTTCCCATTCACTCGTTTCATCTCTTTATGTTCAAGAATGATGCTGTAGCCATTCCCACCTGAGCTTTGGCTCCTCCTCCTTTCATCGGTCTTGGATATACTTCTATCTCTCATTACTATTACTTCTGGTGCGGCATTTCTGTTGAAAGAGGATTTCTATAGATTGATGATTCTTCTCGTCTTTCCTTGGATAGAGGCATGTGGCCTTTTCTTAGCGATGCATGGGGCTTAAACCTACCAATCTTAGAGAGACAAAGGCAATAGTAGAGTCATCTGACTATCGTTCGACATCCCTAGGAGTATTCATTTCTACTATCCACTCTCATTTACTCGGGTGCTTGGTTGTCAATTGAATGCCCGACTACGGTTGGAATTTCATATATTTTATATGAATGCCGTGTAAATCATATAAATCACTATTACTTGATCCAATTCTTGCAGAAGGTGCTGGAACATTGCTATCAATGCCATTTTTTCCCCGGTAAAAAAAAATCTGTATTTTGCGTGGCTCTGTTAACTTACCTTGCCCAACTGCGGAATCGTTTTTTTTTTTTTTGATCTGCAACCACAGAATACACAGAACCATTGTTTTAACAAAACGAGAACACTGTCACTGTGCCCAGGTCATCGGATGGTCAATGTGGTTTACTGAGTACCTCTTTCTCGAGAGAAGCTGGGCCAAGGATGAAAAAACGTTGAAGGTACGGGTTGAAATCATAAGAATAATGGACATTCCTTGAGCAGTGACATCCTTAGACTCCCATCTTATATCACGCAGTCAGGTCTCGAACGGCTGAAGGACTTCCCTCGGCCATTTTGGCTGGCTCTTTTTGTAGAGGGAACCAGATTTACCCAGACTAAGTTGCTAGCAGCACAAGAATACGCGGCTTCTCAAGGGTTGCCCATTCCTAGAAACGTTCTGATTCCTCGTACGAAGGTAATTCGACAGAAACGTCTTCATCTACATGCACTTTTTTTTTTTTCCCAAAAGAAAAGAAAATTTCCTCTGTTCTCGTGCTTTTTCTACGGCTAGTCTCTCGTGAACAGTCTAACGTGGTTGCTGCATTTCGCTGCCCTCAGGGTTTTGTATCAGCTGTAAACAATATGCGCTCGTTTGTTCCGGCTATATACGACGTTACAGTAGCTGTCCCCAAAACCTCCCCTCCGCCCACCATGCTCAGATTGTTGAAGGGCCAATCATCAGTGGTGAGGGCTTCAGACTAGAACTCCTTGAAACTCTTCGGATCATCGACAAAACCGGGTTCTTTCAGATTCTGATTCCCCCCCCCCCCCCCCTCCTCTTCCCCACACACACACTGCAGGTCCACGTTTACCTGAAGCGGCACTCGATTGAGGAATTGCCCGAGACGGAAGCTGGAGTGGCCCAGTGGTGCAAGGACGTATTCGTGGCGAAGGCACGCTCTTGGATTCTCTTGCCCGGCCATGATATTTTGCTTGAATCCATTGCAAGTGGTTTATATTCTTCTGCTCACTTGACAGGATGCTCTGCTTGACGAGCACAACGCCAAGGGGACCTTCCCCAATGAGGCGCGGGTCCCACTGGGTCGGCCGAAGAAGTCGTTGCTGGTAGGAGGATGAAGATGGCTCCTACCGTTGACTAACCTCTTGTTGTTTGCCATTTTCGGACGTTAATTTGTCGTTCTTCTCAGGTGGTTCTGTCGTGGTCGAGCCTGCTGATAGTCGGGGCCTTCTGGTTCCTCAAGTGGTCGGCCCTCCTCACCACCTGGAAGGGGGTGGCCATCTTGGCGTCGGGCCTGCTTCTGGTCACCGCCCTCATGCAGGTCTTCATCCTCTTCTCCCAGGCGGAGCGCTCTAAGCCCGCCAGAGCAGCCGCCGCCGCCGGGCAGAAGACCGAGTAGACGATGTCAACGGGCAGTTCTCAGGTGCGTTGGTTCGTAGTCGATTTAGTACATGGAAACTGATTCATTTGTGTTCTTTGGTTGGCGCCTGTTTTGCGCCGCCATCTGTTCGATCTTGTTCTTCCGTCTCGTAAGTAAACCCCATGGCGGCGCCGCCGCTCACTGTTGAGCTAGATGAGTTTTGATCTTGTGATGCTGCTCTCTCCGAGTGGATTTCGCATCGGGCCCACTGACGTATCTTCGTGAGGGGAGAGGGGAATCGTCTCGAAGTGGGGTCGCATTAGATCTTGCGGTCGTGGCATTTTCTTGCTTACCACGTTAGTCCACGCGGTGAATTAACCGCCTAGTTTGACCTCCGCCACTAGAATTTATTTCGGCGGTGTGGACAGACGGCCCCGATCGAGTTTGAGTAGGCCCGGCCAGTCCATCAGGTGGTTGTTGATGCCGCTTTATGTCGTCCAGCGGCGATCACGGGGCTTCTATGAGCTGCCGGCTTCGGGAATAAGGTAATCCGGCGGCGATCATCAACCCGGGAAAGCCATTCTTACTCGGCAAGGAAGCGCCTCCTCCTCTCAATATAATTCCCCCCCTCCCTCTCTCTCTCTCTCTCTATCTATCTCTGGAGTTTCTCAGAGGAAGAAGAATCGCCGCCGTCCGTACCGTCGGAATGGAAGTGGCGCAGCTGCCGCCGGCGTCGCCGCGGGCTGTGGAATTGGGGAGCCTGCGGGCGGTGGCGGTGCTGGGGCGCGGGGCGAAGGGGGTCGTGTTCCTCGTGCGCGAGGCGGCGACGGGGCGGGCACTGGCGCTGAAGGCCGTGTCAAGGGCGACGCTGGAGGGGAAGGCCCTCCGGGAGGAGGAGGCGTACCGGCGGATCTGGTTCGAGCGGGAGGTCCTGAGTGGCCTCCGCCACCCTCTTCTTCCCGAGCTCCGTGGGTTCGTCTCTACTGACAAGATCTTCGGGTTCGTCGTCGATCTTTGCCCCGGCGGCAATCTCACCGCACTCCGCAACCGGCAGTCTGAGAAGATGTTCTCCGACGATACCATCCGGTGGGTCTCTCTCTCTCTCTCTCTCTCTCTCTACCCCTCCATCACTCTCTGTTTCTTTCTCTCTCTGTGGCGGCGTTCCTCAGCTTTCTCTCACCAGGTTTTACGCCGCCGAGCTGGTCCTGGCGTTGGAGCACCTGCATAGGCAGGGAATCGTCTACAGAGATCTTAAGCCGGAGAACATCCTCATCCAGGCCGGTGGCCATCTTATGGTTGTTGACTTCGACCTCTCCGCTAGGCTTTCCCATGCCTGCCCGTCCCCCTCCGGCCACACGCCGCCGGCTCCGGCCAGAAGGAGACGTTCGCCGCTGTGGTGGGTCTCCTGCAAGTCCGGCGGCCGGCGGGAGGACACCGCTGATTCCTCCACGGAGGCCCAGGGGACCTCTACCAGCTCCTGGGAGTCAACGGGGAAGTCCAACTCCTTCGTTGGGACGGAGGAGTACGTGGCGCCGGAGATCATCGACGGCAAAGGCCACGACTTCGCCGTTGACTGGTGGAGCCTCGGGGTGGTGCTCTACGAGATGCTTTACGGGAGGACGCCCTTCCGGGGGAAGAACAGGAAGGAGACCTTCTACTTCATCCTGACCAAATCGCCGGCGCTGGTCGGAGAGAAGACCCCCTTGAGGGATTTGATCGGCCGGCTGCTGGAGAAGGATCCCGGGAAGAGGATCTCCGGCGAGGGGATCAGAGCCCACGAGTTCTTCAGAGGGGTGGACTGGGAATCGGTGCTAGAAATCTACCGGCCGCCGTACATCCCGGCGGCGGAGGCCGATGATCGGGGTGGAGAAGACGACGAGTCCATCGACGTGGAGGAATTCGTGCACGGGGTTTTCGGGGCGGCGGGGGCCGGGAAAGAGAAGGAGAGAGGAGAACCAAACGCCGCCGCCGCCGTCGCCGGAAAGGACGGCCACTGGGTGGAGCGGCTGAGCAGCCATCAGTTTTCTCCAAAACCCGCCGAGTTTCTGGTCTTCTGATCATTCTCACCGGCTGCGACGGAAGAATGCGGGATCAAAGCCCATGGCCGGTTAATTATCGTACAGTAAGAAGCACTCTTCGTTAACTCGTTCACAGACGACGGCGACGGCGAAGGTAATTAAAACAGACTGTCCGCCACCACTCTAGCAGCAACAGTGGTTGGGCGGCGAGGTGACGGCGCCACCGCCCACTATCGTCCCCGAAGTGGATCACCGGACCACGCGTGGGGTAGGCACGCAAGGTCGGTGCTTTGGATTTCATGGCGAGCTTGATAGGGTGGTTGCCGGCAGCGGGAGGCCCAGCCGAGGAAGACAAGTCCTCTTTTAATGGGCGTCCCCGCCGGCGACGGCAGAGGCGGAGGAGGAGGAGGAGGTCGGCGACGTGGCCCACTTCCTCATTCAGGAGGCGACGAAAAGGACTTGGGCATTTACTGGGCCAGCCTGTCGCCATCTCCGCCGCCATGGCCGGCGAGCGAAGACTACTGTCGGTGACCGTCGTTCCATTGCCCCCTCGGTAGGCTGGCGTGGAGAGGAAGAAATGCCCTTTCAAAAATTATCACCCTTTTGCCCACATTCGATTAGTCAAAGTATACAGAGACGCGTCCCAAGTTTTCATGATTTTAATTTTTTCCGGTGTATATATTTTTCAAAATGTGAAAATTATGCTTCTGGCTTCTGTCAACGGATCAGTTCATTCATTGCAACCTGACCGTGGGTCACGTGGTCCAAGAACTTCGGCGTAGATCTCCCCTGGCTCATCCGCCGAGCTCTTAGAAGATTTGACCACATTGTCCTAAATTGTCAACGGGTTTTTGGACCCGTTGAATTTTATTGAATGGCATTCTTGGTTTTGGCTCAGGCCACCATCACAGAGCACATGCGGGTTGTAGCAGGGGGGCGTTTTTCCATGCAGCAAATCAGAGTTGACTTTTGAACGAGGACGGTCGAGAAGGCACGTACAAGTCGCGTCTATATATGGTTGACTAATTTACTCGGATGGGTTCCGAGGTCAACCTGTGAACCGAACTGGTATATACTCTTTTGTATCGATATTTCTTGCTGTGGGTAATTGTAAAAATTAGTTATTTATGGTTTCTCCACATCCATCTCCGTCGTTTCCTATGGATGAGGTTCTAAGGATTTGAGCTTTATTTTTCTTTTATTATTATTTTAATATTTGGGAAAGACCTTGCAAAGTCAAACCAGTGACGTCTTTTAGATTTAAAGACCTGGGCGTGTGTGGGTGAAGCCCTAATAAAGTCGTCCAAATGTCCGGGAGTTAGCCATCGACCAAGATTACTGTACCTTCAAAAATGATTGTTTGACCATCCAAAAATCGGTTCTTGAAAAGCTAGACCCAAGCCGAATCCAGAAAACCAAGGACGCGGTTCTGCTCCACACAACACCAACCTCCAGTTCACCAGGTCGCTGGGTGGGCTTCTTCTTCGTCTTCCTCTTCTTCCCTCTCGTCAGCAAGGAAACCAGAATGGCCTGGGGCAATGGAAAACCTCAAAGTCCCGGCATCTTCGTGGCATAGATGGAAGGGAGACGCCTCGCCGTCATCTGCTCCCACTTGGGCCAAGTCAGTCCCCGCCGGCCGGCTTCCGCAACGGGATCCGGTCGGCCTCCCCCTGGCGGAGTCCACACGTCTGCTTGTGAGGGGAGCGGTGGGGGGACAGTTCCCAGGAGCGGGAGGCTGGGGATGGGAAATTGCATCTTCTGCATGATCGTTCGCGGAGAATCCCCTGCTTTCAAGGTTTCAATTCACATCCCAACTTCATATTTCGTTCATCCTTCGGGTGAATTCATTCATCTCAGCATCGTAATTTCGATTCTTGGGCGTCTAATCGGAAAGAAGACATTTCCCTCCAAATCCGCCGTTTCAGGATCTTCCATGCGTTTTTGGTTTAGGCGGTACTTCATCGAGGTTGCATCTGATATGAAATATCAGTGGGAATTCGGCTACATCACTGTGATCAGTGATTAGTCTGCGTAAATAACACTGGATCATCATGCTCTGTTGAACTCGGATTTATTCGAGTAATGTTGTCACAATGACTTCGACAGTGCTTATTACCGTTGTTCCCTCAGTGAAGGTCTTTTATTTGTGTTATAATATGTGGGGCCGCTGCCCTCTTCCTATTAAGGTCTAATTATTTCAAATGTGGCGACATTAATGATATTACTTAATTGAAGATTTACTGTTGAAATGCTCATACATTGGTTTAACTTGATTATGAAGGTGCCAGGAAAATCATGTTTTCTTCAAAAAAATTAGTAGAAGACGGTAAGATCTCTATGGCTCGCAAACCTTTTTTCGGCCTCATCAAATGTTTTACCTCTTTTTTTGAATTATATATATCGTTTTTAGTCGTATGATAATCAAGTTATCCTGCACGTTCTGGTCAGTGTAATGCATTAAAAATTCAGCGTACGGTTTCATTTTTATTTTTAAAAATAGAGTTTTTTTTTTCTGAGTCATCATAATTGAAATCAAGATGTTGATTGGCCGCCTATTTTCTCCTTGTACAGCTTTATGAAGATGACATCTGCCTCTGTATCCTGGATTCAAATCCATTGACTCCTGGGTATGTTTCTCACTGCTTTTCTTGAATATTCGTTTGTGTTCAGATCGAATTCCCTGGAAAAACATCAATACTTAATGATAAACTTAAGTCATCGACAAATAACTTCCCCCAAGGGAAGAATCCCTTTCGAAGAACAGCTTATCGTATGAAATTAAGATATTCTGGAAAAATCCGTGCAATCTATGACGACATTTAATGGAAGATGGATTTGAAATCTTGGAAATCACTGTCCGAAAACCCAGTTAAATCGGTTATTTCTTTTAATGTTGGAAGAAACTCCTGAACCTCGGGCAGCCTTGATCCTTATAATTATGCTGTTTCCCTGATTCTTAGTCTGTATATTCTATACATTTCACTGTTTTCAGGCCTATTTAGAGCATAAACAGTGATAGCATACCAATGTAAGATATTGGATTTCTTGATTAATTTGACTCCAACCTTCTGGTTTGTTTTCTTCTCTTGTAGGCACTCCCTCATCATTCCAAAATCTCACTACACATCATTGAAAGAAACTCCTCCTCTTGTAAGTTTCACTATCCCTATTTTAGTGTACCTCTGCCATAAATTACTGTAAATGCTCATGATGGCCTCTGTCGACCAAGAAAAAATTCCTATTATTTCCTGGACTCCAAGTATTGTTATCTTTGTGTGAGTACAAATCTGTAATATCTCTATTTATTGTCTAGGATAGGATAGTTCTTCAGTCCTGTCCTTCAGTCACGAGCATGACCTCCATGGAACTAGGTAAGGGCTCCATTTCTCATTCATTGTGCCACTTAGTTATCACCGGGGGTACGACTCAATCATTCACACTTGGAAATTCTGGGAAGGGTAATCTTCGGACTAAAGTATCCATCCAAGGTGTTAAATAGATTTTTTTGGGTTTTAACCGACCAGCGTATCCAAATATTTGATGGTTGCCACTACAAGCATGCATAAATGCGTCTTGATGAACTCAATTTTGTTTCCTTTTTTCGTAAATTCATGATCTTGAAGGAGGGTTGATTCTGGTTTTTACCAATTGGAAACGATGTCGAATTTATACTTATGTAGGGATTGTTAAAAGTCTGCTGATATTTCAGATTTTAGATTATGATACAATGGATTGAAAGTCGGAATGTTTGTATTGTAATCTGAATCAACAATGCGAAGAGTTCGAAGTGTGAGTTAATTCCATACCTTTTCCCTTCTCTTTGTTGGATTCAGATGACTTTCCTTCCGCCTCTAACTGCATCTGCTATAGAAGCTAGCCTGGTTTGTTCAGTGTTGCCACATGTCCTCTGTGCACTTCTCGAGCATTAAGTCATATATTTGTCTCTAGTGTGTATCATTTAATCACTATTCTTCATCCAAAAAGGATCTTCTCTTTGTCTCCGGTGATCTGGAGAAATTTATTTTCCCCTGTTATTTCTACTTCATTTCCGTCAGCCTCTTATACTCTCGGTTGAATGATCCTGACGATCCATCCTCTTTTGGTGTTAAAGGTTCCTAATCATCTCAACAGTAGTTGAGAGCTAACGACCTCCAGGTTTCTAAGTTCTTTGGAGGTGAAGTTCTTGAGGTTCGAAGTCCAGGGACAAGAGAAAAAATTATACATGATTTATTTGAATGTTTTTGGTTCCTATGTTGAATATGAGCATTTGAAAAAATGGTGAACGAAGGCTATCACTTGAAAGCCAGAAGAATGCTGAAGTACTATTGGTCTTGTTTGGTTTGTGGGCTAGAATCCTATGATTACTGGGGCTGGATACGCCCGACTCGACAGTATTTGCCTCTGTTTTTCTGTGTGTGTGTGTGTGTGTGTCTGTGTGCGTATGAGAGAGAGAGAGAGAGATTCTGCCACGTGGGTGGTCTGAGGTCAAGCAAGACAGAGTAGACGTTTGACCCGGTCTCTTTATCAAAGCCTGCACTTGGCCAAGTGAAACCCCTATTTGATTCTTGTGCTTAATGTCTCTGTGCTTCATACTCTTATCTCCTTGTCATTTTTCTATATTTTCTTCATTTTTTCTGTAGTTTGTGTACCGTTTATGATTTATTTCCAAATTATTTGACGTGTTTGACGAAGGTTTTATATGGGCGAGATTTCTGGACCTTGGCCAATTTAGCATGGGATTGAGTCTCAGATCCGAGCCCCGACTTTAGTATGCTAAACATGTGGTGACTTCTTATAAATTTTCCCAACTTTTCGTTACAGGTGGTAGCCGCTATGTGCTCCATTATACCGCTTCTTAGCAACGCAATCATGAAAGCTACGAAATCTGGCAAGTTATAATGATATCTACATTTCTCTTATATTGATCTTCTTTCAGTAGTACCCATGCCAAATGATGCTTGCAAGCACCCTCTACTGACAGAAAACCCATAGAATTAGAATCCTAATCAAGATTTGTTGGATAACTGCTTACCGCGGAATCATAGAGATCCCAGTGGGATGTTAATGACTCAACCGAATAAGTTGACTCCTACAAAGGGTTTGAACCTCTCGGTTTTGTTTCAACAAGAAACTCATGGGACTCGAAATCCTTTGAGAGACGTGAATGACTTGTATAAGTCAATGGAGTTTATTACTTGGAACAAGGGTTTTCGGCGACCAGGTGGGAGGCGCCCATTTGTGGATGAGCAGCAGCAAGGCTAGCCCTTACTCGACCCTATTCCGAATGATGAAAACACAGACGTCAGACCCTATTCCGAAATACGAGCAAAATATGAACACCGAATGTGACTCTACTATATTCTCTGGTGACTAGTTTACTTTAGCCATTCTTTATGATTGTCCAGTGCTCTTCTCACAAATGCCTGTGCATGCATGTGCAAGACAGATTCGTTCAACTTGCTTGCGAACTCTGGGGTCGCTGCTGGACAAGTAGTATTTCACGTGAGTTGGTTTACATGCTTCTTCTACATACCCAAGGAGTCCGAAGTCTTTGCATAAAACTTGCTTTTGATCTATTTCATCTTCCCATAATCTTCTTTTTCGTTGAATCTGCAGACCCATCTTCACATCATCCCTCGCAACGAAAACGACTGCTTATGGAGATCAGAGGTAAGAAGGATCCAGCCAAGCATACCGGGCCCTTTTCTGGGTGGGTCGAGTCTAACGTCCAACCTCCATTGGCAACTGCGCAGAGTTCTCAGAGGAAGCCCCTCAAGCAGACCCACGAAGCGGCCACTCTCGCGGACGAAATCCGGGAGCAGTTATCCTTTCCAGACAAGCGCCGCCCCGGCAGCAGCAGCTGCGGAAATCACGAAGAACCCAAGCTCAGTGGAGACGAATAGATCACGTCCTGCTTCACTTCTTTGTACCGAACCATAAAGAGTTCTATATACAGAGTTGGAGATTCCTCGATCCTGTGTCTGTAAAACTGGAGTCGGAAGTACAATCGATCTGTTTGCTGTTTTCCAAGGCCCTCATATCTCGAAAGTACCCTGCAGCCACCGCTGTCCACCTGTTCTGTCTACCAGCAGCCATCGCTCTACTCTTGCCCCGCGGCTTACGTGGCGCTCCCCTCTCGGCCTAGCTGGAAGAAACGCTCTAACACCTCACCAGTGGTAGTTTACTCCCCTCCCTGGCGAAACCCTTTGTTGCCAGAAACGTGGACGTAATGGGAGCGAAATGGTGGCGGTCTCTCCGTCTGCGTCTCCTCCGCTACTTTTGTCGATGGGGAAGTTCCTGCCAGGTTTATACTCCGTTGCTCTAGACCCGCTCCTCTGGTTGGTGAGGTCTGTTAGACACTTTGTCGCATCTCCGGTCACATGGCTCGGTCACACGAAAAGGCTAACTCGGTGAAAGCCTAGCGTTCGCCTCTGGCCAGTCAGCAGGCGCCGCTGAGGTCAGGAGCAACTGCAGCTGTGGGCTCTGGTAATTTGCCAGCCACAGTATGGATAAATCCATGGACGGAGAAATTTATTGCCTCTAACCTAATCCTTGTCCAGCCGTTATCGAATGTATGGACCGCTTGCAGATGAGTTTTCCCTCAGGATAGGTTAAAGCGTTTAAAATTTCAGCCAAGGGGAATGAAAGTATACCCCAACCAAAGCAAGGAAGCAGGAGGCCACCACCCAAGACCAGACATCTCGTGGAACAGCGGTCGCTGACCTTGAGATCTGCCATCAGCCTCCCTTGTTCATGCCGAGAAGATGCAATACGATAATAAGGAACCTACTCGTGGATGCTGTGTCGCGTAGCCAGAGGAGCCTTTAAATGCTAGTCAACGTAACGCATGCACATAGGAAAGGCTCTGATTGGATCAAAACTGGAAAGACGAGGATTCCGCGGGCTTTTAATGGCTTTCGCGCCAAAGTGCAACTTGTTGCCACAAACCGGTTTGGAGAGAAGACCATTCAATTGCTAGGTGCGGAACTACCTCTATTAGGGTAAAGCTGATGGGAGCCACACCTGCTCAAGAATTTTCAGAGAATTGCCATGCGTTCTTACTATCTTGTTAGGGCAGACGCATTAAGAGGAGGGCAGATCATCATAGCACAGAGAGTGTATTGAAGATACTCGTCTGCTTGGACCCTACTATAGCCATCAACCTACGGCTTTGGAGCTAGCACACAACCGTGACGGTACGGATGATGGATTTCTTGATTCTAGGTCGTGGGATTAGACGAAATTCATATATCGTCCAAAAGAGCTCGTACAGAAACATATCTCGCTTGGAAGGTCATGAATAGGGGTCCCTGAAAGGGGAAAATGGGCCAAGGGAAAGACTCGAATTTGGCTTCACTGGAGAAGGTCGAGAGGATACTTTGTATTCTCTATCTTCAGGCGGGGAGCCGACCTCCACTTCTTTTTTTAAAATAAATTATCGTCCAAAGTCTCGCGTTCATCCCTCAAAAGTTCTATCTTGCATTGGTTACTCATATTCTATCATATAAGTACTTCTAGAAAATAAAATTTACACCTCTTTATTATTCTTATAATTAAAATCTTGCTCTATTTGTAAACTTACACCTTGCAATATTGTTTTGAAACGTTGCATGGGCCCCATATCCCAGCCGCGGAGCTATACGTTAAATGCGGGCCCACCTCTTTGTCTCCTGCCCCTCCCCCCGCTCCTACTCCCCCCTCTCACGCCGTACCTTTTTCCTCAGCCATTCCAACCTCAACAGCCATAGCCACGCCTCAAAGCCCTACTCCATCGTTCTCCTCCTTCATCTTCGTCGACTGTCTCTCTCGCTCCCCACTCTGTACATTGATCGACATATTGTCCTTATGGAAGGATCCTCCTCATCGACAGGTTTCCCTCCTGACCTCTTCATCTCCTTCCATACTCAGGAGCGTAACCTCTTCAAGCGCCTGGTCCTTGAGCTGAAGATGCACCACATTATGGCTATGGGAGTCATTTCCTTCTGGATGTGGCTCGAGAGCGTCGGCCATCCTACTTTCATCCAGCGAATGGCATCCATATCTATTGAAACCATCCTTGGCCTGGTAGTCGAAGCTGAGACCTGCCTCGCGGCGATCCTCATCGATGCATCTGATCCTCTCTCCGTAGCAGCAAGGAGAGACGCACTCGCACTAGCCTCAGAAGGGTCTCGATCAACCGTTGATCTTCGGTATCTCAACTTTTTCTGGGAAGTGGCGTCTACGGGAGTCACATCCATCTTAAACAGTGTTTGTCCTCGGATCTTCGGGGACCTTTTTCCTATCACATCCTCCAACAGTATCTCTCATGGCCCTCGAGGCGTGAACGATGGGCTGATCGATAATGCCGTTGGGGAAGGTAATACCACGGAGAGGGGTATCAGTGGCATTGGGATGGTGGCTAGGGGTGGTATTCTTGGGCCTTATGATGGGGAATCCAGCAGGAGTCCAGAGAACCGGCCGAGATCATGTAGCACTGGGGTTCTGATAAAGTCAATGAGGGGAGGTGGACTCTTGGACCAATCTTCACATCTTGAAATTCAACATCACAGGGACGGTAATGGTTCGGTTTGGGGACATCGAGGGATGTTTAACCTTGAAGGTAGGCGTCCTCCCAACATGCAAGATTCAGAACAACAGAACTACCTGCAGATGTTGCTCGACGAAGGCATTGGAATGGTATTTCAGCAAAATGAGAGGGATATAGGAGTCGGAGGAGCCCATGCGCCTCCAAGAAATGTAACCATCGTCGGTTGTGGGAGAAACCGAGCTTCAGTTTCAGCCAATAATTCGAGAAATGCGGCATCACCGTTACCTCCTCGTTCCATGATGCATCAGGGATCCAACTTAAGCCAAAATGCGCGAGCATGGATTCCACCAGAGCGATATGTTCCAAGGGACGAACGGACGTTATTCATCACTTTCTCCAACGGGTACCCCTTGGGCGAGAGAGACCTGTTCCATTTTTTTAATGGGTAATCACCATCTCTCCTCTCGTATTATATATAAGATATGATCCGTCTTCCTCATTATGAAGAATACAATGAATAATATAACTCTTCTTTTCATCTTAGTGAGCTATATGTTGAATATTCCAGGTCCTCTCCTATTAAAAAGATACTACAGACATTCTACAAAATTATAACCCTCACCTTCATCACAATATTTTACAACTTCCGGAATAAGCTATTTCATATCATTACATCACTGATCACAGCTTGATTCCTCATGACTATACATGATGCACTTCACCATCGTCTATTTGAAAGAAAAGAGATATTCAAGATTCCATCATTTAAGAGGCCAAAAATGTCTTTGGTATATAATATTGTGGTAGATTTTATATGGTTGCCACATATTAACATTTAAGTCAGACCCAAAGCTGGTGACTTGGTTTACAACTTATGAGAAAGAGAAGATTTTGTCATCTCTGAAAAAATTAAAATGTGTTCAATAGATACTGACTTGGTTGTTAAGATATTTGATATTCACTTCTAAGAGGATCACATATAGCTACCTACTTGTAATCAACAGGTGTTAGCATCCTTTCTCTACTTTAAAAATGTGTACAACAATTGTAAACTATTTTATACTCGGTTTGTGCTTAATGAGAAAGGTCATGCTCTGTTGTCTGCAAAAAAATATATCATTTTTAATGAACAATTAATTTTTAGTCAACGTATTTGATATTCCTTTCTAAGGGATCATTCTCAATCAATATGTTAACATTGTTTTATTTTTCTTGTAAATGTATACAATCATCATAAGTTATTTTATGTGGTTTTTGGTTCATGAGAAAGTTGAGTGTAAGCTATGTAAAAACTTTTGAAATTTTCTAATGCATTAGATAGAAGTGACTTGGTAGTCAAAACTTTTGATTTGTCCTTCTTGGGATCATTTTTCATTATCCTATTCATAGTCCGTGCATTAGGATTCCTTTTCTATCTTCGAATTTTATAGAAACATCATTAATCATTTTACATTTGGTTTATGGTTAATGAGAAAGGTAAGCTTTTTTTAGCTTTATATTTTTTTAATATGTTAAAAAAATAGTGACTTCATTGTTGACATATTTTATTTGTATTTTTAAGGGGATCATGTGTCATTATCGAAGTCTTAATAAATAATGTAAGCTTTAGTTTTTAGTTTTATATCTTGTGCATTTGTTGTGGATTATATACTATTTCATTTATGACTAATGAAAAGTGAGGTTCTGCCATATTTGAAGATTACCTAATAGGTTTGATATATAATATCCTTTTTTGAAATCCTTGATTTATCTTTTGAAGGGGATATCTTGTTGTTGGGATGCTCTTCATAAGCCTTATTATCGTTACTACTAGTTTGTCTATTTTCAGATCTTATAACCATCATACATTATATCACAATCTTTCAATTGTGTATAATATTTTAAATAAGGAGTCAAACAAGATGAAAAGAAAATCTGTTTTGTCTTGATCAACAAGTGTGGTATGATATGACACAGAAAAAATGTGACAATTTTACTATGCAGATGGTTATTAAGTTTCATGTCACTTTGGTTCAATCTAAAAGGGGTAATTTGCATTATTATCTCACAAATGCAATAGTTACAATGAAAATATAAATTAATGGAGTAAACATATACATTACATGTTTTTCATTAAATTATGACGTCTACTTCATCTTTCTTCTGAAACATTTTTAATGATACTATAGTGATTGTCATTGCGTTTTGAGTACCTGTTGGATTAATTAATATTTATGATATTGCAATATCTGTTAGCCCATTCTCCTAAGTCACTGGATTTGCTGTTATGATATGCTCTATTAAATAAGTTAAAGATCTTTGAGATAATAGGGAAGCTAGGAAGTGGAATTGAAATGTTTACATTTTTTAGAACACATGTGGAATTGTTTAAGAATGGTGTTCATCATGATGAAGGTGACAAAAGAATATTGGCATGATTAAACTGCAACGAAACTATTAAATATGGAATACAAGTCTAGTCCTCTACTTAGTTGTTATATAATTATCGTGGGTCATTGTGTTAACCATTGTTAGTGTAAAAGTGGGATAAGTTAAAACATATTACTTCAAGATGTATGCCATGTACTATGTAAAAGTATTATTAAGCAATAACCATAGCCTGGTATAAAACTCTCAAACAAGAAAAAAATATCCATATGCTAAATGGTGTATTATTTAGTATTTTTTGAAGAAATCATCATTAAACATAATAGGAATATACATATGCATGAAATCAATCATTAATCGTGCATAAGATTTTAAAGGTTTTATTTTTTCTCTCTCTTTTGATACCTCTATTTCTTATGGTCACATTTGTACTGAAAATTTTCTTAATTAAATGTGCAAACTTAATATCTGTGGATGAACTATGTGTTGGGCCTTTTACCATTTTACTCCTAACTCGTGACCAAAATGGAGAAAAGAATTTTATGTTTGCTCATGTCTTGCATCGAATCTCTAAATAGTGAAATTCGGTTTTGTTGGAGCACATAATAAAAATACTTTTTTTGACAATAAATTGCATGAATGCTTCATGATATATACGTAATTGAAATTTAACCCTCACTTGGTTCCTTTTGAGGATGATAAAAAATGAAGGATAAGAGCTTTCATCTTTAAATAAACTAGAAATTATGTACTAGGGCAAATTATTTAAACAGATTATTTTAAGCGAGTGTTCTTTCTATCATCAAGATATTTGTCAAGTAAACTTGCTTTGAAGTTATAAGTGGACCACCAAAAGTGATTTAATCGTAATATTACTTTATTAATGCCTTCGTTTACCATAAACCATTTCACTGCAGCTCCTTGACAACTATATTGAACTACCTCACATTCTGTATTTTTCCAATCATCAAAAGATGTATCTTATTTAAAATGTGTTTCTAACTTCGCTCTTAGTATGCTTATTTGAATATAGATTGTGCTATATTTCTTCTATTACGTACATGGAAGCCAAATTTTATCACTTTGGGTATGCATAATAGTTTTGGTGGATATGTGATATTAGATCCTTTGATAATTAAGATCTTTTATGTCAAAAAAGGAATATACCTGCCTAGGCCTTATCAATCGAAAACTGTATATATTTATTTCCTCTATTTGGTAGTTTTTAGGGAACTTATTGTTTAAGATGAGATCGTTCGAAATTATTTTTAAAATTATATTTATTTACATTGTATTCATGTGATCAGGAAACTAGGGCCTTTGGAACAAACAATAAGATTTATGAGCGCTAAAGTGGACGATACATTACATGACTTGTTTCCGTTTTTTCTGATGTCAGTATTGGAGGCTGAAATTCTTGGCATGACATTCCAAGATATGATTTTACCTTGAAGAATGAAGACAATTGTTCGTCGAGATTCTTAGAATGAAAAGTTTTCTTTCGAACGCAGGACCTACGGTGGGGTAGAACTGATATACATTCAACAAGTGGAAGGCGAGGAGTATCCCTTGTTTGCTCGGGTGGTCTTCGTCGCACAGGCGCTTTGCTTCATAGTCATGAATGGGAAGGAAAAGATGAAATTCATGATACGGGGGAGACACGTCTGGGTGAGGCGTTATGTTCCCAAGAGAAAGCGCAAAGGCCAAGGACGCAAGCGGTTCATCGAGATAAAATGATCTGGTACAATCTTCTTAAACGAGTTTCACCACGGTGAGGTGCCCTCTCTACTACGACCGAGTCTCTAGGAAAAGATCGTTTGTCCATATAACCATGGGTAAGGGTTGCTCCAGAACTAGGTTTCCCTCGGGTTTACTGACATAATTGTGTGTTGTTTGAGGAGTTTCTCTTTATACTCTAATAACTTGCTTGTATGCATTGAGACATCCCTTTCCTTCTATTCTGCGTCTTTCGGCTCCTATGACCCAGGTACAGGTATGTACCCAACCTTATGTGTCATGAGATGATTATTTAGCGTATACAACAACCTCGATGTGTGGCCAGATATGCATATGATTGATTATTGCAAGCCGAATAGTATGCATTACGCCATGGTTTTATTTAGCTCATCTCGATAAGTTTCGTGCTTTTATTTCTGTAGATGATAAATACTACATGTGCTCTGCTGGAAGAACTGATAGTTTATGTTACCATAAAAAACACGGGCTCATCAGGAATGAGAAATGCGTCTGTATAAATGACCATTGATCTCCCTCTTTCCGAAGCATCGGAAATCGAGCGCAGAAAGAACGCGGACAAAAGCATTTAATAGTTTACAGAAGCATTCATATCGTTATTGGAATTTACAAAAGCCTTATAAAGGATTCTTCAATAAATCTGAAGTTTCACAAAACTCAGCCGGTGAAGTGTTGACAAAAACCTGTCAACCCTCACATGCTGTCAACAAACTTCAGAAGAATCCTCAAGTCGTGGAGGAAGAAGAGGGTGTCTTCTTTATTCTCTCACGAGAATAAAGAAGCCAAAAAGAAGAAAGCAGAACTCCAAAGTTAGTGTCTGAGATGTATACACCAGTACCTCAACTCCTATGAATTATCCATTCCTCCATCCTTTCCCTAAGTTCCCACAAACTTCAATCTCCGCTTTGGGGTTTGTAAACATAGATCTAAGCGTCATTCCAAACCGAAAATATCGGCGCTCCAAGGCAGACTGCCGCCATGTTACTACTCGGCCTCTGAGGAACGGCTTGCCCGGAGTTGGGAATCCAGTTGTTGCAGGGAACGCTAGCCGAGGACTGCTGGGAGAGGTAGTAGATATTCCGACTCGAGTACGGATCGGTGGATGCCAACAGGTTCTCATAACCTAGCTGCTTCACCTCACTCTCGCCCAGCCCGCCAAGCCCTTGACTGGGATGGCTGTGGTCGGCCGGTACCGTACCGAGGGGAACAGAATAGCCGTTTCCCCCGCCGACGACAGCGTGGTGGGTCCCGCCACCTCCGCCGCCTGCGCCGCTATAGATGAACGAGTTCGAAGAGCCCGAGCTATGCTCCATCGAAGACGAGTCCAAGCCCACCAGGTTGTGGAAAACCGATGGCTGGAAGAGGCTCTGGGTGGCGCTGCCCAGCTGGAGATGGTGGAGGTCCTGCAATGCCGTGATTGTATCCTGCTCCTGCTTGCACCAGACACGTTGCTGTCCGTACGGGTAGGGTATGGCCAAAGGCGGTGGCGCCGCCTGCGGAAATGCGATCGTTGACCATCCATGATGGTGTGATCCGTAGTTACTAATTCCCTCTGTGAGTTGGGATGTAACGCGGTCGTCGTTCCTCCTTCCGTCGATGCTGGCTTCGTTGTGATCGGAGGCTTCCTTGAGCCGCTTTGCCGCGCCTCCAATTGGCAAGGCGCTGCTCTCAATGATGCTCTTGACGTCGTATCGGCTCATGTCGAAGTTTGTGACGGCGTTGAGACCTCGGAATTTAATGGCGGCGATGTCGTAAGCCTCCGCTGCTTCTTCTTGGGTGCCTGCGTACGGAGAAGATGTAGTTCTACAGTTTAGAAACCATGTTTTTTTCATCATCCCCTATTCTTTTGTCATTTGATGAAATTTTTTCAGTATATAATAAGTAAATCAAGAGGTATGTTTCATATTTTCAGCTAACAATGAGCAGATTATAAATAATTTATATTTCTAATAACAGTATTTGGGATTAAAGTTTAGAATGTATTCGTGAACAAAAGAAGAATGCCTTTTGAAACATAATTTTTTTTATATAAAAATTATCTTTGAATCTTACTGAAGGTTCCCAAGTAGAGATCTTTGTTCCCTGCTACCCTTCCAATTCTTGCTTGCCACCTCCCATGCTGGTGATGCCTGTGACACAAGTCGCTCTGATGAGGGGCAAATACTAGCGGCAATTTCTTAGAAATTTAACATACCAGATCTTTATTATTATCATCTTAAACCAACAGTAAGATACTCATAACAGTAAAAAGCTGATATCCTGATGATACCTATGCATGTATTCAAGAGCTAAGGCCGCAAGAACATACCTTGTGACACCTCGATAGATAGATGCTCCTCGAGAAAACCCACTGCTTTTCCTGCATCAAAGATAAGGGAGCAAGCTATCAACAGCATGGCTCTGCTTTCCTTCCTAGGAAGTTGACCGATGGGGTAAAAGGCATTACCTTCTCAGAGATGCAACATATTCCTGCCTGGTCATATGCTTCATCTCCTCAAGCTCTTTTTCATAATTACTTATCTAAAGCAACATTGCCAACACATTCAATTAAACACATGCTATATCTTGACGATATGTATGGAAAAATTTGTTTAATAGACCCATCCCAAAGACGAGGGGATCAGAACTGTACAGGGAAGTTTGTTGTTGTGGTGGTTCCCCAGTACTTCAGAGCAGCCAAATCATAAGCCCTGGCCGCTTTTTCTTCCTTGTCGTAGCCACCTGTAGCAACACATAATGATCTTAGAAAATATGGCACCCCGGAGTTCGTCTTTTTTCCTTGATATTTCACTAAGGAAACTAGATCCGGACAAAACAGATACTGTTTGACGCTCACCCAAGTACACTGCATTGGAAGGAAGAGTTCCAACCCCGCACCGGACGACGACATATGATAAAAATAACAAGGAAAAAGAAGTAAATTAGCAGAGGGTTTGGTTATTTTAGATTTAAACGCTGGTAAACTACTTGGCATACACACCTTGTCTGCCCTTACGTGTCTGCCCTTCCCTTCTACAACTGTTGTCCCACAGATGAGCTTCATATCGACCCGTCCATCTATGCCTGCAGAGGGAACTTTCAGGAAGCTGTTTTCTCGGGGGGTTTCATCGAATATCAAAAGGGGAAGTCTAAGGCAGCCAGCATTGGTAAAATATTGTCTGCTCTCACAAAAATAGTTTGAATCTATGGTGTGAGTACTATCCTGTGTACGTCTTGGCGATTGCAAGGGGAAAAGAAATGCAAGATTACAAAAGCAGACTCTAGAAATATATTAAAGGGCAGTTCATAAGAGCCCAGGAGTAGCGCATCCAGTGTACGTTTTAAAAAAGGGAAAATATGGAACTTTCATGTTCTCAGCCGTAAAAAAAAAGGAACTGTCATGCGTAGCCTCGGCAAAAATGGAAGGGGAAGAAGGGAGAACCGGCGGGGTTCTCGGATAAACCACTTTCCGAAGGCATACAACATCCGAAAAGAGAACAGATGTCGAAAATGTCGTAAGAAATCCGAGGCTGATCTCCCCTGCGCGATATCGACGAGAATGGCGTATTAGATCCTTGGATCACGATTTTTACTTGAGAAGAAACCAATACAAGAGATGATGACATGGGTCACGGATCCTCTCTCATAGATGAGGAGAATGATCTCTAAAATGAACGTGTAACAATGGAAAATAATGTAAACATAAAGATAAGAAAGACATTAATGATTCCATATGAGACTTTAGTGGATGACGAAACCTTGTTACACCGCGATATATCGAAGTCCGTTGCCCGAAGGTGTCAATGGATTTCCTTGTTGCTGCTTCCATGGAACCACTCTGTACATCGAGGGCGGTTCCGCTACTATTAGTCTTTTGCTTATTGTCCGCCGAGGACGAGCTCTCCGCGCCACCGCCGCCGCTTGCACTCGCCGCCATCAGCGGGAGGGGTGAGCTCGACTGAGACCCGGTGCTCATCGACAGCGACAAGCTCTGAACGTTACTCGGATTCACGCCAGCATTCCGCACAGAAGATGACACAGCGCCGCCCGAGACGACCATATCGGTCACCCTGCCATCCTGCTGCGGGGGGCCTGGCTGGCTTCTCAGCCAGGTTTTGATCATCGACAGCCCGATGGAGTTGCTATTGTTAGATCCGCTGCCTCCTGCAGTGTCGGAAACGGAGACTGCCGAAGCAGCCGGAGGGAGCTGAAGGGAACAGTTGGAAAACATGTAGGCCGCGGAGTTATCGTAGGTGCCGCCCATCGAGTTGCACCCTGGCTGGAGGCTCCGGTTGTTGTCAGGGAAGGAGTTCCCTCCGAGGAAGTCTTCCAACTTAGGCTTTTCAACTTCCATGTCGTTCTGGTTGCTTGTGGATCCCACGACCATCGACAGCTCCGATGCGTTCCCTTTGAAATCTAGGCTCTTCATGCTCCAATCTGTTGAAATAAGTAAAAATATCGCCCGGAGAACCAGGATGAGTATCGATCAGAAGTGCAATAATTTATAGTGGAGCATATATATCATCCCTCGTTCTCAACTAAAGTTTGGTTTCTAAAGAAAACAAATACGTCCCCAGGATCTCTGTAGAGGCATATAACCGACCTTGAGACTGTGGCTGAGACCTATTGAATGCTTCAAGGATGCCAAATGGCCCATCCGTCCTCAGATTCGGGATGTTGAGTCCTTCAGTGGAGGACTCTGATGTAAGCCCAAAGCAGTCGGCAGAGACATCATCGCCGGAGATTAGCCTGTGATTCTGGTGGGGCTGAGGCGGTGGGAATTCCTGTGGAGAGAGAGAGAAAGCCAACCAGTTGTTCATAGAAGCCATTAAAGAGAAGTGGAGTCTGGTCCGCTCTCTGAGTATTACAGATATGCGAATGAAGAAGAGGAAGGTTATCGCTCTATTTCAGGATGTGAAGAAAAGAGAAGAGAAGCAGAAAAGGAGCCAGGATGGGGTCGATGCGAAGGACTCCTTCAGGGGGAACGAAGGAAGGAAGTGTTCATCGTCGAGAGATGAGAAGAGAAAAAGGAGGACCCCCAGCGGTGGTGTGCTTGTGGCGGGCAGAGAAGAAGATGAAGCAAAAGAGGAGGAGGAAGAAGAAAGGTCAGAAGAGCAACCGGGGAAGAGATAGGTAACTACAGGAAAAAAGGCGTGATTATACATACAGCCACCATATATACGAATACGTATATTTATGGCTGATTCCCGACGGCGAGATATTTGTTCGGAAGAACATAATATTTATGACAAAATAATGCAATAAACTATATCTTGAAGATTCTATACATCTAGTGCTTTCTGAGGAAGAATTATAATAATGTGCACAAAAGGAATGATTGCAAGACTGCTCATGGAACACATAACACTTAGCATCTACTTGATACCATGCCAGGGATCAATATGTAGACTATATAGATTACCCATCAGAACGTTCGGTTCCTTTCTATATCGAATTCTACATGCAAAAAAGCATATTTTAAGATTATTTCACAAACCCTATCAACTCTTGGATACAAAAACTAACTTTTGATGTTATAGATCAATTTAAATGAATTCTAATGCTGCTCGATTTATCTAAGGTGCACTGACGTCTAGAGGTAGGTTCTATTGAGGGAACACCTGGGATTGTTCCTCCTGCCCAAAGCCTAAACCGGAAGGACACCAACGGAACTTGAGACGTGACTAGATGACAAGAAACATACAACAAGAACTAGCGGCACGCCGATTTATTCATTCAAGCCCGGTTGGGCAGAAGTCTTTTCGTGTCAGTGGTCTGCCCCTATCGACATCTCTCTGTTATCCACCCCTCCCCTTTCGCTCTGTCCTGTGCTCTCCGCGGAACACGTACATCACTTCTTGCAGTCCCATCTTCCATCGGAACGACAATATTCTACCAATATCTTCCCAGTCTCAATCATAAGAAGTCCCTCCATTTTCGCCCATACAGCCCGCGCCTCCCGGGCTCTCCGTTACCTTTCACGTCTCAGGTTAGCCGTAATGACCAGAAAAATGTTCACATACGGAGGGAGAGAAAGATAGAGAGGTAACATCGATCGAACCCAAGGAGGAAAAGGGGAGGATTAAAAAATGTTAGAAACAGGGAGTATATTGGGCGAAGGGGACGGCTTTGCACCCTGTATGAGGACACGAAGCCTTGTCTTCCGGGTCTCGGGTCGTATTTCAAATTCATATACCCCCTTCCGGAAGACAGTTTATAAAGCGTTCTAGAGACCGCCCCTTTCCCTCAACCATCCCTACTGGACTTTTTTTCGATCTCCCTCCCTTAGCCCCTCATTCACCCCCCTCTTCTCCCGTCAATCCGACGCGAAACTTCTCTTTTCTCTCACAAGTCCTACAAATTTCCCTTTTTTGATGGTGTCCTTGTGGTATTTTACGTAGGGGACAGGGAAAGCACAAGTTAAAAGAGGAGATATTTAGATGTCGGTCCTTTTTTAATCTTGGAGGTAGCAACAACTTACTGACCTTTGACCGTCGAGGAGGGGAATCAAAGACGGTAAAACACATGGCCTCCCCCAATTTTTATTGCTCTGAAGGCCTGCTCCACTGTAAAAATTAATGCTCTCGGTAGTCTAATCATTTAATCAATCTTCAAGCAAGAGTGAGAAGGTTCCTGTTCAGTGGGAAAAGGGGAGGGAACGCAGCACCAATTACTGATAGTACTTATCTTTGGGCAAATAAACGCCACTTCTCCACCGTCCCACTCTCTTTCTACGGTCGAGAAGCAGCGCCTACAACACGCACGCACCATTCCCACGTGTGGACAACACGAGGGGTGAGGAGCGCGTCTGTGGGTGGAGGGTGGTTCAGGGTCGTCGTTAATGTAACCCCGCACACACAAGCAGACAGTGATCATCCTTACTGTTATGAGTCTCTCTATGAAGTCGAAGAAGGGGATTGACCATGACGAAGTTCAGTCATCGCCGCCAGCCTTGATCTCCTCTCCTCCCGGACCCAGACGCCGCTGGTGTGGAGGACAGGTTTATGTGCACCCTTGACTCTTCCTCGGAAGCGTGCGTACGTGCATGGATAGACGTCGGGGATGCCGAGAGAACAATGATAAAGCACAATCACAGTACACCACACGCACCGAAGTCTCGTTAGCCAATCAGATAGAATGACCGGCCGAAGCTCGAAATGACAGGGAGGGAGAGAGAGAGAAAGGAAGAGAGGGAGAGAGACAGAGAGAGAGGAGATAGGGAGATAGAGAGAGAGAGAGGAAGAGAGAGGGAGAGAGAGGGGGTGGGGAGATAGGGAAAGAGAGAGGGGGGGGAGGGGGGGATAGGGAAAGAGGGAGAGAGGGAGTGTGTGCGTGTGCGTGTGCGTGTGCGTGTGTGTGTGTGTATGTGTTAGAGAGAGAGAGAGAGAGAGAGAGAGAGAGAGAGATAGACGCCACCCGAGGAGGCCAACCAGCACGCCTTAAATAAAACAACGGTTTTGTTATCGAAGTGTTGGCCAACCGGTGCTTCACGGAACGACGTCGCTTCGAGGGAGAGATGGAGTAAAGGCAAAGGGAAGTGAGAGAGAGATTGACAGATAAAACCCTTCTGACCACAGGTTCATTAAGGACCATGCATAATTATAATGGTGAGGTAGGCGAAGGCTCGATTGTTTATCGTATACCTGACAGCTGGTTGCGTAGTATGTCAAGTTACAACGCGGCGGAAACGATTAAGAAGCTAACGCAGTGGTGTTTATATAATAAAATAACCAGCAAAAGACAGGAAGAGAGGGGAGAGGGGAGAGGGGGATAGTGTGCGCCCCTCGTACACGGCATGCGGAGGTCGAACCCCCGGGCGGGGGCTGGGGGATGGTTTTCTTTACGTTGGTATTCAACCCTAGAAGGTCTGCCACAGCCTGGGAGAAATCAGCGGAGCGCCCGTGCCTCCTCGGAAAGAATTCGTGAAGGAGGCCGTGCACCGAGGTCGAGGAAAGGGAGGAGGAGAAATCAGGTTACCCTCTCTCAGTCCCCTTTCCACAAGTACAGAGTCCGGTATCATGAGTTAGCCGAGAGGGTAGGGTTTAGGGTTCGTCACTTACTAAGCTGTTGGCATTTGATAGTCTACGACATTTATCGCCTCAGTCCTCGTTTGTGCGCCTGGTTTGAGGTGTGAATGGTGCACTGACTGCGGCTCTGACGGGTGACCGGGAGGAGAGAGAGAAAGAGACTTTTTTAATGGAGGCCTGTCTAGGTTTGTCGCAGTTGGACCCCCCCTATTTTCCTTATAGAAGTCTGCTAAGCCCTAGGAATGCTCGAGGTGCATTGTTTATTGATTTTCTTGCTTTCCGAATGAGTGGATTAGTAATATTCAATGATAAAAACAAAACTGTACGCGAGTTTGGGATTCAAATCTTTTGACTTGGAAGGCAACACAGTATAACATGTTAGAGAGAGAAAGATGACCTTAATCTTAAATTCGACGTTATAGATAAATTCCTCGAACCCGTGATCAATGTTGATCCTCCTGCAAGTCCATATGGCCTTCCTTCTATGCAGAAACGCACGTGTGGCAGTGTTTTTATCCATGAGTGAGGCCTGCGCATGCCCAAGGCAGTCACTTATATGGGGAAGAAAAAACAATCCGGAGAGCCAAAAATTCATGTTTATCTCAATCTCACAAGCAACGATCTGTTTCTTCTTACATTTTTTCACAGATGTTTAGCATGATAGAACATTTTTTCTCGTCACCGAATCCCTTGACCTTACTCTCCAGTGTTCCACATTTTCCTTTCATGTATACCAACATCTAGCCTAACCAGATAAATCACGAGTGAACGGTACGAAATTGAGAAGGGTTCAGGGATCCTGAGGTCGGGCTATATGTGTAGATGAAGAGTGAAGATTCCTCGAGGCTCTTCCGGATCGAGGCATGGAACCCCACATCCCCACTCTCTCTTTCTTCCTTTATGTGAACTTTTGGATTGAAGATCTATTCAGGAATTTTGGGAACCGGTGCCTGCTTTCTGCAGCTGCTGCGCTTGATCTTCCCAAACAGGATGATCATAGTCAAGTTGTTTGCGCCTTCTTGGTCAGGCTAGCTTGGGGCTGGGATATTTTTCGGAGGGGGAGTGCGAGGTTATCGTCATGTTCTTAGAGGACGACAGTCAGATAAAGATTTGCATGGAGAAGAGTAGATAATGCATCCAGTTTAATAATATTAAGGATGCTAACTTAGAGTTCTCGCCAGGATGAGACCGCAGACCCTCCCATGTTTTTTAAACGCTACGCTAATGTTTTCTTTTTTGTGTTGAAAGCTTCCACGCTTGACTGGGACACAGCTTTCCAAGACACCTCTCACGTGCCAATAGTCTCTCTCTCTCTCACTCGACGGACAGAAAAGAACAAAAGTGGGTTTCGGTCAATGTTTGGAATATAGCTGGGATTGGGGAGGGAGTGGCACATCCTAGATTCGGTCACACGGGTGGGGAATGGAGGGTAGGGATGGCTGGCCGACTGCCCCCGAGGACCTTTTAGCTGGGCCTTCAGAGACACTGCCTCTAGAATTTTAAAAGGAGACGGAATGAGTATTAGTACTAAACTAACCCTGCATATTTACTAGGGCTCTCCTTCAACTTAGGTATATATGCCGAACGGAAAAGATAAGTTGGCTGGACATCGAGCGGATCCTACATAGAGGAAATGACCATATTCGATGGATATTCTTTACTTAAGTACACTATGAACTGTGCCCCTAAAGTGGAAAGTATGTAATCTTTGTGCCCCTACCCTCAGGACCTCATTCATTTAAGAACGTTTAGCTGTTAACCTATATTTGAAAAATAATTATATATATGAGAGGCTGGGATCGTAGGCCGTCGTCAACGTTCCTTTCCCTAACCGAAGATGTCTCAAAAGATAGGTCTCCTCTGCCCCCTCCCTCTGAACTGTCTCATGGTCTCATTTTGGGTCGTGGAGTCCTGTCAAAGGCGGGGCCTCTCTCTCTCTCTCTCTCTCTTTCTCTCTCTCTATCACACACACACACACACACACACACATGCAACCGTGCATATTATAATACAAATCTGACGGACATGGATGATGTAGTCGGTTAGATCGGGAAAGATGAACTGTTAGAGCTGTGGGAATGATGCTATACTGCAGCATCCCCCTCAGGTGCTCTTCGCAGCGGCCACTACAACTGTTAAAGGGTCCCATATGGTTTGAATATCTGAGAAGGGGTACCCAAATATTAACAAATATCATCATTTACTCCGTATAAATAATACTAAATTTTTTAATCCGAGACTCGAATATCACTCATCATTCCAGGTTTTTTCTCCCTTATCGCCTAATCCAAAAGGAAGATGACTGTGGCACTATCAATATAACCTTTTAGAACAGATCTCGATGCTAAATAGTTTCTCGAAAACGACTTCTTAGACTATTTGCATTTTTTTGTAACAATTTCAACTTGTTCTGTGACTGTCGATCGAACTTCATATCGGTGTCGATCGGTCAGGCGCCACCCTATCAGTTTCTTTTACATACAGGCTACACGGCTATGATAGTTCTAGCCATGGATTCGGTCAGATTGAGCCTGGGCTTTTGATTGGATAAACCTCTACACCGGGATAGGAGGGACAAGCCCATACCGTGGTAAAAACGTGAATTCAGGAACTCATCGAGACTAATCCACCGTTAAACGCAGTCGGGTTCTCAACGATGGACTTGTTTGTGTACCTTTGTGATTAACGACCAGTCATGGGACTGACCCTATTGGACTCATGCACGTACGGATGGTTATATTTTGTAATACATGTGACTGATTCACAGAAAAGTGGAATTCCGTGCACAAACGAAGAGTGAATGACCAATATTTCAACAGTGCAAAAATAAGGACTGTTTCAAAGTCAATTATTCGACCTGTCTTCTAGAATTTACGCGATGTTTTATTACATCACAGCGAGGTTTGGACCGACGTCTTACTGAGACCATACTCTTTTAACGTATGCTTGTGATTGATAAATTAAGAATGATGTTGGATATATTTTATCTCATGTTTCAATCATCCAACATGAAAGAGATCTAAGATATAATAAAGTTCGCATGTATTCTTCTTCGTCAATGTATTGAAACCAGTATAGATATCCTCGTCTCGGTCCCCTAGACCCTCCGTGGGGCCCTGCTGGCAGATGAGATTCCCAACACAAGCGGCATCTAGCCATATTGAGCTCCGTCTTTCCTCGCTTGTGTGGGAGGTTGGGCTTGAAACCATTGGGCCTTTGAACCGACGTACGGATCACTCCTGTTGTCGGTCAAGCCAAAACATCAGCCCATTGACATTTGGGTGACACCCACGTGTTGCCCCATATGCCTGATACACGAGACTTCGACACAGCTGTTGGTCTCCCCCGGGTCAGAAGTCGCACGTGCCCGTTTGTAGTGTAGAAAGGAGACAAGTGAGGAATGAGATAGTGCGGCGACCACCCAGAGCAAACTGCCATTCAGATCTTCTCTGTCCCGCCTAATAGAACTACCTTTGAGCAGGGATCCGTGTTTGTTCCGAATGGACCCCGATGAGGTGCCCTTCTGATGAGGAGTGGGAGAAGGGCACCACGTCTCTAACGGGCAAATTCTAGTAGCTTAATCTACGTAGAGAATTGTACAAATGCAAACTACATGAGCTTTATGTGTGCGAGGTGCTCTATGCATAGTCATTCTGAGGTTTAAACACTGCGTTTTGGGAACTTTTTCATTTATATGGACACAGAAGAGAGATAGATAGACAGACAGATGGATAGTGAGATTGGTGGGGATGGGGGGGTCACTCATCTGCTGACTCCTCAGTTGAGGAGGCTCAAGGTCTCCGGGGACCTGGGGCTGTCGTCGACCGTAGAGGGGGAGAGTTGCTGGGCGGGTGGGAGCAGGGGATGGACGTACTTGCAATTAGGGCAGGAGGGGGAGGACCTGGATAGCATGACGAGGAGATGGCAGCGGAGGCAAGCCACCGCCACCATACTGTTGGCCGAATAGCTCTGCTTTCTCGAGTCATCAAGCGAGTTGGTGCCTGCTATCCCCTCCGAGTTCTGTGGGGGCGAGATGTTCAGCTCCAGGTCTAGGCCCTGGTTCTTGGGCCAGGACCAGCTCCTCTTGAACGTCTTCCTGTTCAGGTAGTACATTCTTCCAGACTGCGTATCAACAAGAACCAAAAAGAATTACTCGTGGGGATGATAGATGCTACGAATCGGTAATGACAGTAGCTTCTAGGGTTTTCATTTGGGTGTGCCTTCTATATGTGTACATGTGCGATGTGAATGCTTCTTCTAGATGTCATGTGCAATTCTAGGATGCGTCAGACGGCACGTGGATGTAATTAGTTGGGCCTCGGATTTGTGGTGTGAAGTCTTGGAGAAGGACGATTTACTATAATAAAAAAACATGGACTAGTCTCTAAAATCACATACAGAGTGGCTTTGGGATTTCCTTTGCACGTGAGGATTAGAGGAGAAGATAGAGAGATGTATAGAACAATGGAAGGGAGGGGTAGACGGTTATATGGATAGACATGGAGAGAGAGAGAGAGAGAGAGAGAGATCACTTGGAGATCAAGGCACTGCTCCCAGTCCAAGGGCAGCGGCTTCTTGAGCTGCAGCTCAATGGCGGTTTGGCTTGGAGGCTCGTCCCACGAGGATTTCCTTTTCTTGGAGGGGTTCGCTTCAGACTCCGTCGGAAAGCTGTCTACACCGTGGCCGAACGGCGACAAAGGAGACAGAGAAAGCTCTGGCATGTTCATCACCCTCCTCAGCTGGCCTCCGCCGCAAACCTTGATCTCCTCAGCAACATAGGGGGTCACCTTCTTCTGTCGGAGGAATTCACCGATCATTCTCCGGGTATTCTACGTACACGTCCTCACACACGCACGTCAAAATTTGGAATTGGGAGGAGAAAAAACAACGGTGACCCCCGGGGGGTGCTCTTCGAAACAGAGGGATGGTGGTGGGAAAGAAGAGAAAGGAGGAGAAGAAGAGGTTTCGGAGACGGAGGATGGACTTGCGAAAGAGGGAGGCAGCAACTATGTTAAGCGGCCGATCCCTCTTCCTCTTGAATTGGAAGGGTCATGCAGGAAGGCGTGGATACTAAAGAGGGTTCTTTAATGGCCTTCATCGAAACAATTACGACGAGGGCAGGTCAAGCATTTAAAGTGACAAGTAGAGTGACCTTAAATGCTTCAAAATCCTCTTCTCTAACTCCGTTCCAGAACTACAACTGGGCCACCCACTATTCATGACATCATCACGTATTATACACATACACTCCCTACCGAGCCACTGAAAACTGTAATTATCCATCTCTCTGTATAATCCCCACACTACAAGATTGCTTTAACCATTACCCAGACTGCACTCCCCCAGTTCTCTATTTGAAAGTTTGCGGTGCGTAAGACATGTAAATCTAGGCAGTTGGTCATCCATTAAAGAACACCCTACTCGGGAACGATGAAACAACAGATTTGATTTCCTTCGGAACAGAAGTACCGAGAGAGGCCGCATTAACCAGCACCGAATTGTCCTGAGGATGGAGGCCTCTTGTGGGGGCGCATTGATGACAAACAACAAAGAAGTCCCGGATTAATTAGAGAGAGAGAGAGGGGAGAAAGAGGGGAGGGGGTGTTAATGCCAGTAAACCGCGGCGTCGCCACCGCACCCCACATGCAGTAAATTGGGCAAGACATTGGGGATGGAATAAATATGGCGTGTTTGTGGTCGTTCCATCCCCCATTCACCAGTGCCAACCACACCATTAAATTGCACCCTCCCCTCCTCTCTCTCTCTCTCTCTTTCTCTGTGTATCCATCTCTCTTTGTATACATTTATCTGTCTCTCTCTCGGTTGTTGGAGCACGAACCCATTTAATGTTCCCTATTTATTCATCTTCCCCCTTCTATTGCACTACCCCCCTGATGATTTCTAAGATATCAACTCTATTAACGCGAATTCATGTCGGTGTTCTTGTTGCTAGTCCTCCTCGGCATATACACTCATCGACAACCCCCTCCGTCCGCCCTTTCGCCTTACCGGTCTGGGCTATCCCGACGCTCTCTTCAACACCCCGTTCCCCTCCCCCTCCGGGCGTCCATTCAGAACTCAATCTTCACGTCCCTAGTTGCCCCCATCAGTTAACCACCATGCGTGCATGGCGGTGGCTACAACCGAGGACGAGCGTGTGGTCATCGCCTCTGGTGAAGCACCAGGCACGGTAAAGAGACGATACTGCGACAGCAGATGGCGTGTACAGGATGGATAGATGGAGCTACATCGGAGCTCCTCGTTAGCAGGCTTTACTAGTCTAGGAGAAACCCTTAAATAGGAGTCTGTACCTCCTGGTCAAAGGGTCATCATCTGAAAGAGAGAGAGAGAGAGAGAGAGAGAGAGAGAGAGAGAGAGAGAGAGAGAGTTGGAGATAGATGACGAGAGGTGAGGGGGTGGACCCACCTATGTTCAATTCTGTCTTTGATGAGGAGGCCGGCGATCGAATAGCAAGGTCACTGCGATCCAACACCTCCTCCAACCAAATTTAAAGAAAAAAGAAGGAAAAGAAGGGGATTTTAACGTACCCACCCTGAGGAAATGCTATTTATTGTCGCCAGGGTGGGCAGCGAGTGCGCACGTGTCAGGGCATTCGAACGCACGAAATCCTCCTCTGAGTTTCCCCTCGTTCGAGGCTTCCCTAGCTCTCACGTGAGTCTGCCTGTCTACTCTCCCCTCCATCTCATATCTACGGTTAAATAATCAATGTGTTCGCATCGATGGGGGTACGGATGTCCATCTCCCTGACCCTCGTCATGGAAAGCTACATCGGGAAATCAGCCTCCTCTTCTGGAACCGCTTCATGTGTCTACAAACTTACTTTTGGAATATTGAATTCGGACATGATTTCTAGATAATGATCGTAACATTTTAAAACAAACCTTATAATCTTCGGTGCAATTGAACCAAAATATCATAATTATGAAGAACGGATTTAAATATTGCCTGATCTCCTGCTCGAAGTCCAGCTTCATGGTGCTTCCTCAATCAACTAATGTGGTCTTGTCACCGGACAAGAAGGCCATCTCCATCGTCAAGATGTTTTGGGCCTTGATGGCCATCATATCATCGTCCACTTTCTCAAGCTGTTAATTTGATGCAAAAGCTATACCCGTCAAGCAATGATATTCAAGAGTTTACACAAACATCCCACGAGCTTTTATTTTCTAAGGAAAAAACAGCTCTACGGAAAAAAAAAAGGGTGGATTAGTGTTGGGCCCCAAGGAAATCCACTTTTCTTTCAGTCTCTTAAAACTTTAATGGCGGTGAAGAAGCAGCCCATTTACCGCTTCCTATGGTTGGTTACAGTGTTAGATAACATGGCATTAGTATGAATTACACATGAAGTTTGGAAGAGGCAGCACATATCTGGAGATCCAAGGGCATGCCTTTGAAAGATGGTATAATAAATGGCCAACATAGTTAGCTATGATCCGCAAGAGCTCTACCTACACTTGTTTGAACATTTAAGAACCTCAACGAACCCTGTTGTCGATACCCTCCTTTCATATTCATACAATAGAAATCAGTCAAAGAATATATTTATATTGGACAGTAGACAACAACCACCACAACGATAATAAGAACAATAGTAACAACAGTTAATCAAGGAAGAAGATTTTGAAGGGTCGAAAATTATCCCAGTGAATGGAAATTTCTGGATGAGCATGGGTGAGCATTCAATGGGGGAGGACATGGGGGAGTCTTACTCTTGCCACAGTACTCATGGAATTGATAAAGGCACCTACGTAGTAGCATGGTATTTTTTGCATCTTTTATCAATACACAGCATGATCCGAACAAAAAATCTCAACAGGACATCCAGATTAGTTGAATACGCTGTGCACAGAGCAAGGTAAGAAATGGGTGCGCCATAATAGCCAGCCCCGAGTCCAAGAGATTAGAATGCCAAGAGATCTAGTCTATGCAGACGGCAGACGATCTGCACTCTTCTATGATGAAACACTGCTGCAAGGAAACATGAACTCAGCAGAAATGATCGATCTAAAACCACCGCATCATTTGAGAATAGATTTGATTCATCGTACCATTATTGTCGGTATTATGCCCAACAAGAAATCTGGCACAATTGCGAACATGCAAAAAAGAAATACGCCGCTGAAATTCTTCTATCACAGTTTATAGTCAACAGGCTTCACTCTCGTAGCCTATTTAACAGACTTATTGCCTCCTAAGACGTCATCAATTAACTAAGAAACATTCGACAGCAAATTGAAGAGTAGGATTTTCATTTGTTAGTCCATGGTTCATACCAGCACAAATTCCTGAAGTCCAATTCATTTGAAGGAATCGTATTTAATAGAGGGCTGAACCATTTCAAGTGGAATTGAATGAGAGGGGATGCGGCTCATACCTAAACCTCCATAAACATATATATCGTTCCCTTCTCTCACTACTAAACAGTAGAGGAAAGTGATGAACCCTATGCAATGCTGCTCGGGAAATCTTCCCCCACTGGGGACTCTATTTTCTCTGAAAGATGCTTTTGTTCTATTACATATGCAACATGAACAATTAGAGCTAATATACTGAAAAGGAGCAGTTAAAAGGCTTAGTTCATAGAATCTAAAAGGATATCCCAAAATTGGGTAAGACACAAACATATATGAGTCCTTGAAGTCAACAAATTGTACTCTCAATAAATTTACCACTTAGGGACAGAATTAACTCTGTTAATAAATCGCAGCAGCATGAACATCCCCGTTTATACTAAGATTTAGAACTTTGCATTTTTCCTCGGTAATTTCCATTAAATATAAAGAAATTTGATTCCCTCAGACTGCTTTTGCGCATGATTGCTTCGGAGTCCCTCTCGTTTCTGAAATATGGATCTATTCATCCCTCTCCACAAGTTACAGGATAAGCTTTCATTCAGACAAAAATATCAAACAGAGTTGTGAATAAATGGGACCATAGACAACCTGCACACTTATGATTTATCATTTGACGACAACAATCCAGTCAAATAATGAATATATTTTCTATGACTGATAAAATTTGAGAACACAACTAAAAAAAAATTGTAGTTATGCACAATGAATACTAAAGTCCCATAAAAGAAATCGGCTTTACAAAAAGAGGGCAAATGGTTTTGCAGTGAAATGAATGAAGAATCAAATTGAGTTAGAGATAGACAATCACACAAAGACACTGTGGCATATGGTTTGGTCTGCTCCAGATCTACTCCACGCTACTCAACCCATTTTACTATAATACCCTTAACTTAGCACAAATTTGATTTCTCAAGGCATAATTAACTCTTCACACAATATGCCAAGTCTTACACAACGGCAAACTTATAAACAAAACTAGCATAATCCTTTGAGTTAAAATATGTCGATCACAATTGCACAGTGAAATCCTTGAGGAGACCACTTGGAAAGTGAACCTAGACACCTTTTGAACTTGGAGTATTTTTTTCTCCGATTCTCTAATTAAGGTTCATGCTCTCACTCTTCCGTTGATATTTTGACAGCTTTAATTTGTGAATATTTATCACCTTCAACCACTCGAAGACGGTAACTTTCTTTGATTGCTGTTGATACTTTGAAGTTCAATACTTACAGACATCAGAAGGCAACAATTACAGATTCCAATGTCATCACTTGTACCATTAATTTTCCTTACTATCCTCGAGTATTTAGTCTAAAACTAGTGCCAATGCGTGATTTCTGGCTCTTGGGTTTCAGCGATTAGAGTTGTCTTCTGCTCTTATATGTCATCTCTTAAAATGGGTTCTGAGCTTCAACTTTTTAAGGTTGTCTTGAACTTCAGGTATCATTTCCTCATTTTTTGACTTGGTTCTCTTTTTAAGCGTCAACCCTTCCCTCCAAGTGTTGTTTACTTAACCATTTCCATAAAGTGCTGACAGTTTATAAATGTGGCGGTTAACAATTACGTGATCATCTTTTTATAATCAGTTTTTTCTGTTTAATGCATGCCAACTATTTTCTCGTAGGTTTTGGCACTTTTTACCTCCCCCAAATATTTTTTCAATTTATTACCTAAATTGTTGGCACTATCAACCCAAGTGGCTTTTAACGAGTTTAACAGCGTTTTTTCTTATCATAATGCTTCAGCAAGAATCTTGTGATCCCAAAACCGTGTTCTATGGCAGCTTAATTTGGTTAGTTAAATGGTTCACATAAGCGAAGTTACAATACAGATTTTTCAAGTAGCAAAACAATTTTTTTGCGGCATGTAAGAAATTAGGGTGTTATTGATAAACACATGCCTTCACTCAAATACCCGCCAAGAATCTAACTTGGTATTTACTGAAGGAAGCTTTAACAATCATCAACCAATCTTTTGCCGAAAGTAGTCAAGGAGCTGCATTGTAAAAAGGATCATAAGAGTAAACATGATGTCCAAAGATTCAAAATAAATAAATAAATTGTCGGATAAAAACCTTTAACACAATTTCTGTAAAAGAATTTCAAGATATAAAAAGGTCATGCAAAACATAGGAAATTGGTATAATTAATACCTGGAATTGATAGTGCAGAAGCGATCCGACCCCCGGCATATGATTTATGAATTCCTTGGCAGAAGGCAAAAACCCCCTAGGAAGCAGAAAACCGATGCAAAGAGAATTCAGCAGGAAGAAGAGAAAATTTTAACCTGGAAAGTTCTGAGGTCTAGGAAGAAAAGGACCTGAAGAGCACATATGTTCCATATATTTCCAGGATAAAACCCACAATAGGCCACCGGAGAAGTATTGAGAATATACCAAGGATAAAACATATAGAACCCTGAAAAAAATATTTAATATGAATGAAAGTCTTGTTCAACTCAAAATAAACAAGAGTTGGGATAAGCCTAAGGGGTATTGTGACAGCCCTCACACACGGTGTGACAGATATCATGTTCTGCGGGCACAGATCTCTTCTCATTAGATTTGACACGAAAGGAACCCATTAACAAATGTTGGTCGAGCAAGCTTCCACTCTTCGCCTTGGGGAATATAACCCCCAACACACACATACACCCCGTCCCTCCCCATCCAATGCATCTTTACCCGTCATTTTAATCCTTCAGAATGTCCCAACCCCTGTCTACTCCCCTGTCACACGTCAATCTTCCTCCAATTTCTTATGGGACAATATGGGATCAACCAGGCCTGAGAAAATTTTCCTCATCGAAGGCGTTTTACAAGCTGGATAATCAATACCAATGGTCAGCACAAAAACAACACGACTTAGGTTAAGAATATATAGATAAAATGTGTACCGGACTGTGTCACAGCCTCACACAAATGAAAGGTGTCAAGTTACAAAAGTTTAAGAACTATACCAATAAAGACTAAGATCCTTATATGACATATGACAGCAAAAGGGTGAACAAAACATCGCAAGAGACATCATTTTTATCATGCAAAAATCAACAAGACAGGTAAAATATTAACATATCCAAAACTATCAGTTCCATCACAAATTTCCAGATGCTTGATACTTACGCCAAATTTAATGCTCAGAGTAAATTCACACAAGTTGCTGAACATATAAATACAACGAAAATGAAAATATATGCACAGTACCTTGTAATTCTTTTTATTCATAAGCAATTGGCATGCGGACTGCCAGCCAAGTAAAAGGACCACCCCAGAGAAACAAAAAATCTGAAAAGAAAAAAAACTTAAAAGGTAATAGCATGGAAAACTTTAAGACAAAATAAACTAGAAGGGGATTTTTTTTTTTCTTACATTACTTAAAGCCAAAAGGCCCTTGTCAAAGAAAAGAACGATGCCCAGAAACGCAAAAAAGGCCCCACAACCTAAGAGGCCAATTCCAACCTCTACAACATTTCACGAGCAATCAGTTCGCTTTCTAGTTGTAACAAAGAGAGGAAGGGAAGGAGTAGAGCAGAATTTCCATATTGTGTAGGAATGAGAAAATTTGTCGCAGATCATTATCAGACAACTCAAATATTTCTACAATGCAATCATATAATGAAATTAAAAAAAACTATAGAAATTTTAAATAAATAAATAGTTTATCAATATTTTTTTTGTTGCTAAGGCTACTACCTCAGTGGTCATCTCAATATTGAGTAGCTGTGGTTGGACCTCTCTCACAGATTGTACTGTAGCTCAATGGCGTTCTCCTCGGAGCAAATAACCAGGCTATCATGTTTTCGACACTAGATGTACCAATTCACCATGTTAGACGGGATCCTTCTGATTCATGTGTGCGACAGAACTGGGAGCCGACCACTCAGCAATTTTTACCGTAAGTAAAAACCCCATATTTATAAGAGTAACCGTAATTGATAAGTAACTCGAAGTCAAGATATGATTAACATTTATTAACCGAGCAGAAATTTTTCTGAGGGAAGAAACTGCAATGTCACTAAATATCAGTGTCCTTAAAGATCAGGGTCGCTAACTAATTAGGTCACTGATCTGTCAAGAGGAACAAACATCTCATTTGAAAAAGCATTTCTGACTTAACAGACCTCAACATATATTTTCCACGGTATTCAGATTTAAATTTATGAAAAATTAACAAACAGCGCTAGCCAAAATGTTGTTTCTATGTTTTCACTTGAAAATGATTTTGCGAATCTATGCAAGTTTCTTCCTTTCTCTGCACATTGGCCTGGAAAGAGGTGTTACACTCGCTGTTAAATGGAAAGACTACACCCTAGCAACAATGAGAACACCGTGAAGGAGAGTTTCTGGGAGCCGAAAATAAACGATATAAATACCAGCAAGAAAAGTAATAATAGAGGCTGGAAATAACACTACTACTAAAGTTGCACATTGGAAGAGAGAAGCCAAGACATCATGAGACCAATGATGTGAGATCTGTTCACTATATTGAGTGTGGGATGAGAGTAGCACGACCATAACCAGCGAAAACGCTGACTGTGATAAAGTCCACAAAAGTCCCGAGCAATGTAATAGCAGACTCTTAAAATATCAATTCAAATAAAAACAAAGCGGATCCCATTGAGCATTTTAACGAAGAAAAAGCACAGGGATCATTTCTGCGGGAATCTATACAAAATTACACCACCAATGGAAACGATATGATTCCAAATGAATAGGCATACTTGTCTTCTCATTCATTTTCCACGAAAAAGCAGTTGTTGGAAGCAGTGACACAAGAATTGAATCGTCAAGTTTGAACAGAAACCTAAAAGGAAAAGAACTCGAATCAGCTGATTTATGCCTTCAGGCTATAATATAACATATTAATGCAGAGTTTCTAAAAAAAACAGACTAAGAACACAATATGCAAAAGTAATTGACAAGGGAAACATGTCAATGGCTTCACATGAAATATTTCGATGTAACGATGTTGACCCCACAGAATCTACCTTAATCATCACACATTTTAACACCTTTTTACAAAGCTTTCGCACAACTCAGTACGATACTCCTTTGAGTTGCTAAAACGCTTGCACACATAATGGCAACGTAAGATTGACCCCCACTACAGCCACTCATTTCCCCTTATATCCCTGAAATAGCATCCATTTGTTGGCAAAACGTGCTTCTATCAGTTATACCCTAATTCCCTCCTGCTTCCATTCATAGGAAACGCTCTGAATGGGTAACAACCACAGTTACCTTATAACTTTGATTTTCGTACTTGAGAGGTACTATTCATTTAAATTTAGGGTAGGCCGTAGTTACTTCGGCTGAATCCAATCCATCTACCCATATTTTTCTATCTGCAAATTTTCCAGTTGCTTCTTTTATGATTCTACACTCCCCTTCAATTAGACAGATTTTCTGACGCTGAATATCGACGAAATATTAGGTTAGATCAGCTTTACACAAATTAAGAAAACACGAACTTTCGACATGCATCTGTCGCTTCGGTAAGAACAACCCGCCACTTCAGTAACCGCCTCCGCATTTTTACCCCCTCCTCTCTGCCACTTATAATCCGCAAAATCAATTGCGAAAATAAAAACTACATGTGAAACATAACCGAAGAAAAAAAGAGAGAGATTCACCCCGGCTATGGAAAGATTTGCGAAAAATTTTACACGAGTGTCGAGAAGCCAGGACCACCTTCCTCGTCTCCATTTTCTTCTTTTCGCGAAAGGAAAACTTAAAAATTGGAACATGGAACACATGGAAGATGCACCGACCTCAAAACTCTGTAGATGCAGGCAAATTTCCCCCTGGTAGGACACCGATCTGAACTAGAAGTCCCTCACACAAGCGCGGAGTGTTCCGAGAACACCTGGGGTCAACTAGAAAAGGCAAGCCACCCCGTCCCCAGCTCCCCTTGCGAGCCGGAACGACGTGACCCCACAATTTTAGCTGGGCCGATCTGGTCCATTCGAGGCTTGCTCTCGTTTGAGCCACAGGAATGAAGTTGGACCGAGTATGTTGAAGGCCGGATTCTATTTCAACGCCTAGCTATTGGGCTTGCATTCCAGGCCTGCTCTCTCTCTCTCTCTCTCTCCCTCTCCCCCTCCGTGGGTAGGTCCCATCCGGCCAGCCAAAACGATAACGATGTGTTCTCATCCTTCAATAATGGAGCGACAAAGAAATTCCAGCCGAGTGCCGAGGGCCACCAATCCAGCTAACCTAGACCACCTTCTTTGATGACGTCAGTAAACACAATACGATGGTGAGCGAAAAAGAGCTCATCTCGAGGCAATCAGAAACAAAGACAGCCTCAGCACACTAACATCACGCAGCTTTGAAGATGACTAGGTGACCCAGAAACGACATCGTGACCCGATCGGACAGGGCAGCTCCCCGATCCTACCCCCCCGCGTGATCCAACATCTGCCGCCGTCTCGACCAACATTGTCCACTCCGCCGACAGGCAGCAGCCACCGCCGCTGACCCCTGGGGGCCAAGCTGGCTTGAAGATCCGGACAGCCACCGCTTATCCCGCCGTCGTGCTTCTTACAGGTTTTGCGCGGGGTCAACGTCTGCGTGCGTGGGGGGGTCCAGGAAGGCGTGAGACGGAGCACAACACCTACAAGCCAAGGCGAAGGTAACAGGGGGAGGCCTCAGACAGGGACGGTAGCTTGCCACATCTTGAAGGGCCGACGAACGCGCCGACTCCGCCAATGAGGAACACCCGCTTACGAGCTCGCCCCAGCGCCACCACGAGCGGCGTAGGGCAGCGTCGTCATCACGAGGGGGATTTGGTGGCGGTGGGGGAGACCTGGGGTGATGTGAGAATGGAGGGACCGCGCGGTTTACACCAACGTAGTAGAGGGGGAACCGTTGCATCCGCCCCACTCCGAGACCTGGTCGCAAACCCCTGCGGCTCCTGAACCCGTGAGGCCACAGGCATCCCCTAAGCTAGTTTTTTTATGCTTCACCAACTAGGCTCTGGGTTGGTCCAGCCCCCCTCCCTCTCTCTCTCTCTCTCTCTCTCTCTCTCTCTCTCTCTCGCGATAAGCATATTAGGAGAACAGTGCGAGGCAATAATTGTGGAAGGCGGATGCTTCCTTGGGGACGTATCTCCAACGGGTACAATCTGACCACCTGCCCACTCGTTTGGTCACCAACCTATCCGCTCCGAATTTACGTTCTACCTTCCAAACCTCTTATCTTCTCAGATCTTCGAGTACATAAAATTATAGAGAGAATGAACTGGTGGGTTCCAGACAATCATCCACACTCATAAAGGTGACGAGCTCCGTCCCCGGCTTTCCTTGAAATTTCCTTGAAAGGGATGTATAGTGAGACTGTGATAATGCAGCCCGTCCAACATAATGTTTTATGTAATATAGTTCTAGGGAGAGAATAATCCATAATCCACGCTTTCATTTGAGTAAATTATAGTCGACCTGTATGTCATCCCGTTAAGACGATGGATGCACGTGCGAGTCCAGAGGTGACGAATGCCAAGGTTAATCGAGAATAAATTATGAGGTGGGAAGAAAAGTTTTGTCGACGAATCTTCCTCTGCCGCACCACCGCAGCCGTCCGGGCGGCGACGAAATTTATGGAGAAGAAAAGAAAGAGGAAGGAGGCTTCTGGGCCACGGCGGCGGCGGGGCTCCGAAGGATCTCGGCCTCAGTGCCTTCTGCCGCTTGGTGCCCCCCACCCCACCCCCCGCGTCGCTGGGTGGCCGGTGGCAAGGAAAAGGGTAACGAGCTCTAGAAGACGAACAGAATATTTAAAGCCGAAGAAACCCTCTTTTCGAAGGAAGAGAAAGAGAAAGATAAAAGAGAAAGAGAAAGAGAAAGAGGGTTTACAGGGATCACAACAGTGTAGAAAAACAAAGAGTAATGGCGAAAACTAGAGAGAGAAGGGCGGGAGAGAGAGGGTGAAAGAGAGAGAGAGAGAGAGAGAGAGAGAGAGAGAGAGAGAGAGAGAGAGTCTTCTTCCCCCGAAATGCCTACGTCAGCAGAGGGTTGTTTTAAGTAACGCCAAGCTGGACCACGGCAGGCAGCCATCTTAGAACTTCACTTGCCCAGACCGCAGCGTCTCATACAATACGACACAGCGTAGAGTGCAGACGCCGCCACTATGGACCATTCATGTCAGTGAAATAATGCAACTTGCCACGTAGGCCTATCGAAGTGACAGGTAATGTCGATTTAGTCGTCTCTCTAGAGGACGCCATAAATATTTTTGTTTTCATTTTCCTCGAAACGATGACGTACAGAACTTTGCAAACAACATTAAAATATTTATTAGTATAACCACGTCTGAAGTCGACGTACCGGTGTGAGATAATATAAAACTGTATCAGCTATTCACGAGCAAGCTAATTTTTTCGTGGTCAAGCATACTGCTTTGCATTTACTTTCAGCATAAATTGTATGAAAACTCCACTAAAAAAAATAATTATGATTTAACCATACGACATTGATTATAAATCCCCTCATTATATGTACTTAAGCCTTGTAGCACCCCTCGTGTACGTTTTTTTTTGGGGAATGCTGATTAAACGCGGATAAAGTTACCGAAGAGATTGAAATCAATTGGTTATCCTGCGGACATGAAAGATTCTGTCGGTTTCTGAACAGATCCCCACATTCTCCGGTCAACATCTGCTACCCTCATTAGAATAGAGCTCCAAACTTGCGACGAGTACTGGAATAATTTTCTCCCTGCCCGACAGGCGCGGAGCTTCAAGGGTTGTTGTGAAGCCGCCGCCTCAACGTGCTGGACGTGTTGAAAGAGGTGCCCGCCTGTGATGGGAGGGGCTTACTGGAGCAGTAGTCATTAATCTATCCTCTCCCCCCCCTTCTCTCTCTCTCTCTCCAGCCAACCTGGCTTGGAAGATCTATCTCTGAATCGCTCAGCGGTTCTGGTGTAGTAGGTGAGGTTCACTTTCGTTATACGATACTGCGAACCTGTCCTGCACTCATCGTGGACTGAATGCGCAGCTTATTTATTTGCGGATTAAGCGATGTGCTCGAGACGTGTGTCTTGAGGAGCGAGGATGCGTTGATCTCCAACGTCGACAAAATGGCTCCAGCGGATATCAGGATTCCACTGAAATACCCATGCTTCAATACGAAGTGTGATCTAAGACTACTGCAACCGTGGTAATTTTTGTTCTCGTCAGAGCTGGTGAACCCCCGCTTAAATGCAGCCTATGTAAGGTCGCAGTCGGTGTGGTCCACCACTCTCTCTCCCTCTCTCGATCTCTCTCGATCTCAACTCTGCCGTGCGTCTTCGTCACAGGTTGTCGTTTTCCTACCAGAGTGGCTCTCGACCCGGGGTTGGAAGAGAGGTCGTAACCAGTAAAAGAAAAACAGAGGACCCTTTCTCCGCAACAATTCCACATGGGGCATCAGATCAGCCGATGCAATATCATGTGCCGGCACCATTTTAACTATAATGCGAGCTGAAGTTGCGAAGAATCAAACCCACGTCTACCCCTCAATCGAGGTGCGAGTTGAACGTCGCGGATCCACATGGGAATATTTGTTAATCCCTGGGGCATGTCTGGGAGAGATTCACCTTGTCTCCTTCAGAATGCCTGTTCCTTTGCATCAATCTCGAAGGCGATAGGCCACCGTACCTCGGTGGCATAATTCAGAAATGAAGTTCCTTCCTCTTTTCTCTACATTCATTTTTACGTGGGCTTGGTGACGCCCTCATAAATTTAGAGGTGGAAGAAGGCTTGGACAGGAATTGGTGTCCCCACGTAGAGTTGGAGCGGAGGCTCCTCGAGGCTGAGTAGGTAGACACAGGATGCCAGGTTGCACACGCCTTCCGCTTCTCGGGCATGTGCGACACTCATCTGCTCTCTGGCTGTGACCCCGTTTGAGCCCGGGTCAATGCCGTGAGACGAAAGCTCTCCCTCTGCAGTCTTTCCCCTTCGTTTTCTTGGTTCACCGGCCAGGACCCCCGGACTCGTTGAGCTATTGTCTGGAATTACAGGAAGTTCGAGAGAGGTAGCTAGAGAGAGAAGTGACGTGCATTTGTTGTGTACTTCTCGGAACTACACTTGGGATCTAGATGAGAGCTATATTCCAATCAAGGATTAAAGAAGGCCAGTGATCTCCGCGGGAGGATGCCTCGTCATTGACTCGCTGGGATGGGTTGGAGTGCCCGCAACTGCTCGCGAAAAATATTCTGAGGCCGGTACTGTTTGTTGGGTACCTGAGGTATCCGCTGAGAATTTGGTGGTCTAAGAGCTCATACTGCTACTTCAAGGGAGATTATGGAAAAGGTGATCAGAATATCAATTACGGGTAGGATGGTCCACCCGGGCGGACACTTCAAGCCCCCAGCTAACGTGATGACTACGTGTGGGAGAGGATGGTGGGGATGGTTGGAAGCAAGGAAAGATACGGGGCTTCATCAGGAGTGTTAACTATAAACGAGTTTCTTCAAAGACGTAGAAGTTTCTGAACTAAACTCTATGAATATAATGTATCATGGCAGGAAATTCAGCTGAGCGCAATTGATCTCTTTTGCTCTTCACTTTGATTTTGATCATTATTCAGGGATAAACAAAGAAAGGCCTCTCATGATGAACAGATTTGACGACGGCGATGGGAGAGGACGACCCAACTGGGCTTAACTCTCAGTTTTTTTTGTTTATGTTATTATCGTCGGGTAATGGAAGTTCCGTATATGCCCTCCAGTGACAGCTGTTTCCGAGCAGCTCTCCCCCTATAAATACCCCTGGGGACTAATCGAATCACATCATCGATCGGCCAACGCCACTTCTCCTCTTCCTCTCACCCACCTCACCAGCTCCACCTCCTCTCAGAGACGGCGGCGCAGGGAGGAAGGAAGTGGTGAAACACGAGACCGACTGATGATCGTACGGCTGGGCGACTCCGCGAGGAGTCGTCTGCGGCCGGCCATGGCCGTGGCCCTGGTCGCCTTCTTCGCGATGGCCAATGTAGGTGCCGTCTACGGTGATCCTTACGTCTATGATTCTCCGCCGCCGCCATCGCCGTCTCCCCCTCCCCCTTACTACTACAAGTCACCGCCGCCGCCATCGCCGTCTCCCCCTCCCCCTTACTACTACAAGTCGCCACCGCCGCCATCGCCGTCTCCTCCTCCGCCTTACTACTACAAGTCGCCACCGCCGCCATCGCCGTCTCCTCCTCCACCTTACTACTATAAGTCGCCACCGCCGCCATCGCCGTCTCCTCCTCCGCCTTACTACTACAAGTCGCCACCGCCGCCATCGCCGTCTCCTCCTCCACCTTACTACTACAAGTCGCCGCCGCCCCCCTCCCCGTCTCCCCTCCACCTTACTACTACAAGTCGCCGCCGCCCCCATCCCCGTCTCCCCCTCCACCTTACTACTACAAGTCGCCACCGCCGCCATCGCCGTCTCCTCCTCCACCTTACTACTACAAATCCCCACCACCTCCACTCCTTCTCCACCTCCTCCTTACTACTACAAGTCACCACCTCCCCCTTCACCTTCTCCCCCGCCCCCCTACTACTACAAGTCGCCTCCACCACCATCGCCATCGCCGCCAGTTTACTACTACAAGTCTCCACCGCCTCCCACAAAGCTGCCACCTCCATACTACTACAAGTCCCCTCCTCCACCCCACCACGACTATGAGCATGCCCTCAAGGTTATCGGAAAGGTCTACTGCTACAGGTGCTACGACTGGGACCACAGCATGAAGTCTCACGGGAAGAAGCACCTCGAAGGTAGCCTAATCCTCTTACCCCCTAGTAAACTGCGATAGAAAAATATATCTCTACTCAATTCCCCTAAAATTTCTTAGCGATGATTTCCGGATATTGAAAATGAATTTTGTGGGCCAGAACCAGTCAACTTCGGCCTTTCTTTGATAAACTAGGTTATGTTGATAATCGGACTCGACATGAAGAACCTTCCGGTTTCTTTAAATAATAGGACTCGACAGATTAGCTGAGATATCTGGAATAGATAACTAAATAAGGGCTCGGGGCTTGTTTTTAATAAGATTTACGCTAAACATGAGCGCAGGTGCGGTGGTAAAGGTGACCTGCTTGGATGGGTACAAGGAGATCGTCGCCTACGGGAAGACGAAGAGCAACGGCAAGTACAGCATCGCCGTCAAGGGCTACGACTACTGGAAGTATGGCGCCAAGAACTGCAAGGCAGAGCTGCACGCCGCACCCAAAGGATCCGTTTGCAACATTCCCACTGACCTTAACGGCGGCAAGAAGGGCGCTAAGCTCCACGTGAAGTCCGAGTCCCACGGCCTGGTTGTCCTCAAGGCTAAGCCTTTCGCATACGCCCCTAAGAAGCCGTACAAGGAGTGTGAGAAGCCCAAGCCCAAGCCCCCTGTCTACTACTACAAATCGCCACCTCCTCCCACACCCACGTACTACTACAAATCACCACCCCCCCCAACTCCAACCTACTACTACAAGTCACCCCCGCCCGCAAAACCCACATACTACTACAAATCGTCGCCGTCACTACTACTACAAGTCGCCGCCTCCTCCCACTCCAACTTACAAGTACAAGTCACCCCCTCCCCCGAAACCCACATACTACTACAAATCGCCGCCTCCTCCTACACCCACATACTACTACAAATCACCACCCCCCCCAACTCCAACCTACTACTACAAGTCACCCCCGCCCCCAAAACCCACATACTACTACAAGTCGCCGCCTCCTCCCACTCCAACTTACAAGTACAAGTCACCCCCTCCCCCGAAACCCACATACTACTACAAGTCACCGCCTCCTCCTACACCCACATACTACTACAAATCACCACCCCCCCCAACTCCAACCTACTACTACAAGTCCCCCCCGCCCCCAAAACCCACATACTACTACAAGTCGCCGCCTCCTCCCACTCCGACTTACAAGTACAAGTCACCCCCGCCCCCAAAACCCACATACTACTACAAGTCACCGCCTCCTCCTACTCCCACATACTACTACAAATCACCCCCACCCCCTACACCCACCTACTATTACAAGTCGCCGCCTCCCCCAACACCCACATACCACTACAAATCGCCGCCTCCTCCTACTCCCACTTACTACTACAAATCGCCGCCTCCCCCAACACCCACATACCACTACAAATCGCCGCCTCCTCCTACACCCACATACTACTACAAATCACCCCCACCCCCTACACCCACCTACTATTACAAGTCGCCGCCTCCCCCAACACCCACATACCACTACAAATCGCCGCCTCCTCCTACTCCCACTTACTACTACAAATCGCCGCCTCCCCCAACACCCACATACCACTACAAATCGCCGCCTCCTCCTACACCCACATACTACTACAAGTCGCCGCCTCCCCCAACACCCACATACCATTACAAATCGCCGCCTCCTCCTACACCCACATACTACTACAAGTCGCCTCCTCCCCCAGTGAAGTCTCCTCCTGCACCTTACTACTACAAGTCTCCCCCACCACCTTCACCCTCACCACCACCTCCATACTATTACAAGTCACCACCACCACCCTCCCCATCTCCACCTCCCCCTTACTACTACAAGTCTCCTCCCCCACCATCACCATCTCCACCCCCTCCCTACTACTACAAATCTCCACCCCCTCCCTCTCCATCACCACCACCTCCCTACTACTACAAGTCCCCACCGCCACCTTCACCCTCACCGCCGCCTCCATACTACTACAAGTCTCCTCCTCCGCCTTCCCCATCTCCACCACCACCCTACTACTACAAGTCTCCACCCCCACCGTCGCCATCTCCTCCACCTCACTACCTCTATTCCTCTCCACCTCCACCGATCCACTACTAATATCTCAATCTAGGGTCACCGCCCGTCCTCCTCAATTTGGTAAGTTCTTGTCTTACGGATTTCCTCGATTTTTCTAATTTCTTATTAGTTCTTATTTTCAGCACGCCAACGCTAGTCTTTCTCATAGTCTCCACGACTCATGTTTTCAGGATCCGTGAGTCGTGTAATAAGAGAAGGATGGATAAAAGGAAGGTCCTTATTGCATCAGAACCACCCTCTCCGATGGCGGAATAATGACCTCAAGGGCAGGCTGCGGAGCTCCTACCTCGCATTGGTTCGGGGGGCTCTCATGGCAGCCTTCTTGCATGTCATGGTGTTAGCCTCTTCGGGAAGGAGCAGGCAGCCTCAGTCCAGGGTCTTCCTCGGGGCTGAATGAGACGAACGCGAGTGAGATTTGTGGATTCTTCTTTTCTTGAGCGTAGATGATAATAAGCTTTGATGTAACTTAAATTTCGCCGTATTCGTTTCCCCTTGGCTTTGTGTAGGTTTTCTTGTGCTCTGTGCACTAATCGACCAATAAACCCCGATCGAATTCTATATCTACGCATCTTCCTACTGGTTTCTTCATCATCTTCCTTCTCACCTGTCCTCTGAGCGATTATCTAATCCGTCCCCCTCCGAGGGAGACGAATGTAGAGCGACCTCAGAAATTACTTCATCAGGACTTTAGCCTTTCACGTGGGATAGAACGCTCAGACTATACAGCTCGTGCAATGTACGACCAGATTATCCTTTCAGCGTCTGCCTTCCCCACGCTCTCCTTCGTACTGTGCCTTCATGCTACGCACAGACCGCGAGCGGGCCCACGTGCGGAGTTGAGCCAACTCAGGAAACACCACCTCCTTAGAACTCTCCGGTTTCGCCTCTAAAGGATGAATCCTATTATGGGTCGAGCGCATGCCGAGCCCCGAAACAGAAAACTTCCTTAATTGTGGCGAGGCCATTCTTCAAAGCGATTGCATCTGTTAGTATTAGTGGGAGGTGAATCGGGGTAAGTGTGCCGAGGGGGTGTGGGGATGTAGGGGGGATGCGGGAGGTCTGCCTAGAAACAGCCTATCTTTAAAGAGTGCCTAATATCTCGCTGATCGAGCGCTCTTGCCCCGAAGATGAACGGGGCTAAGTGATGCGGGGTAAATGTATGCGGGAGGGATAACAGCTGAAGTTAATAAACTGTAGCGGATTCAGACAAAAGACTTAGAGAGAAAAGTAAGGAGTCTGATATAGGTCAAAACTAGCCCGCAATAATAAAACGACCAGAATACGCAGTTTAGATAAACCGCTGAGTAGGATACCCGTAATTTACTAAATCAGATAATATCCTGTCACGGGGCTAAGGTCATCTGAACATGCAAAGGTGGCTATCCTATGGTTTCTCATGCGAGTGTAGCAAGAAAGTATATTAAAGGACAAATGAAATGGAGAAGACAGAGAGGTTATACTGGAGCCTTGATCTTTGGATGACGGGTTGACCGTGGACAATAGACGATGGTTGTCGGCCGGCGGTGAGTGACGTTGGCGACAGTGGTGGCTGGTATCCATGGAAAGGTAGTCGGACGGCGATGATTGCAGGCGGCGATTCGAAGGCTAGCGGCGATGGAAGAGGAGGGAAAAGGTAGGGCGGCGGCGGCTGCGGCAGACGGCGACGACGGTTGACGACAGAGGTGAAAATGGGGGCGATGGCAGCGGGCAGCAGGGATGGCGAGAGGTGGGCTGTGGCTAAGGCGAGGCAAGCTGACGGCGACGGGATGGAAGTAAGAAGTGGGAGAAGAGAAGTGGGGGAAGGAGAAGCTCCAGACCGGGTACGGCGGGGTCCTCCGACCAACCCAAGCCGGGGTGACGGGATCAAACGATCAGGTAGCAAGCTATGCTTCAACTTCAAAATGCACTGTCCAAAGTAGAGGTCCTCTGGCCCTTTTTATGGACCTTAGTGGGTAACTGAAATAGGAAGAGTGAACTGTTCTTAATAAGAGATAAAGGCGCCTGTTTCAGGACGTTTTCGATGACGACGTGAGCGGCAGAAGGTTGGTTCCACCATAAGATCCACGTCCCCCACTTCATGCATTTCCAGTTCTCCGCCTTGAACGGCTCCACCTTCCTCAAATGATTGGGGCTAGATCGTGCTGCATCACTAAGCGATCTGCCGAAGCTGTGGGATGCAAAAATGCATCGATAGGTTACGTTTTTATGAGCGACAGCCAGATAGCTTATGAAGGTAGTGGTGGCTACGGAGACGCCCACCCTGTCAGCCAAAGGTGACGGGCCAGGGAAGGATGGTGAAAGCTGTCACGTGATTGGATGTCATGTTCTTCATGTGAGTGATCCCACAATTGATCTCCCTTAGTTTCGCCATCTAACTCGACTACTCCGAAGTGACTGTTTTCAAATATTTCTTTTCATCTCTAAAGTTACTGTTACATGTGCTCCCGAATCACCATGAAAGACAACGCGGCCACTTCCGGGTCATTGCCATTCCCAGAACTGACGCCTCCCGGCGGCGATCCGGCCCCCGTTCTAAGAAGATAATGTAGAGATATATATATATATATATATGTATATATATAGATGTGTGTGTGGATATATATGTTTATGGGCCTGGCCCACTTTCTCTCTCTCCTCACCCTTAGGGCTTCCGGCCTCTTCTCATATATAATATTATTTTCTCTCTCCTTATGGTATCAGAGCCCTAGCGGCCACCTCGCCGCGCCGCTCTTCTATTCCTCAGAGCCAAGCGCCGGCTCACCATGGCACGCGGCCGCGCGTCGTCGTCGCACGGTGCGTTTGTTGGTGCCACACGCCGGCCCTACGGCACGGTGGTGCCACCACCGTGCGTCGTCGTACACAGCAGCACGACGCGCTTCATGCATTGCGCGCTTTGCACGACGCGTAGTGCGCAGCCGCACGACGCGCGTGTTTCGATGTGCTCTTACCTCTGCGCGCGTGCCCGCGACGCTCTTCCGGGCTCCCTCGTGTCCTAAGACCACCCTATGGGTCCGCCTGTCCTCTTCCGTGCCTTATGGTGAGAGTTCCGAGACTTGTAGGACATCATATATTGCATCTTATCATGTAAGATCTACTAACGGAGCCCGAGGCACTTAGGAAGCGGAACATTAATAATCAGTATCTATTGGGCTTTTTATGAGCCTCCCTAGAGCCTCATAACTTTGACAAATGCCGGCAAGTTTAAGATCATCTTAGATTGATCTACACTAATAATCTCACCTGTCAATTGATATTTAGCCCGAGTTTTATAAGATGAAGAAGGGGCAGTGTTCATTAGTGAAGTATTTTAGAACATTCATTTGGGTTGAGCAAAAACTTACCTTATTGATGCTATTATTCACCAATCTTACAATAATACATTACCAACAAAATCGTTATAATGTCATTAACTTCTAGAGGGTCTTCCAACAAAATATGATGATGGAGAGAGCTAGTTCTTGTTGGAGCCGAAAGTTTTTTCTCTTATTGAGTTTTTTTGTTGTATCTCTCGAGCGTCTATTATTTCAGTGGCTTTCTTTTCACCACCTAAGTCTGTTGTCTTGGCCACCTCTTCTAATAGTGGTCACCCCCATGGCTTTGGAGATTAGGGATGTGATGGAGGCATATGTGGTAGCAAGTGTGACAAATTTAATCACCATCTTAAGTGTTCTCATTGTAGTCAAAAGGGCCATATTAGAGATCACTGCTATGCTCTTCATAGATATCCTCAAAGCTCATGTTGTTACATCAAATGAAATTACTATGCATTCACTAACTCAACCACTAGCTTCATTCAATTCTTATGATTTTGTCCTAAGAAGAAGGTATAATGGGTTCTCTAGAAACATATGGCTGTGTTGATAAAGGTAGACAAAGGCATAACCCTAGAATGCATGTATTGAAGAAGGGGAATATATGAAGTTATATAGAAGAGAGGAAGAAAGAGAGTGAGAAAGAAGAAGTGAAGATCATGGAGAAAGAATCGAGATGTGGAGATAATAAGTTCAAAATGGGACTAGTGGGCCCAATAAACTATTCTAACACTCCCCTTTAAGTTGGAGCATACAAGTCAAGTATACCTAACATGGTGCATGTCGCGTCATAGGAGATTCCCCCAAGACTCTTGGTGAAGACGTCTACGAGCTGATGAGATGAAATAATGTGTAGATGAGAGAGAACACTTGACATTATCTTATTTCGGATGTAATGGTAATCAATCTCAATGTGTTTTGTCCGCTCATGAAACCTATGATTTATAAAAATAAAGTTGGCGGCTTGATTATCACAATGTATAAACATTATTGTAAGAGATGAGATGTTAAGACCTTCGAAGAGTGAATTGAGTCATATTATCTCTTGTGTCGTCTTGATCATGATGTAGTACTCAAACTCTACACTAGAGCAAGATACCACCTTCTGCTCTTTAGAGCACCACGTGACAAGTTTTTCACCCACATGTGTAATAATCAGTTGTAGATTTACAATCTCTCTTGTCACCAACATATCTTATACCTGAGTAGGCTTCAATTTGAAAATGCCTATGTCTTTGATAGATAAGCCTTCTTCCTATAGCTCTTTTGATGTATTTCAAAACTTGTAAAACTTTCTCCTATTGAATTTGTTGAGATTTTTGTATGAATTAGCTAAGGACATTAACTATGTATACGATGTCAGGGTGAGTGACAGTGATGAAGATCAACTTCTTAAACAACTGTATGTATCGATTAGCATCTTCTAGGAGTGGAGATGACAAATCCTAAAAGTACGGACATGCCTCCATAAGTGATGAATCTGACTTGCACCTAAGTAACCCAATCTCTTGAAGTATATCAAGGGCATACTTTCACTAAGAGAGAACAAGTTTACTATCCTAATAGGTGAACTCAATCTCAAAAAAGTATTGTAGAATCCTTAGATCTCATATGTTAAAGTGCTACTGCAACTATGATTTTGTAACTTAAATATTTACTTTATCACTTTTAGTCATAAGAATGTCATCCACATAAACAATTAGAATCACAATGTCAGATTCAATAATCTTTGTAAATATTGTGGGATTCACAAGACATGGTGAGAATCTGAATTGTGTCAAAAGATCATTGAACTTGGCAAATTAGGCATGTGGATTTCGCTTAAGTCTGTAAATGACGTGTTGTAAAAGACACACCTTCGATGACTTCCTCTGAGTAACATATCTAAGAGGTTGCTCTATAAACACTTGTTTCTCAATGTCATCATAAAGAAAGGTATTAGAAACATTCAACTGATGTAAAGATCATGCCTGATTCACCACCAGAGAGAGTAACACTCAAATAAAGTTGAGCCGAACTACTAGAGAGAAAGTCTCAATATAAATAATGTCATAGATCTAAATGAATTCATGAGCAACCAAATGAGCCTTGTGATATACAATAGATCTATATGGGTTATACTTGAGTGTGAACACTCACTTACACATGATGATGTTGACATTGTGTGGACAAGATACAAGTGTTTAAATTTTCTAAGACACAAAGGCATCCACCTTTAAGTTTATGATCACCTTTCATTCAAGTACTTATGTAGCCTCAACATACGATCATGGAATCAACTCGGAGGCCGCAAAAAAAGTAAAGGTATGAAAAGAGGGAGAAAGGTAGTTATAGGAAATAAAGTGAGATATAAGATGTCTAGTGCATGTACGCATACTTTTACAGAGAGCAATAAGAAGATGAAGGTCAACCACTTGAGTGTCAGAAGAGATGATCAGAGGAGGCTCATTGGCAAAGGATGAAGACAAATTTGATCCTAGAACAGAGTAGTTAGATGGTGATGAAGTTGAAGGTGTAGAAGGAGTTAACAAGGGAGAATCTAGATAAGTAGAAAGAATAGGAGAGAGATTTGCAATGATCACCATATGAAGAAAATCAGGTAATAAAGATGTAGTAGATTAAGGAGGAGTCAATGTTAAAGAAAAGAAGGAAGACTTCTCATGAAAAGTAACATCAACTGATGTCACATAGTGATGAGCATCAAGAAAATGGGCTTGATAACCTTTTTGTGTTCATGAGTAATCAACAAAAACTCCTTTGAGAGTTCGAGGAGCTAGTTTAGAAAGAGAAAGAAAGTGATATTGAGCAAAGACAGTGCATCTAAAGACACGAGGGGGTAAGAAAAAAAAAAGAAGAATCAAGTGAAGGACGATGAAGTTGAATGACCCCACCAAGTAGAATGAAAGAAAGTTGATTCTAGAGATTGTGGCTGTTAGAAAAGTGTCAGACTACATGTAATGAGGAATATTCATCTCAATGAATAGTGTGTGAGCAATGTCAAATAATTCATGATATTTTCATTTGGCAACACTATTTTATTGAGATGGGTATCTAATGGTATTGTACTCCTGCGTGTGGATAGAGAGTTCAAAGTTCTTCTTACTTTGAGTTACTAAGGACACCTATCAATGTGGAGGATATTACACTTAGAATTGCTTATTGGTGAAAAGAATGGCTCTGTGAAGCTTGAAGAGCTATGAAGATATGCTCTTGGAGATGAGCTAGAATACAAAATGGCATTTTTAGAAAAGCCATCTATGTGGACATGTGATTTGATAAAGAATATCATGATCAACACAAAATGTGTAAAGTAAATCTTAGATAAATTCTAAAGTATTGTCAATATGAAGAATCTTAAGCATAATAGAGTACTGAGTGATGTCCTTAGTAATGAAGTGAATAACTGTGATGTAAATTTGGGTACGATCTTGGAGAAGATAGACCTAACTCACTCAAGTGTAGTCATCAATAAAAATAATATAGTAGCGATGGACCGAGACAAATGGAGTATGAGAGGGCCCCCAAACATTATGATGAATGAAGTCAAAGGGTATTGTGGATGGAATCTGATAAATCTTCATTATCATGAGTTAATAATTAATAAATAATATAATTTTTAGCCTTAACTCATGATAAATAAACTTATATTTATGTTAAATTGTGAAAAGTGGTTTTTAGTTGATTAATATAATTTTTTTTATTAATTATATATTTTTATATGAATTTATATGTTTTTTATAATCTTATTTTTAAGATAAATAAATTAAAATAAATTAAAATAAAAAATAAAAAAGTGGAGACCTGTCTACTAGTCGGGCCTACAAGCGGGTTGAAAGTACAGTTAGAGGGAGCTACGAGTAAGGGCTCGAGTAGCTATAGATTGATGGGGGCATGTATGTGTCACTCTCCTTTCACGTCACTGGTTGCCAGCCGATTGTGAGACAAAGAGTGGTCATATATGCGAGAAAGGGACTCATTGTTTCTAAAAGTTGATATTACTATATATTCTTCCAAAAACTTTGACGTACAATTGATGTGAGACTAAACCCATGTCACACTTTCCCTAAAATGGTTTCCTCTATTTTGATACCTAAAAGACCCTTTAGTTATAATAGAGATATATCATGATGACATCATTTTATAAAGATATTAGAGTACTTATTTTTATCTGATTAGTAGTGTCTCCATATTTTGAAATAGTGAATGATGGTGATCATCTCCCTTTTATGAATTAGGTAATTATGTTTCTATTGATTTACGATAAAAAGATCACGAATCCATCAAGTAAAGCATCTTCAATTGATTGACTAATAAGCTATCGTTAGGAAGAGGATGATTCGTTGAGAGATGAGTCGCCACCTCCTAAGAGCGTACTAGATGTGATGAAAAGCCTCCTCTTACTGTGTGGACCGGAGGATAAAGCTCTCTAACATATGTCCCACCTCCATTCAGCTCTTCTTTGTTAGGTGACAGCTGCTAGTGAGCTATAAAGTTGTCAATTTTTCACTCCACCAAGTGACAGTCGTCAAAGATGATTCAACGACTCATTCATTAATCTCTGAACTTTATAAGAGGATCTAAAGATTATCCACATCGTCTTTGTACAAAGAGAACTTTCGAGGCTATGGACACTATACGACAATTCTCCCAAACACTCAGATTTTTGGTGCATCGCCGACGTATCATTGTTGTGATATCAAAACTCTATTTTCTTACTTTCAACTTAATTTTCACTTTATTTAGTAATTATTTATGTGATTTAAATTTACCAAATTGTAATTCATTCAATTATGATTTTTTTAACTTTTATAGATCTTAATTTGATCAATTAAATCATCTATAATTGCTTACATAAGAATCACTAGGTGTAACTCTATTCAACCTAATTTACGTTCGTCAGGTACTAACATCATCTTAACATTTGCACTCTTATTTCCCTTTTTTATGAATTTTAAATATTTTTTATTTTTATTTTTTAATTTAAAATTTATAAAAAATTATATTATTCAAGAAAAAATCTAAAAAAATATGCGATATTATTTGACATCCTTGTGATTGACTGAAATTTTTTTTCACTATTTTTAAAAGTTTTATTAAATTATAATTGATATATTTGTTTAGAAATATTTCTAAAATATCTAAAT